AGGTCGTGTAGCGACTGACTGACTGTCCGTCCATCCGCCGCCAACCTGACCGTTCGTTATTTTTTCGACCGGGTTGTCCGGTTTTCGGGGTGTTCGTCTACCTTTTTTCCAGTAGTTAGACTCAATTTCGGAGGTTCAAAGGGCCGCCGAAGCTCGAGATGGGTTGGGTAGGCTAGCAGAGATTTTTTAGGAGACCGGGCGCTAGATTCTAGTCAATTTCGAGGCAGGCTAGCAGAGATGCTTTAGGAAAAGTTGCAGAACTCTCTCCAAAATCGTGCATGGCCAGAGCAAACTAGCAGAGTTCCTTTGAGAGAAACAGCGCGATTACTAGCAGAAATACTTTACGAATTTTCTTAGCATATAGGAGCATATAGAAAAGACTTTTTGAGAACAACCACTCGAGAACGAGCAGAGATCATTTAGGAATTCCCCAAACTTTCCAGGTAAGCTAGCAAAGATTCCTTGAGCAAAACCTTTCGAAAACGAGCCGAGATCTTTTAAGCAAGCGTTCTCGCAGCTTCCAGGGCCAGCTAGCAAAGATTGTTTGAGAAAAACCACTCGAGAACGAGCAGAGAGCCTTCAGGAACTTTCCCCAAATTCTCCAGGCAAGCTAGCAGAGTCCATTTGCGGAAACTCCCCACCCTTTCAAGCCATTCCCCTAGTCAAGCACACACGCTTCACCCAACCCCGCCCGGAGGGCATAATCGAACAGCTGTGTGTGGTTGTGTGTGTGCAGAGGAGTGGCGCGTAGGGGCTTCAGTCCACCTCTTCGTCTCCCTTCCTTTCCTATATACCCGATCCATCGATCCTCCACCACCTCTTTCTCTGCTTCTCTCGATTCCCATTGTCTCTCCCCCACCATCTGGCCATTGTATTCCATCCCCGGGCCATTATCGGGCGGCTGGTCGGGGGGCTCGATGACCGGCTGGTTATAAGCAAAACGTTGTTTTTGATCCTCTTACTTCGTTAAAATTCTCTTAAAAGTTTTCAACGAATTTTTGGACCTTTAAATCTTGAAAAATCAAGTTTCCGAGCGTTCTTTAAAATTTTTCTGTTTCCAAAAAATTAAAACACCATTTCCAAGCGTTTTTTAGGCTTGTGCTTCTAATTCTAATTTGTTTGAATTTCTCCGCTATGCTACACTATTTTCAAAGGCAGGCTAGCCGAGATTCTTTGAATTCTTGGATTCTGGCTTCAATTTTGAATCGAAAACCCAACTTTCGAGCTTCACCGGCTCAAAATTGGACAATTTTGATGCGAAAAAGTGGCAGCTGAATAGGGAGCTTTTTTGGGTTGCGAAATCCCGACGAGCTTGATGAGTTTCCGCACATCGTTTCGCAACCCAAATTTCCCAAAAAATCTCTGCTAGCCTGTCCTAAAAATTTTTCAAATAATCTCTGCTAGCCAGCCCTCCAATTCCTCAAAGTATCCCTGCTAGTTGGCCCTAGGCCTCAAGAATCCCGTTCCCTAAGCCGCCAATAATTGGTGGCTCTCTCTCTCTCTCTCTCTCTCTCTCTCTCGGAAAACGCGTTCCTATCCGCCCCCGCCAAATCATATGCAAATTAAGCCGGATCGGACAGTCCGAGCCGGGCGACATGGCATTAATTCTCGCCATTTTCAGAACCCGAGAAAACCGGATATTTCGGGGCTGCTTTTAAAGTCCGAATTTTCTGGGCTTCAGCCAGATTCCTGAAGTGTCTCTGCTAGCCTGCTTCGTAAATAATCCATGCTAGCTTTCAGTGAATTCAAATGGTCTTTGCTAGCTTCTTCACGAACCCATGCTAGCCTGCCTTTAAAATGACCTCGGCTAGCTCCGCGAGCTCAAATGGTCTCTGTTATCTTTGCTCAAGAATCTCTGTTAGCTGCCTTCCCTAACAATCTCTGCAAGTTCGCCTCGATAACGACCGCTGCGAGCGTTTTTCCCCAAGAATCCCCGCTAGCCTGCCACCCCAATAATCTGCGCTAGCCCACCCCTCACCCCATTCCACAATATCACTGCGTAATGGGTGGCTGTAACGCGTTGAGCGAGGGTGGACAGGATAAATGATCTCATTCTGCAGTGTTAGGGTGGTGTTCAAGCTGGACAGCTGACCCATTCGTCATCCCGAGCCTCCTCAAAGGGTCTCTGCTAGCCTGCCCCTCCGCACTCTATCGCCGTGTTGGCACCGATTTCATGCCCGAGTGACCCCGCGGGGATCCAGTTGCCCCCCGCCAACGGCTCAGACTTTTGCCCGGCATTTCAAGGGGGCTTGAAAATTGTTGGTTTCCGCTTGGGGGTATACTTTAAAGGGGTGGAGACAGTCAGGAAAGAAATCTGAAGCTTCCTCAAGAATCGCTGCTCTAGCTTGTGTTTGGAATTTTTCCTCAAAAATCAATGCTTGCTTGCCGAAGAGTCACATAGCCCTTAGTTTTCCGCAAGGAATTCTGCTAGTTTGCCCACGCCCGAAACCAGCCAGAACTTTCCTCAAGAATCGTCGCTAGCCTGCCAAAGCTTGCATATCACGTCAAACGTTTCTCAGAATCTTGCTGCTCCCGGCCCAACCTAGCCCGAACCTTCCTCGAGAATCTCCGTTAGCTTGCCAAGATCTTCTAGTCACTCCGGTTAAGAATTCACGCTTTCAACCGCCTTTAAATTCCCGCAGAATCTCTGCTAGCTTGCCAGGCCCTAGATTTACGCCTTTAAAGAGAGAGTGACAGCTACATAAGTTTCCTCTCACCGCTTCGAGCAAAAATCATCAGGTTTATGACTCTTTAACGCCATTTTAAAGGGATGTTGCCACAAATATAGAAACCCTAGAATGTTAGGTCCCGTTAGAGCGATTTTTGTAGATTTTTTTCGACTTAGAATATTCAATTTAATACCTAGAAAATCGATTCCAAACTGCCCCCCTCGACCACGCTTAGTCGTCGTATTCTATTGTTTGCGCGTTTTCTTTGCCCTTCTCGCCCTTTTCCCCCCAACTCCTGCGCTTCTTTTCAGTCGCTCTGGAGAGCCCCGAGGGCACAGCAAGGGGGGACGCGCAGCTTTAGCATTCTCTTTTTTTTGTGGGGTGGAGGTTCCGCTGGGCGTGTTCCTCCCGCCGACGACCCGCTTTACCCGGGATATTCGGGGTTTGGTACTCAACGAAGTTGTATTCATCAAAGAGTCTCTGCTAGCTGCTTTCTAATTCCTCAAAGCCTGCGATCCCTGTCCCCTATTTCCTCAAAAAATCTTTGCTAGCTGGCCCCCATGTTCTCAAAAAATCTCTGTTAGTATGCCATCTGCCTTCCTCAAAAAATTCGGCTAGCCTGCCCCTCCAATTCCTCAAAGAATCCCTGCTAACCTGCCCCTCCAATTCCTCAAAAAAATATCTGCTTTCCTGTCCTGATTTCCTCAAAGAATCTCTGCCGGCCTGCTCGACTAGTTTCCTCAAAGGGTCTCTGCTAACTTGCCTCGGTGTTCTACCCCTCTTTTGGTCTCCATAAAACTCAGAAATTGCCCAGTACCTCCTCTTAATAATTCATGTTTCAGGCTCTTCGGGCCCAGAATTCCGGAGATCAGCCCCCAGCTGGTCGATGCCCCGCTGGGAAGCGCTATTCCGTCTCTAACGTCCCAGGTATGCTTGTATGGTGTCACGCTCCCTTTAAAAAGCCGACTTCGAGTCTAAGCCTAAGCCTAATCCTTAAAGCCAAGCCTCTAAAAATTACTATTTTTCATTGCCGACGCTTTTCAAGGTCTTGGTCGACTGCCGGAAAGCCCGGAAAAGATGAGCCATCGCGACGCGCAACCGATAGATCAAACCATGCAACAGGTGGGAAGTTTTTAAAGGGCCATTGAAGTAAAAATTTACATTCCAAACCAGGAAAAAGCATTCCGCAAAGAACCGCTGCCAGATCGCCTTTTCAAAAGCTTACCAACCTCAAATTTCATCGCAAAGAATCTCTGCTAGCTCACCGGAGCCCAAATTCAAGCTTTAAAGGGCCATTGAAGGCAAAATAAAAGTTTCACTTCTAGACCCCTGCTCAAATTGTCTCTGTCAATAGCCCCTCTTCCCCAAAAAAACTCTGCTAGCTCGCCCTAGCTAAAAAAGCGTATGCTCATGTAGTCCCCCGTCACCATGACGACGACGCTTTTTTAGCCTCCCTAAAGCGAACATCTGTTGCCTCATAAATCCAATTCGCCCATTCCGTTCCATTATTCGGTGCTGATAAGCCCCAAAAAGGCGCGAATGCGGGGCCTAATCGATCCGAGGCTCATTTTCTGTTAGTCACCAGAATTCGGGGCTTCTAATTCCCTGAAAAATGATTCCAATATTCCCAATTCGAAGAGAGGACTTACAGGTTTGAAAAAAGCAAAAATATAATGAAAAACCCACTAAAAAAGTTAAAAATACTTTTAGGGCCCTGACATTAATGCGGAGAGCCCGAGGGCTGGGTCGATCGCGAGTTTGGGCAGTGGGACGTCTTCTGCAGGGCCCGAGAAGCCACAGGGACAAGCACAGACGAGACCTCCACAGGTAGTGGCAATCTCTCAAAGAATCCATGCTAGCCTGCTCCTCCAATCCCCAAAAAATTTCTGCTAGCCTGCCCTTGCCTAAAATTCCTCAAAAAACCTCTGCTAGCCTACCGTCCTCTCCCATTTCTGAGAGAATTTTTGCTAGCCTACCCATGCCCCAAATCTTCAAAAGGTCTGTGCTAGCCTATCTAAATTCCTCAAAGAAACTATGCTAGCCTGCCCCTCCAATGCCACAAGGAATCTCTGCTAGCCTGCCCCTCCAATGCCTCAAAGAATCTCTGCTAGCCTGCCCCTCCAATTCCTCAAAGAATCTCTGCTAGCCTGCCCCTCAAAATCCTCAAATAATCGCTGCTAGCCTCCCTTCCAATTCCTAAAAATCTCTGCTATCCTGCCCCTCCAATTCCGCAAAGAATCTCTGCTCGCCTGCCCCTCTAATTCCGCAAAGAATCTCTGCTAGCCTGCCCCTCCAATTCCTCAAAGATCTCTGCTATCCTACCCATTCCAGATGCCTCCCCTAGAAGGTCGCGTCCTGGTCGACCCCTCCACCGGCCAACACTACATTGTCCCCTCCCAAGGAATGTTCTACCCCCAGCCCTACGGCTACGCTCCGTACGCCCCAGGCGGCCACCCGCCGCCCCACTACGGTCACTACTATGGACACCCGCAGCAAGGTAGGGAGTTGCCAAAGAATCTCTGCTAGCTGCCCCAGCCCTCAAAAACCTCCCCAATTTTCAGGCTACAATGGTCAAGCCGCCCCCGGCTACGCAATGCCGCCTCAGTACGCGGGGGCCTCACCAAGGTACCCAGCGCACGCGACGCCTCCGACTTATAGGTAAAGCTTGGTGTTTTTATCCCTTTAAAACGGGTTTTAGGCACGCCCCGTTCTCGCCTATGCCCTCACATGCTTCAAGTGAGGACATAAGGCACGAGCCGAGATACGGTAGGTGTTTTTGAAAGGCCTCTGCTAGCTTGCCTGAATATTCCCTAAGAATCACCGCTAGCTCCCAGACCAGGCTTCAGTTCCTGAAGGGTCTCTGCTAGCTTGCATGGCTGTCCCTCAAAAATCTCTGCTAGCTCGCTCAAAAGTCTCCTCAAGAATCTCTGCCAGTTACCCCATTTCAGCCGATCAACCCCCGCCCTCACCATCCCTTCTGAAGGGAGCTGCGCCCCCGTATCCGTACCCTCCTCAACATTTTGGGTACGTTTTTGGCTTCTTGAACACGGACTTCACTTTTTAGACACCCTCCCCCTCCGCAACCTCACCCCCATCGAGCCAGCCCTCCGCAACCGGAAGATCCGGGGGATCCGTTCAGGTAGGTCGCAGCCTAAGCTCGAGCCTGAGCTTGAGCCTAGGACTAAGCCTAAGCCTAAGCCTGCCAAGGCCAGAGCCTAAGCCTAAGCCTAACCCAAGCTTAAGCCAAGCCAGAAATTCTAGGCGCGACTCTACCCGCTCGTCGGCCGAATTCTACCGCCAGAACCACCAGGAGCAGCCTCCATTCAATCGGTTAGTGCTCGAAACGCCTAAAACTTCTAGCTGTCGCCATCCCTTTAAAAACAAGCCCAAAACTCTAAATTTTCTAGAAACTACAACACCCAAGGCAGCGGCACCTCCCTCGAGAAATTCCAGGCCCACCAGGGGTGGTGGGCCCCAAGGAGGAGCCAGGGGTCTGTGCACGACCCAGAGACTCAGACGGATGTCGAGAGGTTCGTGCTAGATGTCACTGTGCCTTTAGGGGCCCTTAAAAATGTCTAAAGGACCATGAAGTGAAAATGTACGAAATTTTCAGTTCTCCTCGGCGTTCGCCTCGTCAGAGTATGGCTACCTCGGACAACGAAGCCGCTAGAAGGGCTACTCAGGTGAGCTAGCAGAGAGTGGAGGGCCGGCTAGCAGAGATTCTTTGAGGAATTATAGGGGCAGGCTAGCAGAGATTCTTTAAGAAACACCTCGAACCTCCAAAATTTCAGATCGAAGCCCCGCCCCCTCGATTCGTCCCCCAGAAGGCCGTCCGTATGGACTTTGACCTAACGAAGCCACTCCCTGAGGAGGAGGAACTGCGAGAAAGACGAGAACGAGAGAAAAAAGCGAAGCAAGAAGACGCTCAACGGCCCACCGCCTTCACGATCTCGTTCGGGGACGATGCTCCGAAAAGTGGGCCTCCAGCTGAACTATCGCTACAAGATGCAGCCAGGAAAAGCGGGCCTGGAAAGCGAATTCTGGCCGGGCGGAAGGCGGCCGCGCCGCCAGCCGCCCCGCAGCCGCCGGAGGACACGAGCAAGCACTATTTGCTGAATAGGCTTTTGCAAGGTGGGATTTTTAGGGTAGTGCTTTAAAAAAGTAAAATTTTAGGCCCTCTTTCCTCGAATGCTCAGCCGCTATCCCCTGAAGATACCCCACAACTTCAAGGACGACGTGATAACGATGCCGTCAGTGAGGCCGGGACTTTTGTGATAGGTAAGAGTGCATTCTCGCCCTCTCTCTCTCTCTCTCTCTCTCTCTCTCTCGACTCTCTCAAACCCTCTCTCTCTCTCGCTCCCTCTCACTCTTACTCTCGCTCTCTCACCTCCTTTTTCTAGGTGCCGGAGAATCAAAAGCCGCCGCCATGATGAAGACGCGCATCGTCGGAGATTCCTCAGATTCTGATGCTTCGGAGAGCTCTTCAGAAGATGAGCAACCCCCACCGTAAGTTGGATTCGGTTTTCCGAAGGAATTTGTGCTAGCCTTCCCCTCAAATTGCGCAAAGAACCTCCGCTAGCCTGCCACTTTCAAGGCTCAAAGAGCATTGCTAGCTCGCCTTACAAATTCCTAAAGGCTTTATGCTAGCTGCCTCGCTAAAGCCCTAAGAATCTCTGCTAGGCCTCTTATAATTCCTTAGAAACGCAGCGCTCCCCCTTTCAATTCCTAAAAGTGTCTCTGTTAGCACGCTTTCGCAATTCCTCAAAGATTTTGCTAGCATGCCTCTTGGAATTCCTAAAGGTTCTCTGCTAGCTCGCCTCCCTAGATTTAAAAAGTTCTAGGTGTTGAAAATTCCCCAAATAATCTCTGCTAGTTTCCCGCCTTAAGCTACTTCTCTGATTTTCGAGTGTCTTCCATAACCAGGCTCTTTTCAGCCGCTCCGCCTCGCCGCGACGCACCGCCGACGGGGTCGAGGGGAGAGCGAGCGGGGACTCTACTCAACTTCTAAAGGAGTTGATCGCCCTGAAACGAGCCCAAGCCACCGCGGCACCTGCTCCTCGACGCCAGCCAGCTGCTGCTCCACCCGCCGCACGTCGTCAGCAGGACGCGCCGTGCAATGTGACGCCTCTCGCATCACCTTCGACCTCAACCTCATCCTCAACAAGGTGGTGCCAGCCACCCTCGCAGCCTCTATCGGCCCGTCCCTCAGCGTGCCTCTCCCCAGTCAACAACACTTCTAACTTCAGGTGCACCCTCTTCTTACTTACAAGTTACACCCACACCACACGCTCTAATGACTTAATAATACGTGTCTAAGCCTATTTTTGTGTTCGAAAAGCCATGAAAATGCCTTCAACGGCCCTTTAAAGGGGCGTACCAGGCTCGATTATCGATTTTGTCAGCTATGGATTTGGTTCTTTGGCATTATCGGGGGAGGGGGGCGCGAACTTTTTTGTATGGTCTAGAGATACCTAGTAACTTAATAGAATAGGTTTTAATAGTGTTTTTAGCAATATCCAAATATATTTCAACTAGAAAAACTATCTAAAAACTTCTAAACTTCTAAAAATTCCGGTCCAAAATCGGCCATTTCCGGTCGAAAAATCGAAAATCGAAATTCGAAATCGAATCGAAAATTTGTAAAGTTTCCACATTGAGGAATCGTAAAAAACCATTAAGAAACACGTCTACTATCTATATTTTAAAAACTAAATTCGAAGAAGAAAGTTGGTCCCCCCTCCGATAATGCGAAAGAACCATATATTCATGACTTCAACGGCCCTTTAAAAACGGAAAACCCTTATAGACCCAGTCTCTCGGATCACTCAATCGCGGCTAGGTAACGTTGCATTGTTGCATATGGCCGCCAAAAATGTGTACAGCTATCCCCGGGGTTTTAAAGGGGTTGCGAAGTTGGAGGAGTAGGAGGACTGGGGTGGCAAATTTTCTCTGCTAGCTAGCCCCAAGCGCATCGATGCGTAGCGTAGCGGAATGTAGCGTCCTCTCTCAGAGCGTACCATAACCTAACGAAGCGTATCGTACTAGATCCGTACGTGCCGCAGCCTATCGGAGCGTAACGCTCTGGAATCGGAACGTATCGTGCTCGTATCGGTGCGTATCGTATTCAAAACCGAGCGTATCGTAGTCCATCGGCACGTAGCGTAACGTACTCGAAACGGAGCGTATCGTAGCCTATCGGTACGTAGCGAAACGTATCCTAGCCTTTCGGAGCGTACCGTAGTCGAAACCGAGCGTATCGTAGCCTATCGGTACGTAGCGAAAAGCACTTTACCCTTTCGGAGCGTACCGTACTCGAAACGGAGCGTACCGTAGGCCAAAAACGCGTAGCGAAACATAGCGCTAAGTTGCGTGGCGGAGCGTACCGTACTTGATTCAAACCCTCCGAAAATGCCCCCAATTTCCCCAATAACCCCTGCCAGCCTGCCCCCGCCCCTCCGACTGCAAAATCCCTCTAAAACCACGAATTTAAAGGGCGAAATGGCGATGCCATAGCGAGACACGCGCCTCCCAGATACAGTCGACGTGAGCTTTCCCTGCCCCCGATTTCCCCAATGATCTCTGCCTGCCTGCCTGGCCGTCGTGTTGAGTACAATAGTTTAGAGAGAATGAAGTAAAAGCCAGAGTACCATTATTTTCCTCTTCTTCTTCTCCGGATGTCATTTTTCACTGTCGCTACGTTACGCTATCCTGGCATGCGTGGAATGGCTAGATTACCGTACGCCCCCTCAGAATATTGATATTTGGCCGTGTGTGTCGCGTGATGAGCATGGAAATCGTCAAAAATCGTTGCTAGTTAGGTTAAGCCTACTTAAGTTAAGCATAGCCTAAGCCTAAGTCCAAGCCTAGCCGAAGAGACCGTATGTTAAGTCTAAGTAAGCCATCACTAAGTTAAGTCCAGTCGAGCTTCAGAAGCTTCAAGAGCTTCAAAATCCTCAGTTAAGTCAGTCAAGTCCAAGTCCTTCACTAAAGCTTCAAGTTGTAGCTTAAGTTTTTCAGTTTCCTAAGCCAAAAAAGTCCAGTTTTCCACGCGTCGCTTGTCGCATCCAGCGTCAAAAGTGTAATAATTTTTTAAGTTGCTGAAAAAAGTGTATTTTTAAGTTTTTCTAATCCTCACAAAATCTTCAAAAAATAGGAATAAGTAGCTGCAATAACCCAAAAAAAACCGTAGACTACAGTAGGCGTAAAATTAACAAAATTCCCCCAAAATTCCTCGGCCTGCCATCCCCAAATGATGATCGGAGTGACATTGATGCCTGGCTATTTATAGAGAAAGTCGAGAGGGCTATGAGTACAGTAATTTATCTTGAGCGGCTACAAACTACAAACTATACGTCGTCCCAGGCTACAAACTACAAAAATAGCCTCAAAACTACAGAATACGACCAAAACGAAAATCTAAAAACGATTTTTTTTGTAGTTTGTACTTTGTAGTCGTTCCAAAAAATTCTGTACTTCTGGTCCCTCAAATTCGCGTAAAACGATAAACTACAAAATTTAGGCGTGGCGATGGCGGGCGTTTTTCGATGCGAACAGCTCAACAAAGCCCCCAGATGCAGAAGAAGCCGCCGTTCCGGACGGGGGCGATTACGAATCGACCACCGCCACCGAATGTGAGTAATCGATCACGCATTAATGGACACTTCACGTCCCCAACGGCCTTTGCTAGTTGTAAGCTAGTACAAAACAGATCCACGCAATATAAGGCCTTGATTCGCGCATTAATAGGTGCGTCTGGTCCTCAATTTTCTTTGCCAGTTGCTAGTCAGTCAAAAACGTACCATTTCGTGATGGTTCAATCCCAAAATTCGAAAACCAGTAAGAATAGCACAAAAATAACACAGGAAGTCACAAATACGAAAAATCGACATTTTCTGCGCCGGAATCTTTTTAAAATCCTTTAGAACTGCACACAAAAATATACCCTGATTTTACTCGATATTCTTGATTCTATTTTTGCCTTGCCTCAATTCCGCTTTTCGAAAAATATGCAGCCAATTTAAGCCAATTCAAATTTTTTCAGCCCCACGTCGTCGCCCAACGCGAGCAGGAGATGAACGCGTGGCTGCGGCGCAAGGACTACAACCCGATGCGCGCCGTGCAAGAGGCCAAAAAGGCGCAGCAGCAGCAAAAGCAGAGGTATCGATTGGTTAAATTAATTTAAAATTTTCATATCAAATAAATTTCGAATTTTTCCTCAAAATAACCCGAGAAAACCTGGTTTTTAAAAATTACCCCAAATACCGTACCCCCAGCAAAATACCGGCGCTTATCGATTCCTCAGCTCCTGATCGCGCATTACGAGTTGGCGCGTCCGGCAGCTTCATCCTCCTCGTTTCGCCTCCTTGAACTGGCCGGAGTTGTGGAGCTTCATCTTGTCCTAGCCGCTTCAAAACCTGGAAAAATTGGTTCTAAAGGGAGCGAGACACCAAGAAAAATCCAGCCGCATCGTTTTAAATGAGCAGGAAAGCACAGACCTTAATCAAGGCAAGGGCAGGCTAGCAGAGATTCCTTGAGGAAAACCAAAAAATTCATTAAACTACGGTTCTCTAGCACGTCAAGCCTATCCGAAACGGGCTCAAGTCAGGACGACGCTTCGGGGTTTGTTAAGCGAAAGTTGTGTCGTACTGTGCCTTGTAGTTTGTATTTTGTACTCAAAAGTCCTGAAAATCCAGACTACAAAGCTGCAAAAAAACCGCTTTTTCAGGGCCGACAACTTCACGTCAAATCGATCTATGTCATTTCATGTTGGGGCTGGGAAGATGCCGGTGAAAAGGGTAAGCGAGAGATAGATTGAGGAGAGAGAGAGCGAGAGAGAAAGCAAAACAAATTAAAATCCCACCTTTCCAGTCGAATTCCCCGGGCACCTCCCTCTCGCGCAACAAGTCGGACGAGTCGCTGGCCTACGAGGGCGCCTCAACAGCATCCGCATCACAGAAGGTGTTGGCCGAGTACTCGCGCGGTGTCGTCAAGGACATCAACCGGCTGACTGAAAAGAGCCGTAAAAGTGACGCCAAGGAGATGAGGTTAGAAAAGCTTAAAAAACGTTTAAAAACCATCAAAAAAATAATTTTAAAGGGCCATTGAAGTCAAAAAATTTTTAGCGGCCTAGCCCGAGCAGTTGATCTACTCTCCAACAAATGCAAGAAAAGCATCGAGCTGATCCGATCACAAAACAAGGGATGCCTCTCCGTATCTGTTGAAGATCTACTCGCGACTGCGGTTGAACCCCCCGGAGAGAGTGAATCACTCGGGGAACAGCTGGAGCGATTGAGCGGTAAGATAGCGGAGATTTTTTGAGGAATTGGAGGGGCAGGCTAGTAGAGATTCTTTGTGGAATTGGAGGGGCAGGCCAGCAGATATCTTTGAGGAATTGGAGGGGCAGGCTAGCAGAGATTCTTTGGGGAATTGGAGGGGCAGGCTAGCAGAGATTCTTTGGGGAATTGGAGGGGCAGGCTAGCAGAGATTCTTTGAGGAATTGGAGGGGCAGGCTAGCAGAGATTCTTTGAGGAATTTAAGGGATTAGGCAGGCTAGCAGGGACCATTTAGGAAGCGCTAAAACCCATTTTTAGACGCCTTCGACGCCGTGCAGCGCTACTTGGAGCAGTACTCCCTAGAAGGTCGGGGGAGCCCCGTCCCGGAAGAGGACGAGATGGTCAGTTCTACAAAAATTGAAAAAATTAAAAACGTTACAAAAATTCGGTTAAAAAATTTTACAAATTAAAAAGTTAATAAAGCCATATTTATTTAAAAAGCTTAAAAACCTATACGCCACTTAATTTAAGTTATTAAATCGATATTTTTAGCCTGAAACCTCTTCGCTCGTGTCCGGCTTCTCCTCGCTAGGCCTACGGAATAAGCAGCGCGCCAACGCCAATAACATTGCGGGCGGCTCGCTGGCCGGAACTAGGGAACAAGGTAAGCTAGAACACGATTTTGATCACGTCTATGCGATTACGACACCTAATTTAGGCCCTCAAAGGTCCTTTAAAATGTATTTTCGATGCGCTTAACCGATTATGACGTTAAGTTAACAACCCTAGACTTAGAAAACCCAATATTTTGATTGCCTTGCCGTTATGACACGAAAATAGTCTCAAAAAGGGCTGAAATGCAAAAATTTATACCCCTAATCGATTAAGACACGTAATTTTAGTCTTCAAAAGCCCCATAAAAGAGAAATTGCGTAGCGCTTAACCCATTCCGACATGAAAATAGTCTGAAAAACGAGAACTTCTGCGGTTAATCGATTACGACACCTACATTTAGCCTTCAAAACCCATTACCAAACATATTTCCCCAAAAAAACGACAAAAACCTCACTTTCAGCGCAATTCCGCGCGCAGCGCACCACCGCCTATCGCTCGAAAATCTTGGCGCAACAGCGGGACTCGAGCCAGACGCGGCTCGGCAAAAATAACTGAAAAAACGACGATGATGAAGAATTCAGTTTATTCAACAATATCGCAATTCCAACTGTCCACGCCCAAATGATTTGTGATTTCCCGTGTGCTCAAATAAATTTATTCGCATCGATCGATACTAGGCACGAAAAATGCTAAAAACACAATCGAGATACCGCTAAAATCATCACAAAATGTTCTATCGAAAGAAAATGGCCGGGGGGATAACAAGAGAAGGAGACACACAAAAACAACAACAAGTACATGGAGATATGGATATTCTATGGCTTCATTTTCTATTGTTCGGCGGCGGGCACGTCGGCGACCTGGTCGAGGAACTCGTCGATTTGGTCGTCGTCGATCATGCCCTGCAAAAAAATGATATATATATATGTTATTTTAATTCCGACATTGTAAATGAAGCTTAGGAAGCAAAATAGGCAAGCTAGCAACGATCCTTTGAGCCAAAAAAGCTAATATAAAGCTATTTAACAAAGGCAAGCTAGAAAGGCCTACTCGAGTCCACAAACCGCAAAAAATTATTTCAATTTAGGCAGAAAACTGGGGCAGCTAGCAAAGTTTCTTTGCGCCAAAAAGGCTAAATAAATCGTTTTTAAAAAGGCACGCTAGCGAAGATCCCTCGCCAACTAGGGAAATAAATTAATTTGATTTACATAGCAAAACAGGCCATTAGACATTTAATAGTTAGTAAATTTCCAATTTAACAGAGAGAGCGAAATCGGTAAACTAGCACAGATCTTTTGAACGAAAAGGAAGACTCAATCGATTTTGGCAATCTAGCAGCCATTCTTTGACCTACAAAAAACCCAACAATTTACCTGAAACTCGGCGACGACTTCCCCGTTCTGGAACCCGATGACGGTAGGCACGGCGCTGACCTGGAAAACAGAAAATAGACGGAAAATCCTGAATTTTCATACCCGAAATTCGTCAGCCAAGTCGCCGGCCTCGTCGATGTTGACCTTGGCCATCAGGACGGCGCCCTCGCGGCCTTGCACCTAAAAAATGAATCTTAGAAGCCAGAACAAAAAGAAAAAACCTTCTGCTCCAATCGCGGGCCCAGCATTTTGCACGGGCCGCACCAGTCGGCGTGGAAATCGACGATGACGGGGATCTGGAAAAGAGGAAATCACTTAAATTTAGCGATTCTGGTCATCTATAACTTAAAAGTAAGAAAAACAATTTTTAAGTTATAAAAAAATGCGAAAAAGCTCGTTTTGAATGGAAATTCCACGAAAACGCACTTTTTTTGCACAAAAATAAGCAGATTTCAGTTCTTCCCAGCAAAAACTACGCGCTCTAAAGCAATTTAGTTTTTTAAAAACCGATTTTCGCGAAAGAAAATGGCATCAGTAGCTCCTTTTCCATAGAAACTTGATGTAAATGTCGAATTTTGCAGTAAAAAGCGGATTTCAGTTTTCCTTCGCAAAAAAACTACGTGCGCTAAAGCAAAAGGTTTTAGAAAACGATGTCCTAGAAAGAAAATGGCACAAATGACCCGTTTGCGACTGAAAATTGACGAAGATGTTCAACCTCACAACCAGAAGCAGATTTCTGTTTTCTTGCAACAAAAACCCTCGTGTTCCTGAATCCCAAAAATGTACCGTTGATCGCAGCACGTGCTCCTCGAATTCCTCGGTTGTCGCGACGCTGCAAAAGGCGAAAATTGCCAAAAAAACTAGATGCTTACTCAAACACGAGCGGTCGTTGCGCCTCGTAGCAAAGGAATCTTGAATTCCGCAGGTGGCCGTGCTGCTTGTTGGCCAGGTCGAGGAGTGGCCGTTTCGGGAGGGCGGCCGCCTGGTGGACGAGTCGTGCTGCCCGGGCGAACATCTGAAAATTAGGGGATTAATTTGAAGTCTTCGAATCTATACGAAAAATGGAAAGAACGAGCGACGACAAAAAAAGAGAGGGATTTCAGATCTAGAAGTCGGAAATAATTCTTTAAAAATGGCAAAAAAGCCGCTTTTAAAGTTTTTCAGCTTTGCAGGGGCAAGAAAACGCATTCAAACACTCGCGCCTCTTTTTCCAACTAAAATCACTATAAACCAAAGCACTTTCGGGCTAAAATGGGCAAGAATCCCGTGTTTCCAAGGTAAGAAAACGAAGAGCTGCCCCCGAAAACATCGAGTAACCGGATCACAGACAGACACACTACACCAGTCAGGGCGCGAGCCCAAAAGCCTCGATCAAGCGGTCCAACTGCAAAATTTAGGATTTGAGAAAGAGAGAGAGAGACGCGAACAAGCAAATTATTCTAGGTTCCTGCACTACTATTTCGCTAATAATCCAACTTGAAATTTCAGGGAATCTAGCCATTCTTTGCCCTCATAAAGAGGATGAGTTCGTAACAAGTTTTATCAACCGAAAATCAACAAAAACTATAAGCAAAATGGTAAAATCGGCAAAAGTATTCAAATCTTTTTCAATTTGGCCTTTTTTGCGACTTTCTAAAAAATTGTTCCGATCCAAAAGCGGAAGACAACCGTCGTAAAGCCAACAAGGCAAATTTGAACTCGGGGGAAAAAGCAGTAAAATCCTTCTAAAGTTAGTTTTCAGACTTTCTAAAGATTTGTTCGCAAAGAGAAGCCTAAAACCGCAACAAGGACCACCGCCTCAACGTAAAGCCAATAAGGAAAACTTGACATCGGCAAAAAAGTAGCAAAACTTTCTAAATTTGTTTGACTTTAAAAATTTGTTTCCATCCAAAAGCCTGAAAGAACTGTCGTTTCTGTATGCGCATTTTCCGGCCATCACTTTCTTGCAGTCGTAAACGTTTATTGAGCATCTACTAATCAAAGAGCGTGTGTCAAAAGGGCGAGCCCGATGACCCGTAACGTAGCTATAACATATCGAATACAACATGGGCGACGGACAGATGGGCATTTTGGGGGAATTACAGAGAAAGACGGGAAATGGGGGAGGCCGCATCTTACAATTCAAAAACACGCACATGAACATACAGAGGAGAACTAGGGGGAAAAGCGGAAATAGGGAGAAGGGGGATAATCACCGAGGTCAACAGGGAGACAGGGGGCTACATACAAATCACACTACCCGAAACTGGGGGAACAAGTTCGCTTATTTTTGCTGGGCGGTGTCGTCGTCCTCCTTCGTCTCGTCCTTGTCCTCCTTGGGCTCCTCGCGGGCCGGCGGCTGAGCCGCAGCAGCAGGCTCGAGTAGTCGTCGTCGATGGCTTCCGGGCGGGCGCGGCACCAGCGCGCATCCCGATGCGTGGCGCGGCCCCGGTGGCAGTAGTAGTGGCGCTAGAAAAAAGATATAGATCAATAGTATTGCTAGAACACAAAGCAAAACACATTTTAATAGTTTTGTAGAGTTTTAAAGGTTTTTCAAGTCAAAACGAACTAAAAATCAATTTTATTTTTCTATTGATTGCGAAAGGATTGTAAATTTTCATAAAAACATAATTTCTTTCTATAAAATTTTGCTCCATTTTTCATAATGCAAAATTCTGTTAGAAAATTCAGGAAAACACTTGCCATTTTGGTCTAAAAATGCATTTCCTTTTTTTTGCAACGAAAGCACCGAAGATATGAATAAAAAAGTATACCGTGAGGGCCCAGCAACATCAGCGGTTCGGCGGCGCTCCCGGGCTGCAATGACGGCCGGCGTCAACTTGGGCTGCGAAAGGCGCTCGACCCAGCTGCTGATCTGAAAAAATCGGTCAAAAAAATATGAGAAAAAAGTTTACCGAGCGGGGCGTGGTGTCGGCGGACGCGGCGGGCTTGGTGCCGGCACCTTCGGGCGGCGGGTACGACGATCGGGCCGCGGCGGCTTGCTGGATGGGCTGGGTGGGGCGCGTGGGGGCGACTTGCACGGAACGGCGAAGCGGGACGCGAACTTGACGGGCCACCGGAGCGCTGCCACCGGCTGCAACGGCAACGGGGGCCACCGGGCGGGCAGCAGGCGGGCCTAAAACATGATATGAAATGAATATATTAAATAAATGAAAAAAGCAAAATTTTGGTTCCTTAGGATCGGAGGCGGAACTCCCAAGAACTCAAAATTTAAAAAATTACCGGCAAGACGTTTTGGCAGAAGAGGGCGCGATTGGCGCTCGACGATAACTTGACGGCTTCCCGAGGGCCCGGCAGCAGTGGTAGATGGCCCTGGCACGCGCTTCCCGACCTAAAAAAAAGTTGTTCTCAAAGGTTAAATGAAAATCCTTACCACAGGCTTGACTGGACGGGCGGCCGGCGATGGGGCGCGGCGCTGTGCGGCTGGAGATGGTGCCCGGCCTCGGACAAGTGGCGCTGGAGACGGGGCCCGACGAGCGAGAGGAGCAGGAGACGGCGCCCGGCGAACGACTGGAGCAGGTGATGGAGCGCGACGAGAAGCCGGAGAAGCCGAACGTCGCGATGTTGACTGGGTGCTGGCGATGGAAGGCGATGGGGCGCGGCGGGGCACTGGAGACGGCTGACGCAGCTGGCGACGCCCTTCGATGGATGGAGCACGGGGCTGGGCGAGGCGCGTCTGCGAGATGGAGCGAGAGCGGCCGCGGGGAGTTGGCTAAAAAGAAATATTTTTTTAAATACAAAAATGGGTCTTTTGCATTATCAAAGCAAAAAAATTCCTCACAATTTGGCTTTGCTGCTGCGAGGAGGAGCCGGCGCGCGTGTTGGAGCTGCTGCGTGGGCGCAGATTGTAGGTGTTGCCGCGGTCCTCCGTTTTCTCTGCAAAAAAAAGTTAAATTTAGGAATAAAAACGTACTTTCTTCTTTTGCCTCCTTCTCCTTGACCATCGCCTGGAACTCCATCTGCGAGCGGCGGACACGCTTCGGCTCGTTGCCAAACATCGAGAGCTGCGCCATCTGCTTTGCGATGCCGCTCAGCCCTCCTGCTTCCGCTTCGACCTCCTCGTTCATCGTGCGCTCCAGCAGCGGCAGCTCCTCGGCCTCCTTGTCCGCCTCCGGCTCCTTGTCGACGATTTCCTGAAAAACAAGACATTATTTACCCAAAAAATAAGTTACGAGCTCGATGACGTTGGACGAGGTGTTGTGGGCGACCAGGTTTTCCTTGCCCTCCTCGAGCGCGTCGTGGATGTCGGCTAAAAAAAACAAAGTAAAAAAGCAAAATAAAAATTTACCTATTATCCCGCTGCTGCGCCGCTGGAAGTACGCATCGGGGTCGCCCCCTTCGATGGGCCCGTCGGCGGTGAACACGACGTAGCAGGGCACGCCTTCTATGTTGAAGAGCTCGTCGGCGTTCATTCCGCTTCTCTATAAAAGAAAGAATTTTGAGTTATTTATCTGCACAAATATGGGAAAACGAGGAAAAAAAACGCTTCAAAAGGTAGAAAGCGCATAAAGTTCTAAACCCAAGATTGATGAAGGAAACCCTCATTAAAAATGTACCCGCAAAGTTTAAAAGTTGGAAAAAGAGGGGATACATGCAAAAGAAGCTCAAAAATCGAGCCTAATCAATCGCTTTTGGCTAAAGCCGATTCGTAGCGAGCCCGCAAAAGGGATGAAACACTAGCCAAATCCGGGCACGGCAAATGCCGATTCCCATTCACAAACTCGCGCCGGATGCGGCTCAGCAAACGGCCGTCAAAGGCGGGCATCTGCCTCTTCAACTCGGCTACGGCGTTTCGCGACAGTACATCAAGCGGGAAATCGGGGCCCGGGCTCGAAGCAAGGGTAGAAGTAGATTCCGGCCTCAAAATTGGCCCCTTCAAAAATACCAGCAAATCTTCGAAGTTGTTGCCAGTGAATCGAAATGCGTCCTCCGGAATCTCGAGCGTGCCGTGGACCCGTTGAATCGTCGCCTCCTCTAACCGATCGACACCTTGGCGCCTCGAATTCCTAGCCAGCGCCGTCGCCAAATCGCATTCGACGTAGATTTCGGCGAATCGAAGCGCGAATCGGCGTGCCAATCGTGCGTAGGGGCGCCGCATACTTCGCAGATGGCAGGTGTCATCGAGGAGGAGGGCCTCGGAAGAGCGCGCCGAAGATTGGAGGTATACCTCTACCTCTGCGAGGCGCTCCTTTCGGAATTGATGGTAGCTGGGCCCGGGCGTGCGCTCATCAAACTCAAAGACGCGAAATTGGGGGAGGGCAGAAGCGAGGCGTTGGGCCAGGGTCGTTTTGCCGGACGCCGGGATCCCCACCAGGCATATCAAGCTCATCGGGATGTGGTTCTGAATGAAGAGGACATGCATACGAGGAGAGAGGGATGCTAGGGTATCCCCTAGCATGAAATGGAAATAATGGAAAGAAAATCAAAGACAAACGCCCTATATTCAAGCCCAAGCAGATCAACGGGTTTTTAAAGAAGAAGGCATGCTTGCGAAGAGAGAGGGCTGAAAAGCTAATGAAAACAAGCACAAAAGCCTAGTTACGACCTTGCAAGGCTCGCGAGGGTTAGAGGAAGAGCCTGAATCGAGAAAAATTGAAAATCCCTTCAAACCCTAAAAATCAAAAACAATCCTGAAAAACTTGAATGAATCTTTTGGAAGTCTAGGAGCCACTAATCTAAAACCGCGCAATAAGGGGGAGGGGATAAAATAGAAATATCTTCAACAAAGATGTTTCTCGCCTAAAAAAAACTGCAAGAAAGGTAGAAGAACGCGTCGCAAAGGCCCTTGAACATCTATCGAGTAAAGAGTAAGTAAGAGTAAGGCTAGCAAGGAAACAAAGGAGATATTGCATAGGGGTATCTTAAAAAATGGTTTCAAGATCCCAAATAACTGCTAGAAAGAGGAAAGCTTCAAACAGTAGGTTTGAAAACGAGTCAAAGATTGGGCGGGAAGGTATAGTAAGGGAAAAAAACTGGCAAATGGCGATAAGCTGCAGACTTGCTTTTACAAAAGTCCGAAAAGGGAAATGGGGGTTCGAGCGGCCGGCTCTTTTTGAAGAGCCGGCTACGAGGGGTAGGGCGCGGGATAGGGGCCAGGCTGTCAGCAAGAACAGGGGAAGGGCGCGTCAAGGCGGGAACAGGCAGCGCAGCAAAGATCTTTGTGGAATTCTAATAAAACTAAATCATTCTCAGCAACATAGAAAGAAAAGAAACTGCTTTTAAAAAGACTGCATAATTTTTATGTATCTATTTGATATGAACGCTTCCTGATGTTTTTAGAAGGTATTTTGCTCAGCAACTGTGTTTTTGTCATTTTTAGCTTTTAAAAACGCCCAGGTCAACTAGCAGAGACTCTTTATCGTAATCTTTATACTGTAGCCGTTTTTTGGACCCGAACATAGTCGACGGCCTCGAGGAGGTGCCGTCGGTGGACGAGAACATTGGCGTTTTCCTCGGTGGCTTCACCTAAATTTGAAAATTTTAAAGTAAGGACAAATTTGAAGATTGTAATTTAAAGCCCATTTTATGTATAATTCCCATAAAATTACCTCGCTGTATCGCAAAAACCGCCTCGCGCAGCGCGCTCATCGTCGCGTTCGAAATCACCGAGTACAGCTCGGCGCCCGACATCTCGTCCGGGCAAACCGGGGCCTGGAATTTCAGGTTCTGGACCATTATCGGGGGGGCGGCACTTTCTGTTTTTCCACCTCTATGTGTTGATGATATATTATGTCTTTTTATGATATTTTTAGGAGTTTTTCATTCCTAAAACGTTATAAAAACTTAAACTTTCGAAAATTTGAAAATTTGGACCTTTTTTGGTATTTTTTCATACATTTTTGACCAAAAAATACTTACAATCTCATCCAGCTTCACGTCACGCGCGAGCGGGGTCTTGCGCGCCACCGCGCGCAAGATGTGCGCCCTGGAGGTGGCGTCATTTCCGACGCGCACGTTGATGGCCTTGTCGAAGCGGCCGGGGGTGCGGAGGGAGGGGTCGAGGAGGTCAGCACGGTTGGTGGCCGCCATGACGAAGACCTGGAAGAATTGGATGCTAGCTAGCAAAGATTTTTGACAAATTGAAAGGAAGGGCAGGCTAGCAGGGATTTTTTGAGGAATTCACTTGAAGGGCAGGCTAGCAAAGACCCTTTTTCCTACCTTATTCGTAGCATGGTGTAACGCATCCAATTCTGCCAATAACTGCGAGACCACCCGATCCATCACCCCTCCAGAATCCCCGGCTCGCCCTCGATTCGGCGCCAGCGAGTCGAGCTCGTCGAAGAAGACGACGCAGGGCGCGGCGGCGCGAGCGCGTTCGAAGACTAAATCAGAATTTTCTAGTTTTCCGCGACTGAATTCCTCAAAGAACCCCTGCTGGCTGACCATTTCGAAGGTTCTCCTCGCTCTGCCCGACGTACTTGTTGAGCAGCTCAGGGCCCTTGACGGAGAGGAAGGCGATTTTGTACTCGGTGGCGACGGCTGAAATTTTTGATTGGATCAGTTTTTCATACTGAATTCGAATTTATACTTTTTAAGGCATTAAATGGGCTTCTAGCTACATTTTGGCCACTTTTTCGTCACGCCTACCTCGGCGCTAATCCGAAAATAATGGGGGTTAACCCCTCAGCGCTTCCGCTTACCAAATTTCGATTCCAAATTGTCAAAAAGTTCCCATTTCGCCCCCAAAAATGCTTCAAAAATTTGTCTATTTCTGTAGTTTCTTATTTATTGGGATAACGGCTCAGGTAAGCCTAAAATTCCTCAAAGAATCTCTGCTAGTATGTCCCCCTGAAGCCGGCCGGAAGCCCGCTGCAAGACCTTCTTTCTCAACTCTCGTCGAGCAACACTCAGCTCCAAAATGAGGAGCTGATCAGGAACTTTTTGGCTTCGCAAAATGCCACTGACCAGGTAGGCTTAGGCTTAGCTTGGGCTTATACTTAGGCTTAAACTTAGGCTTAGGATTAGACTTGGCTTGGGCTTAGGCTTGGCTTAGGCTTGGTTTTCGGCTTCCGCTTAGCGTCTAGTTTTAGCAAACCATCCGCTCCTACCTCAACGAAAACGCGCGCAACATCAGCGAGCTGGTCAACCAGGTGAGGAACGAAAATTCCTAGAGGGCATTTGCTAGCTTGCCCTCCAATTCCTAAGGAATCTCTGCTAGCCTACCCATTTCTAGGTCAGCAACGAGGTGTCGGAATACAAAATGGCCGACGCTTCAAAGGCCCTGATCGAGCAGGCTTCCGAGATTTGGGCTAATGCTAACTTGAATTTGGACGAGAAGTTGGAGCAGGTATTTCATGGCGTAATTGAATACTTAGAGAACGTAATTGATTAATTTCATTGCCTAATCAATTCCTCCTAGTTTGACGCCCTGAAAACCCAGGCCCAAGCCAACGCCCAGACTGCCGAGGACTTCAGCAGGGTCGAGGACCAAATCGCCGAGATCCTCGCGTCTGACGTCTCTTCCGGGCACTCCAGGAGAAAAAGGGCACTGCTGTAAGTCCGGGCAGGCTAGCAGAGAAAATTTAGGGTTTTTTAGGGCCCGCCGCATCCACATGCAGCAATCGACGACTGTGGAATTACCGTAAAGGATCGGAATAAATATGAAACGATTGTCAAGCCTAAACCCAAGCCGAAGCCTAAGACTAAGCGTAAACCCAAGCCTAAGCCTAAGTCAAAGCCTAAGCCTAACCCTAAGCCCTAACCTTTCGCGAGAAGCGTCTTTCCGCATCCCGGCGGTCCATACAGAATAATCCCACTCCTCCGCAGCCCTCCCGTAGCCCTCAAGTTGTTGTCCAGACTCTCCCTGATGAGCTGCTTGGCCTCGTCGAGTCCTCCCACGTCCTCCCAGGCTACGGTAGGAATCTAAAAATCGCATTTTTTAGATTCCAGGGTGAAAATAGGCGTCACCATCCCTTTAAAACACAAAAACTCACCTTCGGTGCTCCAATCGCGTCGGCAAAGCTCGAATTGCGCTTGTCGATGGCCCATTCGACGTCTGGCCAACTTGGAGAGGTCCTGAAGCGTTCCGAAATGATCTCTGCTAGCCTGCCCTCGCTCCCCAATTCCTCAAAGAATCTCTGCTAGCCTACCTCCCCTCTTCAGCCGCTCGACACCTCGCATCGTAGGTCAACGCGTTCAGCTCGGCCACGACGAAGCCCTAAAAACGAATTTTAAAGGGGTGGTAAAACCTAGAAAATGTGCTTTAAAGGACCATTGAAGACAAAATCTACACCTACCGTAGTCGATGCTGCCGCTTTCTCAGGGCAAGTCAATCTTGGCATATTCTTGGCAAAGAACTCCTTCCTATGCACTTCCGACATCGGCTCCAGCACCACCGTGTATAGCACAGTGCTCCGGATTTGAGGGCTGACGGAGGCAAGCTAGCAGAGGATTCTTTGAAGAATTTAGGGAGAAAATCGTACCTTTTTCGTGTGGCACGTAAAGAGGATTGCCACGTTGGTGAGGCGGCTGATTTCTGAGGCCAAGAGGCCGAGGATACGGTCATCGGAAGCTGAGGTTTGGCCATCGACGGCTAGTACGTCGCAATTCGAGATGACGAGGAGGGAGGGGGAGACGGATTGGGCTGAAAAAGAGGGTAGTAGCAGTTCTTTGAGATAGGGAAGCTAGCAGAGATTCTTTGAGGAATTGGAGGGGCAGGCTAGCAGGGATTCTTTGAGAAATTCGAGAAAGGGCAGCTAGCAAAGACCATTTACCTCGCGTAACCAGATGCTTTATCCGCTGCTCCGTATGCGTGGCCGCTTCATTCCATAAATCATACGCATCCCCAAACACCAGATTTCGATGCGTTCTCGAGCTTATCCCTCTGGCCACCAGCCGCTTGCCGCTTCCGGCCGGTCCGCAGATGAGCAGAGAGATTGGACCTCCAGATAACTAAAAAAATCAATAAATTCGGCTCCAATTCCTCAAAGAATCTCTGCTAGCCTGCCTACCCTGTCATTAGCTTGTAGAATAGAAGCGGCCTTCTCGACTGCGATTTCGAGGTTTCCGGGAAGTTCGGGGGCCTTAAGGTGGTGAGGGAAAATATTTTTAGGCTTACCGTAACCTGACTACCGTACGGTACCATCCCTTTAATGGATGAGGATTGGTAGACGGAGCATTGGCGATCGATTAGAGACGGGTGAAATGGTTGTTTCGACCTGAAAAGGGGAAACTCTCTCTTTCTCCCTCCTCTCTCTCTCTCTCTCTCTCTCTCTCTCTCTCTCTCTCTTACCTTAAAAGAGTAGAGCCGAATCCCATTGTCGAATCGATCACGTCGAGATATGGATATGACGTCCCCTTTGTAGTACAATCTAGAATTGAATCTTTTAAAGGATCACTCAAGCCAGAATTCCATAGATTTTACCCCGAATGACATTAAGAGGCCAAATTTTGTCGATTTTTAGCTGTCGCCGTCCCTTTAAAACCCCGGACTCACCTCGGCCTCGAAAAGTGCTGCTCCAACTCCGCGTCCAGGGCAATTTCCGGATTCTCCAATCGATTAGGCGATGCAATTGGGTGCAGGCGAACGGAGGCCGGGCGAGCGGGAGCGGTGGATTGATCGATTTTCTGGAAAATGAGAGTGGCAGAGATCTTTGAGGAATTGGCGGGTTTCTAAGGGGTGGTATGGTTGGGCAGGCTAGCAGAGATTCTTGAGGAATCGCTTCTCAGGCCCAAGTTTACCTTAATTCGGATCTGCTCGACGGGCTCGGCTCCGAAAATGTTGAAGAAATCATTCCGACCCAGCACTCCGGTCTCTAGCTCTAACCGGAAGTCGGTAGCAAGTCGTAGGAGGCGCTTGACAATTTCGACAGGTTCTGAACAGAACTGGTGGTCTAAGCCTAAGCCCAAGCCTAAGCCTAAGCCTAAGCCTAAGCCTAAGCCTAAGCCTAAGCCTAAGCCTAAGCCTAAGCTCCTAGCCAAGCTTAGCCTAGCCTAAGCCTACCTAAGCCTGCCTAACCTAAGCCTAAGCCTAAGCCCAAGCCTGCCTAAGCCTAAGCCTAAGCCCAATGCTAAGCCTAACTCACTTCCACTCCGCGACACTTCGAATGACACCTCAACGACGGAGGAGGGCACGAGATCGTGTGTGAGGGCGTAGAACGGGCAGACAGTCAGGGTACTGCAACGGAAGAGTACGTAACAGTACGTTGCACCGTAATTACGTATTGTAACGGAATTCAACGTAATGTAACGCATTCAGTGAGCTAAATTACTGTAGCAAGAGTATTTCTTATCTAATTTAAATCAGTTTCTCTTGAAAAAACTTACCCATAAGCATGGCTCTGCCGACTTTTTTGTAGATTTACATAGAGAGCAGACGATTTTGAGAGCAATTTTTGTAGTTTGAGGTCTTTTCGCGATAATAAAAGCCTAAATAAATAGGCAAGCAGCCGAGATCTCATCTAAAATTCATAAAATTTTTGAAAAACCAGCAGAAAAACCCGAAGATAAAGCCGAAAAACGCCTAAGAAGACGCTTTTGATGCAACAAAGCGGAAATTTGCTTAAAATCAATCGATATTTCATAAACTTATCAAAAAGCAGTATCTCGTTGTATTATATACTTTAATGCCGCAATTTGTTATCACTCGCAGCCTCTATCCTGAGCTCCCTGAACAAACTACACAACAACACAGGAGAGGAGAAAGAGAGAGATAAGGCAGAGAGGAGAGGGCACAGACGCCAAAGCCAGAAGAGCCCGGAAAGTCTGGAAAATCCCTAAAAACTCCTGGGCAGGCTAGCAGAGATCCTTTGAAGAATTGGAGGGCAGGCTACAGGTTCTTTGAGTGGAGGGGCAGGCTACAGATCTTTGAGGAATTGGAGTGGCTAGCAGAGCTTTGAGGTGGAGGGGAGGGTGCAGAGCTTTGAGGAATTAGAGGGGCAGGCTGGCAGAGATTCTTTGACGAATTGGAGGGGCAGGGTAGCTGGGATTCTTCGCGTGTCTCAGTTTTCATAAAATATTTATTCAATAGTTTTTCCTTCATTTTCCAAGCAATCCAAGCGTCCCGCCGAGCATCCCACCAACCAGCGCCCCTTGCAAGAAGCTGCCGACCGCTGAAAATACACATTTCCTCAAAGAATCTCTGCTATCTGCCCCCAAAAACCCCACTAAAAAGCACTTACGACTACGGTAGTAGTAGGGTGGAGGCGGCGGTCGATAGTAGTACATCGGAGGTGGGGGAGGGCGACCCCAACCCCACATTGGAGGTGGAGGGCCACCTAGTAGAGATTCTTTGAGGAATTGGAGGGGCAGTCTAGCAGAGATTCTTTGAGGAATTGGAGGGGCAGGCTAGCAAGTTCTTTGAGGATTGGGGGGCAGGCTAGCAAGATTCTTTGAGGTTGGAGGGGCAGGCTACAGAGTTCTTTGAGGAATTGGAGGGGCAGGGTAGCAGAGATTCTTTGAGGTTGGGGGGCAGGCTGCAGAGTTCTTTGAGGAATTGGAGGGGCAGGCTAGCAAGTTCTTTGAGGTTGGAGGGCAGGCTAGCAGAGTTCTTTGAGGAATTGGAGGGGCAGGCTAGCATAGGTTCTTTGAGGAGCAGGCTTAGGCTTAAGCTTAGGCTTGGGCTTAGGCTTAAGCTTAGGCTTATGCTTAAGCTTAAGCTTAGGCTTGGCTTAGGTTCAGTTTAGGCTTAGCTTAGACGTAGGCTTATTGCTTAGGCTTAGGTTGTTTAGGTTGCTTACGTTGAGGTTGCTTGGGCTTTCCTTAGTCATGGAAAGGCAAGCTAGCATAGATTCTTTGCGCACTCACCCCAATACATCGGCCAGCTGACAACTCCTGGTGCGAAAAATAGCAATAAGAATTATGTACAGCTTCATAGCTACAGTAGGACTCCGCGAGACACCTCCAGACGTATTCTGTGCCCTTTAAATCGTTTCCCAGGTTTCCTTGGAGTCGAATTTGCATACGAGCCTTTCGTCAAATACGATGACTCAAAAAGGGGGCCCTGGTCTGCCTCAAGGTCATGCTCCTGCCGGCCAGATAAACACCATTTGACCCCCGCCAAATTCGCGGAACAGATTACGAAAGTAATCCTGAAAATTTGGGGCCCCGCAAAGGGTCTCTGCTAGCCTGCCGTCGTCAAAAATAGAGAGACTCTTTTAAGGGGGACTGGCCAGGTGTCTAGTTGCAACTTCAAAAAATCGTAGCGACCACATCCGCGACGTTACAGCTATGCCAGTTAGCGCCCCGGAATCAGCGTTCCAAGCCGGTTCGAATGAGTCGGACGCAAAATTCTGACGTGGTCGGGCTGTCGCGTAATGATTCAATGTTTGGAACCACTGCTGCCCAAAACCACCAAAAGTCAACACTTCAAAAAAATCGTAGCAATTACACCAGGTCCGCTGGGGCTTCGGACCGAACGTTTCTAGGGACTATTTTTCATGCTCTTTCAGATGCAAATTGAATGACGTGTTGAAATTGCCCGAACGGGCTCTAGTAGGCCTGGAAAGGTACAGGCGCGCTTGGGCGTTTGACCAAACCTTCAAAAAAAAATCCTGAGATCCTTAAATTTTTTCTTAAACCCTTAGCAATGTGAGCCTGAAATTTGTAGCTCCACAAATGCTCTCTGCTAGCCAACCCTTACCCTCTAAATATTTGCACCCAAAATGGAGTGGGGCCCGTGAAACCGGGGGGCTCAAATTTCAGGTGGAATGGAGAGAGACGTGCAAGGCTATATCGTTATTCCCACGCCATCCCACCCCCACTATAATGTTTTTTGTGAAATTTTTGTAAAGGCAGGCTAGCAGAGATTCTTTGAGCACTTCACAAACTTCCCAAAGAATCTCTGCTAGCCTGTCCCACTATACACTTACTACTACTAACCCTTTTAGCCCAAGCCAATTCCATTGTGTGCCCTCCCGGGGGTCATCAGTCACCTACACGCCTCGCTGGCCGCCCTGAAAATTTCTTGGGGTTCCGAAAAACGCCTCTAAACAGTTTCAGGGCCCTTCTCCCAGTTTTTTAGGTTTCACTGGCGCTGGCTTGGACCCAAAAAAGGTGTCCCCCAATTCCCGGGGGCCCTCGGAAAGCAGCCGGCGGCAGAAACTTGCAAGGACCCATGCCTTCGTTGCGGCATACGCTTTTGGGGTGATATTCAGGTTTTTAGGCTAAATGCCTAAGCTTAAGCCTAAGCCCAAGCCTAAGCCTAAGCCCAAGCCCAAGCCCAAGCCTAAGCCTAAACCTAAGCCTAAGCCTTAAGCCTAAGCCCAACCTAAGCCTAAGCCCCAACCTAAGCCTAAGCCCAACCTAAGCCTAAGCCTAGCCTACCCTAGCCTAAGCCTAAGCCCAAGCCTAAGCCCAAGCCTAAGCCTAAGCCTAAGCCTAAGCCCAACCTAAGCCCAAGCTTGCCTAAGCCTAGCCTAACCTAGCCTAAGCCTAACCTAAGCCTAAGCCTAACCTAAGCCTAAGCCTAAGCCTAAGCCTAAGCCTAAGCCTAACCTAAGCCTAAGCCTAAGCCTAAGCCTAAGCCTAACCTAAGCCTAAGGCCTAAGCCTAAGCCTAACCTAAGCCTAAGCCCAACCTGCCAAGCCTAACCTAAGCCTAAGCCTAGCCTAAGCCTGCCTAACCAGCCTAAACCCAAGCCTAGGCCTAATCTAACCCCGGATTCATGGAGTTTTGCGGGTTTGTAGGTAGTGAGTGACACGACACGCGTAGCTGCCCCCTCACCCCCGTATGCATTGGGGAACAATCTGGACAATGGGGGATACCTCTGCGGCCCCTAGGAAAAGTCATGACTTCAAAACGAGACGACCCACACACCACCCGGCAGCTTCTGACTTCCTTAACTTCTCAAAAACTAGGTTTTTGGCCTCCTCAAAGAATCTCTGCTAGCCTGCCCCTCCAATTCCTCAAAGAATCTCTGCTAGCCTGCCCCTCCTTTCCAACCTATTCAGTATTATCTCCTCCCCCCCATCTGTTGGTTTATGTGCCTTCCAGGCTTCTCCTTCTCCCCTATCCCATCCATCTTTTCCATTTCTTCCATTTCTTGCCCCTCTTTTCACTTCTTCTTTCACACCCACCAGTACCCATCTTCTGGAATGCCCTTCTTGAAGGCCCCCGACAAACAAGGCGGTGCTCCATCTTTCCTCCCTTCTAGGGGAAAAGCTAAGAATATCTTCCTCAAGGATCTCTGCTAGATTGCCGAGGAGGGGCAGGCTAGCAAAGATTCTTTGAGGAATTCGAGAGGCAGGCTGGCAGAAATTCTTTGAGGAATTGGTGGGGCAGGCTAGCAGAGATTCTTTGAGGGATTGGAGGGGCAGGGTAGCAGAGATTCTTTGAGCAATTCGAGAGGCAGGATAGCAGAAATTCTTTGAGGAATTGGCGGGGCAGGCTAGCAGAGATTCTTCGAGGGATTGGAGGGGCAGGGCATGCTATCAGAGACCATTTGTCCAACTCCACCTCCCCCACATCGATCTCCCCCCAGCCATATCCAATTTGGGGGGTGGTGGTGCCCGTTTTTGGGCCCTAACCCCATTTCTCGTGGTTCCGTTGTCCCCGTATTTAGTAGCCACCCGTCTTTTGTGCCTCCTTCGGGCGACATTTCTCTCTCTCTCTCTCTCTCTCTCTCTCTCTCTCTCTCTCGTCCCCCACCTAACCCACTACGGAAATGGCCTATTTACGCGCTGACCATGGCCGGGCGTTGAAATAGGGGTGGGCTAAAGTCCATTTAAAATTGCCGGAGGCGTCTTGGAACATGTTTTGGATCTATGGATTTGGCTTCAATTGTCCTTTAAAGCTATTTTTCTGTCTTCAAATGCCCTCTGCTAGCACTCTGATTCTTCACTAGCCCGTTGAGATGATTTTTTGATATCCTTACGTAGTTTTTCGAGGTTTCTCGACTTCAATGGTCGTTTAGAAGGCTAGAGGCCTTTACTCAGGGGCAATGTATTTGGCTATCAATGGTCCTTTAATGTGTTCTTTTGATCCCCCATAATCTCTGCTAGTTTGCTAGTAACTTCAAGGGTACTTTAAAGCCGGGTTTTTGCGTTCTCAAGCCATTTTTGGGCATTTTTTACTTATGGATGTCACTTCACTGCTCCTTTAAGACGATTTTCCAGGCCCAAAAATCACTGGAAAACCGGAAAATTGATTATTTTTCGTGCCTTTCACTACCTGCCATCATAAATTCCGCCAAACACCACCACCGGCTACACCACCACACCGGCAAACCCCTAAATTGGGTTCGCAGCCCCGGGGGCTTACGGCCAGTGGCGAGTGGAAATTAGTTGTGGCGCCCCCGTGGGGAGGGCAAGAACAATTTGGTTAGCGGACAGGGGAATTTCCGGAAGGAGACGGACACAAAGAAGGCTGTAGCGAACTTTCTGGAATTTATTTTGATGGCAAATGGTGTTTGCTAGCTTGCCCAGGCGACATTGTACTCCTAAATGGTCTCTGCTAGCCTGCCTGACCACGTTTTTGCTTTAAAGAACCTCTGCTAGCCTACCCTCCCCTAGATAACCACAGGAACTACTCCACCCCACTTGCTAGCGGCCGGAAAAGGCCGATTTCACAAGGACATACACCCCTATTCCGGCCCGATACTTCCGTTCTCCCGGGTGTCCATAGGAAAGGTGCGTAGTTGTGGCGGGCCCTAAGGGCATTTGGGGGCCCTCAGGTCCAGCTCCAAGGGCCCAGTACCGGAAATCGAGGAACACGGGGTGGCCAACCCGGGTCTACACCCGGGTATCGGGATTCTTTGACCTTCCGGGGGCAAGCTAGCAGAGATTCTTTGAGGAATTGGAGGGCCCCCGCAAAAAAAAAAAAACCCCCAAAACAATCTGAGGCCCCCCCCCCCCCCCCCCCCCAAAGCAGGCCGGCAAGAAAAAGAGGGGCGGCCGCAAAAAATTTTTGGGGATGGCCCTCCCCACTCCCCCCCCACCCCCAGGGCAGAGACACTTTAGGAAATTGAGGAGCAGGGAGCGCGCGGAAGCTGGAGTGAAGCGGAAATTACCGGGGTCTGTCTAAAGTCGGGTTTTCTGGGGTTGGAAAGCCGAAAACTGGCAGTCCTCAAGGACCACGAACTTTTAAAGGACCATTGAAGGCAAATCTGCCCGCCCTTGATTATTTTGACTTTAAAGGGATTGTGACACCTGGCGGGCTAGCAGAGACCCTTTAGGAACATGTTTTCCCAGATGGCCTATTTTGCAGTGTTGCCATTTCGTACTGCTTCTTCTCCTCCCTTTTTTGGCTTCAGAAAAAGGCAGGCGTTCGTCTCGACGGGACCCCCTCCCCCACCCGCCAGCCCAGGAGATTCAATCAAATTTTAACCCGTCGTTCTCTCTCTCCCTCTCTCTCTCTCTCTCTCTCTCTCTCTCTCGCTCTCTCTAGCTCGTTTTTGGAATGTCGGCGGGGCCACCCTCAAGGAATTCTAATGAACATCCCCTCGAGGGTTTTCGAACTCGAGCTCCCAGCTGGTCTCACCAATTTCTCAAAGAACCCCTGCTAGCCTGCCCCTGGATCTGAGACTTCGAAGTCGTACCCTTTTTCTGCCCCTCCTAATGGAATTCCAGAAGAACCCGCGTTCCCCAAAATTTTACGACCTCCCGGGGTCGTTCCGGAATTTGGAATGCCACGGAATTTTTCAGGAATTCCAGAATCGCTATTTTTGGATAAAATGAGCTTTGAAAAATGGATTACGACATGCATTTCCATTCGATTTCCTCAAAGAATCTATGCTAGCTTGCCCCGGCTCAAAAATAAGCTTTTTTCAGAAAATGCATCTCGGATGACGCTGGTATTGCTCCCAGTGCTGGCCGGCCTCGCCTCGGCCCTCCGTCTCGAGGAGCCGATCGTAATACAGCGGCCGTTAGAGAAGGTAAGCCTAAGCCTATGCCTATGCCTAAACCAAGCTTTTAGGTTGAATGGGGCGACGTCCTCCTTGAATATGACGCTACGCAACCGCCTCCCGGCAACGTTACGGTAGGTCGAAATTACAAACGATTACGTTGGGTAAATCTCGCCAAACTCTCCCTTTTTGTTGAATTTCCCCCCCCAAAAAAACAAAACCCTTCCCGTCCCAAAAGGAAACAATCGATTACGGATCAAAAACGGCTAATTGATTAGTCGGCATGAAAATCCTTTTTTTTTTAGGTTACGGTAGATCTGCGTGTCTTCCATCACTCTCGGCCCTCCTCGGAAACCCTGAAAATCTACATGGAGCTGTCGGAGGAGTGGCAAGATGGGCGACTAATCTTTCAGCACAATCCGGCTACCGTTACGGTACGTTTTTGTAGTCTGTACTCTTTAGCCTGTAATCTGTAGCCTGTAGTTTATAGCCTAGGTATCTATTTTGTAGTTTGCAACCTCTAACCCCAAACTCTTCCAGCTACCCCGCGGCGTCGAAATCTGGCGTCCTGAGACCTGGATACGAGACGGAATAGAGGATAGAACGGAACGGGAGACGCTACGGATACATCCTAGGGACGGTACAGTAACCCACAGAAGTATCAGGACGGTCGAGATACCTCGTAGAGGTGGAGAGAAAGAGGTGAGCGAGCAGAGATTCTTTGCGGAATTGGAGGGGCAGGCTAGCAGGGAATCTTTGAGGAATTTTAGGAAGGGCAGGCTAGCAGAGTTTCTTTGTGGAATTGGGGGGCAATCTGGCAGAGATTTTTGAGGCATTGGAGGGGCAGGCTAGCAGATCTTTTTTGATGCCATTTCCAGTCCTGCCCGCTCGTTTTCTCCTCCTTCACCGACGTCTCCAGCCGGGTCGACTACGCGATGCGCCGCGTTGACGCTCCGCACCTGAATTCTACCGTAACCCCGTCAGGAGTCGTATTTTCCTCTCGGGTTACTGTAGCTTTGGCTACAGTGCCTCAAAAAACCCCAAAATCCCTTCACTTCGTAATTTTTAATGCCTCGATTGTGTCTATTTTTGATGGCTTGTGATATATTTGTATTTTTTGAGGCGGCTACTGTAACAAATTACGCCATATAAATAATACCGACTTGGCAATCGACTCCGCTATGAAAATAACGATGGCTAATCAATTACATCAATATATAGTTTTTAAAGACGAGTTTAATCGATTACGCGATGAAAAAAGGAGTTTTTTGTGTGACGAATCATTTACGACATGTAAATACCCTTTCTCGGGCCGATAGCTAGTCGATTACTACATGAAAATATAGTTTCTCAGTCTATTATGACATCTTAATACCGGATTTTCGAACCAATTACGTCATCAAAATCCTGTATTTTGTAGCTGGCTTAAGGCAATATTTTTATTCACAAATTTTATTTTTAAAGGAGCATTGAAGTGGGGGGTGGTGGAATTGGGGGGAGGAAAAACGGAATTTTGTAATCTGCCGTCCGCGCCGCGTCGAATTTTGTGAACCATTTTTTAAAGGAGCAGAGAAGCTTCGGAAGTAGGCTTATCTGCGACCAAACGACATCAGATCACGGTCGAAGGCCTTCTGAAAAGGGGGAGAATTTTGACGTTAAATGGTCGCTGCTTGCTTGCCTAGCTTAGCTGGCTGGCTTGGCCTAGGCTTCGGCTTCGGCTTGGCTTAGGCTTAAGCTTAGGCTTGGACTTGGCTTAGGCTTAGGCTTGGCTTAGGCTTGCTTAGGCTTGGCTGGCTTAGGCTTAGGCTTGGCTTAGGCTTAAGCTTAGGCTTGGACTTGCAGGCTTGGGCTTGGCTTAGGCTTAAGCTTAGGCTTGGACTTGGCTTAGGCTTAGGCTTGGCTTAGGCTTAAGCTTAGGCTTGGACTTGGCTTAGGCTTAGGCTTGAGCTTAGGCTTAAGCATAGGCTTAGGCTTCGCTTAAACTTAGGCATAGGGTTAGGATCTGCTAGTCTGCCTCACCTTCCATCGCTCGTCAACGGCCCGCTTGCCGAATGCCATCAGGTCCCGTTCCATCATCTAGAAAACGCCGATTTTAGGGTTTAAAGGACCAGTGAAGCCAGAATATTGGCAAAATCTGGTCTCACCACCCCTTTAAAATGAGCGACACTTTTTTAAAGGGATGGTGACAACATCAGGGTCTAGCTAGCAAAGACAATTGAGGAAATTTCTCACCGGTGATCGCTTCCCGAATGACATCAGGTCACGGTCCATCTGAAAAACATGAATTTCGAAGCTTTAAAGGACCCTTGAAGGCAAATTTAGGCAAGCTAGCAGTGATCCTTGAGGAAAAACTTACCGGTGATCGCTTACCGAAGGCCATCAGGTCGCGGTCCATCTGAAAAAGGAGGTTTTAATGGGCCATTGAAGTCAAAATCTAGGTTGGCGTCCTAAAGGATTTCTGCTAGCATGCCCAGGTTCCGTAATTTCCTAGAAAATCTCTGCTAGCCTGCCCTATCTGATCGAACTTACCGGTGACCGCTTCCCGAACGCCATCATCTCGCGGTCAAACTGAAAAAATGGGAGATAGAGAGCGAGAGAGGGAGCAAGAGAGAGAGAGAGAGAGAGGGCAACAGAGAGCAGAAAAAAAGAGCAAAAATTACTTACCCCGGGTGCACTACGCTTTCCAAATGACATCAGCTCGCGATCCATCTAAAAATGATTGATTTTTCAGAATTTTCACCAGTTTTAAAGGACCATTGAAGGCAAAATCCCGTCCCTAATGCACTTTAAAGGAGCCAGTAAAGCCGCACCGGTGCTGCCCGCTTGCCGAAACTCATCAGATCCCGATCGAATGCCCGCTTCGCGGCATCTGACGAGAAAACGGCTGCATCATCGGAAAGCTGAGCTGAAGCGGCAGCCCATAGACAGGCGATGACCAGGGCCAGGGATCTGCTTTCGAACAGCATTCCGCAAACGGACTCTGCTGGTTACCTGAAAATGGGGCAGGCTAGCAGAGTTTCTTTGAAGAATTGGAGGGGCAATCTAGCACTGATTGTTTGAGGAATTGGAGGGGCAGGCTAGCAGAGATTCTTTGAGGTATTGGAGAGGCATACTAGCAGAGATTCTTTGAGGAGCTGGAGGGGCAATCTAGCCGAAATTCTTGGAAGAATTGAAGGGGCCGGCTAGCCGAGATTTTTTGCGGAAATTTGGAGCTACGGTAGGAAGTGAAACTCTACGATTTCTGGGACTACGTTGGCCCCTAGATCGAAAGAATGAACCTGTGGGAATTTTCTCAAAAATGCAACAAAAGGGCGGGAAGAAGTCCAAGGGGCTGGTGATGCCATAGATGAATGGAGGTGGGTGGCACCAGATTTAGGAAGCATTCTAGGCCAAAAATTGGTTCCTAAATGGTCTTTGCTAGCTTGCTGTGAGGATTAGGGGTAGGGCGAGCTAGCAGGGATTCTTTGAGGAATTAAGGGGATGGGCAGGCTAGCAGAGACCATTTTGGAATCTCGGGACCCCAAAAATGTGGTACATATACGAAAAAGCCCCCCGTAAAATTCAGCCATTAGCACCATGTTTTATGAAATGAGAAGGAGGCGTAGAAATGACGAGCATGAGCCTCTACCTACTCTCTTTCTCTCTCTCTCTCTCTCTCTCTCTCTCTACCATATTGTAATCCGATCCCCATTTCATACCCCCCGCAGCCATGTTTCGCACGCCATTTGGTGTGTTGCGTACACACACCCGGCCCGGGTCGGAACGGGCCTAGCCAATAAATTTTTTGTGCGGCTCCTGAAACTTTAAAAAGTGGGCCTAGAAGTTTCTGGAAGGGCCAAATAACCGGGAAAAATGTGTAGTTTTCAAAAAATGGATGAAGAGGAAGCTAAGCGAAGCCTAAGCCGATGCTGAGGAAGCCAAGCCTAAGCCTAAGCCTAAGGCTAAGCCTAAGCCTAAGCCTAAGCCTAAGCCTAAGCCTAAGCCTAAGCATAACCTAAACCTCGGCCCAAGCCTAAGCTTGCCGAAGTCTGAATTCTGATAAACCAGAAGCTCAGAATCTAGCAACCAAGTTGGTCGCCAGTCTCTGACGCTCCAAAGCTGAGCCTCAACTCGACGAACATCTAGCTCGAATTTCCGAGTTTTTCAGTGGATCTGGTGATCCCAAAATTAGAGGATTCCATTACACTCCACTTTGCAACGTCTCTATATCTCGCTCTCTCTCTCTCTCTCTCTCTCTCTCTCTCTCTCTCTCTTGCCTTTATAGGGCCTTTAAAAGGGACCCTGGAAGGCAGGACACCGGAAATGGATCCAGTTTCTCGGCGATGGCAACAAAGAAGCGTCACCGGATCAGAATAACACAAAATTTGGTGAAGGGCAGGCTAGCAGAGATTCTTGAGGAAGTCAGGGCAAGCTAGCAGTGACTGGAAATTTCCCTCTCTCTCTTAATGCGTAACAAATACGTAAAATCGATTTTTTGGGCCAAGTAGTGAATGTAATAAATTTTGATGACGATAGATGCACCGAGTCTCGTTCTTGATGAGTGAAGTGGGCGGAAGTGTGTCGTAAAAAGCCGTAGAAATTGGGAATTCAGGAAGGAGCCGCTAAGGAGAAGCTAGACACGAATTACGGGGTACGGATGAAAGGTTAGATATGGGATGGTCGAATGGATAAGGTGATGGAGGACGGGAAATGATGAGGATGACAAGCCTGAGCCTAGTCTAGCCTGCCTAAGCTCGCCTGCTTAGCCTAAGCCTAGCCTAGCCAATCCTAAGCCTAAGCCAATCCTAAGCCTAAGCCTGAGCTTAAGCCAATCCTAAGCCTAAGCCAATCCTAAGCCTAAGCCTAAGCCTGAGCTTAAGCCAATCCTAAGCCTAAGCCAATCCTAAGCCTAAGCTTAAGCCGAAGCCTAAGCCTAAGCCTAAGCGTAAGCCTAAGCCTAAGCCTAAGCCTAAGCCTAAGCCTAAGCCCAAGCCAAGCCCATATCTGTTTTTCAAGGCCCACTGAAGGCAGTATGACCACCCAGTCCGTGGGGGCGTGGGCAATTTTCACCTAGTCAAATCCCAAAAAAGCATTTTAGGGGTGGCCCCGGGGCCACAAATAATTGTCCTGGGCCCCCAAGACGAGGCGGATTTTTGTTCAATCTTTTCGAAGAGTCGAAATGGGGTGGGGCCCAAAAAAGAATGAATGGTACCGGATGTGGGTCTTGGGGGCCAGGTTGACGCTTCTGACGCAGCAGAAGACGGTGGAGGTGGGTTATAAACAAAAATAAGGGCTATGGTAGGCTAGCAGAGATTGTTCGAGGAACTGGAGGGGCAGGCTAGCAGAGGTTCTTTGAGGAATTTTGAAGAGGCATACAGACCCGTTGGAAGGAAGTGCCTTCCTAGGCCCTTTAAAACCAATTTCCGGGCGCCCAACAATTGATTTCCATAGTTAGAGCGGAATAATTGAATTACTGGGCGCTAGAGAATGCGAGAGAGAGAGAGAGAGAGAGAGAGAGAGAGAGAGAGAGAAAAAGAGAAGAGAGGGGGGGGGGCGGAAACAGCAACAAGAAGCCTCCCAATTACCCCTCGAAAAGTCGAAACAAGACGCAAAATGGAGGAAAAAGCGGAAGAGACAATGGGAAGCTGAAACGAGAATACCCCCCGGGTTAGCAAGTTGACGTTCCGGGAAATGACTTTTTGGGTCTCGTGACGAGTGTCTGAAAATTCCGCAAGAATCTCTGCTAGCCTGCCCCTCCATTCCTCAAAGAATCTTTGCTAGCCTGCCACCCAGTACTATTGTGGTCATCGAGATTTTCGGAGACGAAATGACGGCTTTGAAAATGCATGGCCCGCCCGGCAAAGGGGGCATTTTTGAGAGTTTTTCGTCCGTTTCCAGAGGACCTCTCGGACTGGACGGGGCGGGGCAGGCTAGCGGAGATCATTTGGGAATGTGCAGACGGTGGTCAGCTAGCAGAAACCATTTGACGATCCGTTACGCGCAAGGCGAGCTAGCAGAGATTCTTGAGGATTTTTGGAAGCCTTGGCAAGCTAGCAGAGATTTTTGGCGGAAAAGAGAGCGTAAATGACGAATTCCTGGCGCCGAAGAGCAAGGCGAAAGTTTGACGGAAATTTGGTTATATCTCGAGTTTTCTCTCGCTCTTCTCTCACGCTCTCTCTCTCTCTCTCTCTCTCTCTTCCGAAACGGCAACACAAAGCCAGTTTCCGGAAGCCGGCCAAAATGTGCCCCCGGACTTGAGAATTCAGAAGCCAGGCCCTCCCAATTTGGCCCACCCACCTTCAGAATTGCATCAAAAATATGTTGACCAAGTTGAGGGAAAGCGAGAGAGAGAGAGAGAGAGAGAGAGAGAGGGAGAGAAAAACTAGATGAAAATCTGATTTCTAGCACATTTCCGGCTCGACGCAGTCACTAAATCGAGATCTTCAGCTCATTTAAAGCCGTTCAAGCCTTTTAAAGGACCATTGAAGCCAAAATCCATAACATAAACACGATCCGAAGTTCAGGAATAGTACGAATCTGCGTGTCATGACGTTTTTTGAGCCTTTAGGGCGCGTCCCGGAATTTCTGAGAAAATTTCTGGGGGTTCTCACGCCTCAGAAAACCGTTCCGGAACTTTTGAAATAAAGAATTTGACGAAATCTCGATTTTACGACGATTTCAGGCAGGGCGGGCTAGTAGAAATCATTGAGGAATTCAAATTTATCTTTAAGAGTCCTTAGGAGCTTTAAAATGTGGGGCAAGCGAGCAGCTTTGGTTATACGTGGCTTCTTAGTGCTTTTAGGATGGGGCAAGCTACCAGAGATCATTGAGGAAGTAAAATTTGGCTTTCCAAGATCTTTGAATGGCCAGGCAGGCCAGCAGAGATCATTGGGGAATTCAAATTTGGCTTCAAAATGCCTTAAAATCAGGCAAACAAGCTTAGATCCTTTTGGAAATCACCAGAAGCCATTTTCCAACTTCCCAATCCCGTTAAAGGGACCGGAAACCCGGGGAAAAGCCTGAGAACTGAGACTGACGTCGCCGAGATGCCCTGGCTGGCTGTCCCCTCCAATGCCCCGAGGCTATATATCAAAATAGGAGCCCCCGGGAAATCGGCGCTCCAATTTGGACCCGGGCCCGGCCGGGCTTCTGGCAGGCTTCTGCCTTAAAATCTGCAGATCGGGAGGGGCAGGCTAGCATGGATTCTTTGCGGAATCGGAGAAGGAGCAGACTAGCAGTGCTCCTTTGCGGAATTGCAGATGCCGGAAGAACAAAGCGGACTTGAAATTTGATCCGAAATTGCAGGCTGGTCAGCTGAAAAAACTAGGGAAAGCCGAGCCAAAAAAACGAGAATCTTTCTCTGGCTGTCTCTCCACTCTCTCGCCTTCTAAAAATTATTTAGAAGCGTATTCCGGCGTAGTTTTTTGTGTAGATTCTGAAAATCCTAGTGAAAATTGCTCATTCCAAAGATTTTAGGACGAAAACAGCCTTCGAAGTCGTCCGAACCCACCTGACCTCTCTCTCGCAGTCAGACCAAACCTTCAAAAAATCATAGCAATTATACCAGGTCCGCTCGGGCTTTGTAGCAAAACTTTTTCGGCACTCGTTGCACGCTCTTTCAGATGCAAATCGAATTCTGTGTTGAAAATGCGCGATCGGCATCAAATAGGCCTGAAAGGTACCAGGCCCGGGGGGTCAGAGTCAGACTTCAAAAAATCATAGCAACCAAACCAGGGCCTGCCAAGTCTTTTACAACAACTTTTCCAACACTATTTTTCATGCTCTTTCAGATTCAGACATCAAAACGACTTCGCACCGTTGATTTCTCGCGGAATCAGCCTTGGAAGGCAGGACCGATTAGGGGGCTTGCCGGGTGTCTAGGTGAAACTTTAAAAAAATCGTAAAAACCACCAACGCGATTTTTGAGCTATGCAAGTTAGCCCATCGGTATCAGCGTTTCAAGCCGGTTCGAATGGGTCCAGGGCGAAATTCTGAAGAGGACTGGCTATCGAGTAGAGATTCAATGACTTGAAAAATCGGGAGGTTTTGCGGCACAGGATGGCAAGCCTTTCTCTCGCTGTCTCTCCACTCTTTCGCTTTCTAAAAATCATTTTGCAGCAAATTCTGACGTGGTTTTGCATGGAAAATCAATTTATTCCAAGGACAAAAACACCAAGGATAAAAAAAAATGCCGGCGAGATCAACGTACCAAATATCATACAAAAATCGTTTCGGGTTTGAAAAATGGTAATTTTTGACATTTAGGGGGGAAAATGCAACGGTTACGGTGGAAACATCAAATTCCTGTCAGGACCCAGAGACAGGCGAGAGAGTGGAGAGGCGAGAGACAGAGAGAGAGAGCGAGAGAGTGAGAGAGAGAGGGAGAGAGAGATAACAAACTACACCTCAAAAATACAAATACAGTAACGGGGGGGGAAACTGTGTACACGCGGAAAGAAACGAAAAACAGTACAGTACTATCCAAATTACGCTAATTCGTTAGAGGAGCGTCCAGAGGACTTTGGCGGAAGGGTTGTAGTTTCTGTAGTCTTGAGTTGGATGCTATACTACGAAATTTCGTTGTTTGTAGTTTGTAGTCTGTAGTTACAGGATCGTCTGCTCGCCCTGGAGGAGCTGCAGTTGGCTTCTTGTTGTCTCGTGCGCTTGTCGCTCCTAAAATAGAGATTTTTTGGGGGCAGGCTAGCAGAGATTTTTGAGGAAATTTTCGAAAATTTACAGCTTGAAGAGCATCGTCCAGCTGTCGATTATCAAGGGAGAGGCGGTCGATGCTCAGCCGGGCTCGCGAGAGCTCGCCGCGAAGCCGTTCGCACTCTTGGGTGATGGACTGAAAATGGCAAATGGTATTTGCTAGCATGCCTCTTCAATTCCTCAGAGAATCTCTGCTAGCCTGCCCCCACTCACCGTCAGCTCTCCATCCTGGCTCTGGTTCCTCCCCAACCGCAGGAATTCATCGGAAAATGCACGATTTAACTAAAAACGATGGGACTTAGGTGTCACACTCCCTTTAAAGCTACCTTTGGAGCATGGAGAAGCTGGGAGAGGCCATCGTGGATCGACGAGGCGTTGGTGCTCGAGTTTGAGGGGGCTCTGAAAGGCGGAAGTCGAGTTAGGGGCATGTCACGCTCCCTTTAAAACTAGAAATCGTGCCAGAAACTGATCTCTATTAGTGCGCTAGCGCCAAGCATGCTAGCACAGATTTTTGGGGAACATTACGGAGCTAGAAAGGTGCGAAAATGTCTATTAGTGCGTCTATGCGACCAGGCTGGCTAGCAGAGACCATTTAGGATCCCTAACGGTGCGAGAAACGGTGCAAAATTGTCTTTTAGTGCGTCTATACGAGAACAGGCAAGCTAGCAGAGACCATTTGCCACGTGTCTCACCGACCCGAGCGAGTTCTTCGACCGCACGTTGCCGGCCTGTTGATGACGAGAAGCCGAAGCTGGTGCTCCCGAGAATGAGAACGAGCAGCCCTCGGCGGAGAGGGGAGACGAGTGAGGGGAAGTGTCCAGATCTCGCGCCCTGAGCCGCAGCATGTCGCCGTAGCTGAAATGGGGAAGGAGTGGAGAAGTAGGGGAAGGAGAGGGTGTGTGAGTGGAGAGGGCAGAGAAAATGGGAAAATTTGCCTTCAATAGACCTTTAAAGTGAGTTTAAAGGTCCCGGCGAGTCAAAAACGCCATGGATCCCGCCATTTTTGGCTTCAGTAGGCCTTTAAGGTAATTTTAAAGGGACTGACAAGCCAAAAAATTTTATAGATTTGTCTATCTCTGCCTTCAATGGTCCTTTAGAAACGTTTAAAGGAGCATTGAAGGCAGAAAAGAGAAGTAGAGGCGTGTTAGAAGAAGAGAAAAATTGTAGGTGATTAGGGAAAAACTAAAGGAACGGGTAAGCCACCCAGAAATTGGTAAAAACAGTGGCCGGTGAGCGAGAGAGGGTGAGAGAGGGGCGGGAAAGAAAAAAAAACCCGCAGAATTCCCTTACGTAATCGGTTGGCGGGCAAACGCGTCCGGGGTCAGCATGTAGTCGGCGGCGCCTTTCATCGCTGCGCAGTTCGGGTCTTCGCAACCTCTGGAAAAATTGGGTTTAAAGGACCGTTGAAGGCTTGGATTCCTAAGGAATCGCTGCTAGATAAAAAGCCTAAACCTAAGCCTAAGCCGTAGCCTAAGTCTAGCCCAAGCCAAGCCTAAGCCTAACCCAAGCCGAAGCCTAAGCCTCAGCCGAAGCCAAGCCTAAGCCAAGCCAAGCTACCGTACCTCCTCGGACTCCCATCAGCCGCCGGGGCGATCAATAGCAGCCTCAAGGCATCGGCTTCGCTCTGCGGGCTTAGCAGCTCGCACATCCGGTCCATCGGGAGCGTCGACAGGCTCTGGCCCTCGATCTGGAATTGAGGGCGGGCTAGCAGAGATTCTTTGAGAAATCTGGGGCCAAAACTAGCCCTTACCTCAACGATCCGACTGCCCTGCCGCAACCCCGCCTTCCAAGCCGTATGGTACATCTCCACGTCCGTGACTACACCCTCATCCTGAAATTCCGGTTTTAAAGGCCCATGGAAGGCAAATAGATACCTGGATATGGAAACCCCAGCTTTCCCCGTGACGTCCCCGCCTGACGACGACTTCACGGGCTTCATCGCCTTTCGACACTGAAACGAATAGGTTTTGTTGGGTCCTTAATGATCTCTGCTGGCCTGCCCTGGCTTGACTGGGCCTTTAAAACCGTTTAAAGGGATGGTGACACCTAGAAACTGACCATTGTTTAGCCTCTCGAGGAGCGTCTGGAGTTCAGCGTCGGAGCTTTCGGAGGACGCGACGCACCTCATCAGCAACATGTCACCATGGTCGTAGTAGATTTTCAGGCTGAAATAGATTGATGACGTTTAGGTCAAAGCCTAAGCTAAGCCTAAGCCTAAGTCTAAGCCCAAGCCCAAGCCCAAGCCCAGTCCAAGCCTAAGCCTAAGCCTAAACCACTCCCCTTTCCCGAATAATCTCTGCCAGCCCACCCCATCTCCGTGTTCGCCCAGCCGATGATCGAATGCGTGGGGGTGATGAAAATTGGCGTCCCGCTCGGCCGCTCGATCAGCACCAGCGCGTCGTAGGAGAGGCCTGAAAATTCGAGGGATTCTTGGTGTCACCATCCCTTGAAAACGTGCAAAACTCGATTTGTGAAGATTAAAGGGATGGTGACAGCTAGAAAAAGTAAAATACCGTACCCAGCACGCAGCTGACACGCTGGTTCATCGAGAAGTCGTGCACGTCGACGAGCCAGGAAACGGCGCCGCGCAGCGGGGATAACTGAAAGAGCCAGGTTTTCGGGTTCTTGCTTATCCGTCCTTTAAAATACGATTACGATAAGTAATCAAACCCGATATATTGTCATTCGATTACGCTATGTATTCCAGCCTTCAATGGCCCTTTAAAATCAAAATTTTCGCACTTACCAAAGTGGCTTTCAACGGATTCGTCCTCTCCCGCTTCGACTTCACCGACCCCCCAAGGAGGCGACCTAAATAAAACTAATTTTCCCAAGCCCTACCGTAACCCACTGGCTATCCGTGCGGGACCCTCATTCGGATGCGCGCCTCCATGATTCTCGACGAGATCCCGCAGCGCCTCGCGCCGTGTACGCGCCGCCATCGCCGCAAACTTCTTACTACGATGGACGGCGTTCTCGGCGTTGATTACTGGAATTGGAGGGGGTACTGTAGGTGAGATGGGCGAGCTAGCGGAGATTTTTGAGGAATCAGGCGTATGGGGAGGCTAGTAGAGATTCTTTGGAAGTCAGAAAAATGGTTTGGCAAGCTAGCAGAGATTCCTTAGGATTTTCAGAACCCCAGGCAGGCTAGCAGAGACCATTTAAAAAACCACCCCCCCCCCCCCCCCCCCCCGCCCCCCCCCCTCCCCCCCCCCCCCCCCGCCCCCCCCCCCCCCCCCTCGGGCCCGGGGGAAAAAGAGAGGGGGCGGGCGGGAAAACCCTCCGGGATGGGCCTTGGCCCCGGCCGGCCCCCCAACCACAATCCCCCCCACCAAAAAAAAACAAAAACCAAGAAAAAACCATTCCGACCCAAAAAAGGGCTCGGCGCCCTCGGAGCCCAAACCCCCAAAAAAAAACTATCAAAAACAATTTGCCTCTAGCAAAACCCACTTTTCGTGATCAGCCAATCATGAAAATAGGCGCATTTGTTGAAGGTGGCTCCTCGAGGGATTGGAGGCCCAAACGGAGGCACATCTCTGCATCGACAGACCGCAACGCTAAAAGGAGAATCGATTACGATAGGAAATTAGAAATTCTGGGCAGGCTAGCAGAGATCATTGAGGAATGGAAGGCGCCCAACCTGTAGGAAACATTCTCTGTACAAGGGTTGGCGACGCGGACGACGATGAAGACGTGTTGGAAGTGGGAGCGGACGGTTAGGGGGAGAAAGGGAGGGCGCCCGCCTGAAAATTGGTGTCACTATCCCTTTAAAAGCCTAAGCCTAAGCTTAAGTCTAAGCCAAAGCCTAAGCCTAAGCCTAAGCCAAGCCTAAGCCAAGCCTAAGCCAAGCCTAAGCCAAGCCTAAGCCAAGCCTAAGCCAAGCCTAAGCCAAGCCTAAGCCAAGCCTAAGCCAAGCCCAAGCCTTACCTCCTGAAAGACGACGGTCACCATATCGTTCCCAATATGCCGTTTCCGGGCCAGCTAAACAGGTTTTGGCCATTTTAAAGGGACAGCGACAGCACGGACCTGCTGTCTATTCGATGGGGTGTACGGTAGCAGGGTGGAGACGTGGAACATCAGCTCGTGAGACTCATACTCGGCGTACACAGAGTGGGTGCCGGTGGTGTCCCCTTTCGTGTCGAGACCACCCTGAAAAATGAAGCTAGATTGCCTCAAAATCTCTGCTAGCCTGCCCCTCTTGCTCACCTTATATTGATCGAATCCCTTCAACCTCACTCGTTGCCCCAAAAATTCCAAGAATTCATCAAAAGCCGGTGAGCTGTGCTCGTTGTTGTACATTTGTTCCTCGGTGCTTTGCCCGTCGGCGCACAGCATGACGCCCACCTAGAAAAAATTTGTTTTAGGTGTCACTGTTCCTTTAAAACGTTCTAGAGGCTTTTAAAGGTCCATTGAAGCGAAAAAAACGCAATTTCCAGCTGTCCCCGTCCCTTTAAAGCCCACAGAACCGCCAAATCCACCTTATATCTCGCATAAATCGGTTGCTCATCGATTTTCGTCAACAACTCCTCGAATTTCTGCGTCTGCAGCGCCGGCCTCAACGCCGGGAAGTGCAGCTGCGGGGCCACGATTTCAAGGAGGTCTCTAAAATGGAAAAATTTCTCAAAGAATCCCTGCTAGCTTGCCTGAAAAGCACTCGATTCGAGCGCTCGGCTCCTTCTTTCGGTTCAGGGAGAATTTCTTCCGGGACGGCTACTCGCAGGGTTTTTAGCTGAAAAATCGTGGCTTGAGAAGCTTAAGCCTAAGCCTAAACCTAAGCCTAAGCCTAAGCCTACGTCTAAGCCGAGCCTAAGCCAAGCCCAAGCCTAAGCCTAAGCCTAAGCCCAAGCCACTCACATCTCCAATCCTGATTATCATCCGGTAGACGATCTGCTTCGGGCCCTTGATGTCCTTCTGCTGTCCTTGTTGCTGTTGCGTGCCCGCACAGCCGTTGTTTGTAGTTTGTGGCTGAACACTGGCCAATCGGCTCTTTTCAGAGAGATCTTTGACCACGGAGACGACCACCGGGCCCAGGTCTTCTGTCATCCCGACGTATTCGACGTGTTCTGAAAAGGGCAGGCTAGCAGAGGTTCTTTGAGGAATTGGGGGGAAGGCTAGCAGAGATTCTTTATGGAAAAACGTACGTCTTCCGACAAAACAGTGTCGATAGTAGTAGCTGCCAATATCCTGGGGTTCTATGACGCATTTGGGTTGTCTCGCAGCGCACAATCTGCCTCCCAGATACACATTCGAGACGTCTTCCAGGATATGGGCTTCGGCGGCTGTGTGTTCTCTACAAAAATCGTGAATTTTACGTTTTAAAGGCCCATTGAAGGCAAAATAAAAATCCACAAGAATTTTGACTTGAGGAGGCCTTTAAAAGCCTCTAAGGCATTTTAAAGGATCATTGAAGACAAAATCTGGCAGATTTCTGACTGAGAGGGACTTTAAAAGCTTCTAAGTCGCTTTAAAGGACCACTTCAAGCCAAAATCCATGAATGAATCCATATTTCAGAGTTGAGAGGCCTTTAAAAGCCTCGACGCCATTTTAAAGGACCATTGAAGGCAAAATCCACGCACCTGTGCCACGTCTCCGTACTCCTCACATCCACCACCATGTCTCGAGTAGCCCTCGACAGGGCTATTCGTCGGACCGGCTCGACGCCAAGCTCGTTTCTGAAGAAAATTTCGGTTCAAATGGCCTCTGCTCGCTTGCCCAGCCTTTTAAAGGGCCGTTGAAGGCAAAAATCAGTCTAAAATTGTCGCTGCCAGCCTGCCCCCACCTGAATGCCGGGCAGCTGAGGAGCAGATCGTTGCTTTTTCCGTCGCCAAGATCGTCTTCGGTCGGGCTCTGGGCTTGGCTGGCGCCTGAAAGTGTGTTTTAAAGGGTTATTGAAGCGAGGAAGTGCGATTTAGATAGCGTAACCGAATAGGAATTCCCGTTTTTATACCTTATCCGACAATTAAAACGTTTTAAAGGCGCGGTGACACCTAGGAAATAGAATTTAAAGAGCCATTGAAGGCAGGTAGCGAGATTTTGATAGCGTAATCGAATAGAATGACAATTTTTTAAGTTTATTGGCTCTTAATCCGTTTTAAAGGCATGGTGACACATAGGAAAATAATAAATTTAGCTTTAGCTCGATTTAAAGACTTTTAAAGGCGCCATGACACCTAAAAACTCCTTTAAATGACCGCTGAAGGCAAAAATCTACCGGTAGCCCTGTGCTCAATCCAGGGTGGCGGTTGCCCAAGGCCCCATGATGAAGCCAGCGTTATACAGTCATGGTGGGAGACCAATCGAGGGTAGACGGGTCGCCAGTCGCTGAAAAGTTGGTTTAAATGGTGTCTGCTAGCTTGCCGGAGACGGATCTTGAATTGCCGATCCCTTTAAAATGATATCACGGGCTTTAAAGGGAGCGGGACACCAGAATTTCGCTTTCCTCAGTTGGATTTGACTTGTCAGGTCCTTTAGGAGTTAGAAAAATGTCTTAAGAAGAGATTAGCGTTGAAATTTGACTTCGGGGTCCCTTTAAAACGTAGAAAAGTTGTTTTAAAGGATTGACTAACATTATACCGAAAATTGATTATGCAGAAATCCATTAGGCAGAAATACATTATACCGAAAATCCATTATGCAGAAAACCATTACATAGAAAACCGTTATATCGAAATTTCAATACCCAGAAATTTCAATACGCAGAAATCCGTTACGCAGAAAACCATTATACAGAAAAACCAGTACGCAGAAATACACTACCTAGAAAATTCATGACGCAGAAGACCATTACACCGAAATTTCCGTACTTGGAAAAATCCTCTTTGCTGGAAATTTCCGAGTTGATGACAACGCGTCATAAGGCAAAAACTTTGGTGGATAAAATCCGGAAAGTCAGCAAACAGGGTTTCGAGAAAGTTTTCAAAATTTTCAAGAATTCTAGAGAGGAGGGTGAGTATCGGGAATCTCGCACAATTTTCGAACCGATAAGACTATTTGACTGGGTAAAGTCCGCGAGTCAATGATGGAAACAACCTCAGCGACCGCGGATACAACCTTTTTTTGTATATAGAATCTTATGGGAGTGGAACGGTTAGGGTAACAAATTTCTGCGAAATATTTTTTCTATATAATGAACTTCTGCGTAATAGTTTTTCTGCGTAGTGATTTTCTGCGTAATGGGATTTCGGTATAATGAAATTTCGGTCTAATGGATTTCGGCTTAATCGATTTCTGCGTAATGGATTTTCTGTGTAATGGTTTTCTGCGTAATGGGTTTTCGGTATAACGGTTTTCTGTCTAATGGATTTCTGCGTACCGAAATTTCTGCGTAATGTTAATTGCCCGTTTTAAAGGGGCTGTGACACCCTAGGGCCTACCCTGGCGCCGTCGGGGCCGGCCTGTCCACGGCTCCGCGATTGTGCGTCTCAGGGTCAGAAGCCGTAGAGGGGTGCTCTTGGTGGACTCCGGAAGGGCCGGAAAGGCTGCCGGAAGTGTTGGGGAGGACATCTTGGGTAGAGCCTGAAAATTAATTCCTCAATGGTCTCTGCTAGCCTACCCCCGATGACGACCGCGATCACGGAACCCCGCCGGTTGAACATGTCGAGGGCGCGGGCTGTCGCTGAACACCTGAAAATGGGCAGGGTGGCAGAGATTCTTTGAGGAATTGGAGGGGCAGGCTAGCAGAGATTCTTTGAGGAATTGGCGGGCAGGCCAGCAGAGGTTCTTTGAGGAAATTAGAGGGGGCAGGCTAGCAGAGATTCCTTACCCGTCGTGGCTGTGATGACCGTCCATAGGAAGCTCGTCGTCCTCTTCGCGGGATTTACGATCCCTTCAGCCAGCCATCCATCGCTATCGATTTTTAAAGGGAGCTGCAAGTGGGGAATTGGGCGGAGGAAAAACGGTGCGTCCGCTGCGGCTCCAGCTGTGCCTGAAAAAGGGTGTTTTCGGCGGCTGCAAAAATTGAATGGTCAAAATATGACAGTGGAGCAAGCCGAAGTGTAAGCTCAACGTAGGCCTAGCTTAAGCCTAAGCCCAAGCCCAAGCCTAAGCCTACGCCTAAACCTAAGCCTAAGCCTAAGCCTAAGCCTACGCCTAAACCTAAGCCTTAGCCTAAGCCGGGCCTAAGCCAAGCTTAAGCCAAAGCCTAAGCCATGCCTAACAAGGAGACGTTTTTGAGTGTCGTCGGGACTTTGGCAGGGACCATGCCTTCTTGTGCGTTTTACGCTGAATCCGAATTGGTAACCGTTTTTGCGGAATAGCCCTTTCTCGAAAGTTATGAACGATTTAAACCTCAAAACAGCACAAAATCGGCTACTTTCAATGTCATAGGCTTAAATAGGTTTTAGACAAAACCAGATAGTACATCTTGTTCAGAAAAAATTCTCTATAAAATGTACTATCTTTTCCAAAATCATTGAAAAGTTGGAAAAATTTGATAAATTGGGAGGTCCATAATTTTACAAAAATTTTCAAAATTCCAGCATTTTGAGTTAAGTAGCTTATTTTATAGAGGATTGGTTTCTAAACAAGATGTACCATCTGGTTTTGTCTAAAACCTATTCCGAAGCCTTTTATGACTATCGAAAGTAGCCGATTTTGGGCTGTTTTGAGGTTTAGATCGTTCATAACTTTCGAGAAATGGCTATTCCGCAAAACGGTTACTATTTCGGAATCAGCGTAAAATTCTGCACAAGATAGGCATGGTCCCGTGCCAAAGTCCCGACGACACTCAAAAACGTCTCCTTGTAAGCAGTTTCAAAATGTTTTGGGCGCCTAAAAGTGGTCGAAACGTTTCGCTGGGTGCGCGTAAAGATCGTATCGTCGCGTAGTCGTGACGGATTTAAGGTGACAGGAATGGGAAAGCCATAGTCTAGAGGCCAAAAGGGCTAGAAAAGCTACGGATGTCACGTTTTAGGAAAAGAGAGGGATAGAGAGAGATAGAAAGAGAGAGATAGAGACAGAGAGAAGAGAGAGAGAGAGAGAGAGAGAGAGAGAGAGAGAGCCAGAGAGAGAGAAATCGATTAACAGCCGAAACGCGGCAAATACAGACTCCAAAATGTTGTCTGGTCCGGTTGGGGGGGTGTATCTATTCGAAAAATTGGAGAGGGCTCGTAGATTTGTTTGTATAGAGGGGCGAGATACAGAGAGAGAGAGAGAGAGAGAGAGAGAGAGAGCGAGGAGAGAGAAAGAGGCACAGAATGACACTCATTTTTGCCCCTCCCAACACAGGGCTGGAATTCAATGATGTTCCGGTGGTTTGGGGGGGCGGAAGTTGGGTAAACCAACATAAGCTACGCCCACCACACAGACACGCACAAATTGGATCGTAGATCGGCAATGCGGAACCCTCATAAAACGTGTCATTAATGCGTGGAAACGGGGGTTGTGCTTTGATGTCAAAAACCAAAAATGCACTCGGATTGAGCTCGGGAGGCAGGCTAGCAGAGATCTTTGAGGAATTATGAGTATTATGGCAGGCTAGCAGAGATTATTGAGGATCAGAGCGACTGGGGGCAGGCTAGCAGAGAAAATTTAGGAGCCACTGGAAGCTGAAAATGCGTTAGATGCTGAGTTTTTAGGTGTCACGCTCCCTTTAACTAATCTAGAAAGTAAATCAAGAATAAATGATAAATTGGAGGAGCAGGCTAGCAGAGATTCTTCACGAAACCACGTGAGAACACCTGGCCGCCGGCCGGACATTGGCTTTTCACCTGGGCCGTCTTGCACTAGGGGCTTTTCCCCCCTGCTGGGGGTGAAAAGTGCTGTTGGGGTGGTGGTGGCTGTGTCAGTCAGTCAGCCCAGCTTCACCCCGCCAATGTGCCCCCCAGGGCTATGAAGTGGGTTTTTTAAGAGAAAGAGGAAGGGCCCCCCCGCAGGGAGGGGACGGCTGGGTGAGTTTTGATGGGGGGAGCAGGAGGAGGAGGAGGAGGAGCGGCTCTTGTTTTGATGTGGAAAGTATGGAAGCGAGAGAGAGAGAGAGAGAGAGAGAGAGAGAGAGAGAGAGAGAGACGCCGAGAGGGCCCTGTTGCTTGGGGAGGGGCCCATAAAGGGCCCAGGCCCAAGGGCCCCAGCCCTCACTGGGCCCCAGGGGGTCAGTTAAAGGGGCAGGAAAGCTATTTTTGTGAAAGGCAAATGGCCTCTGCTAGCCTGCCCCGCTTGAAATTCCGCAAATGATCTCTGGTAGCGTGCCCCTGCTCTCAAGTTCCGCAACGATCTCTGCTAGCATACTGCGTCTCAGATTCCTCAAAGAATCTCTGCTAGCTCGTCTAGCAAAAAGCAAAAAAGCCCAAAGAAACTCTGCCAGCCTACCTTCCTTAGGTCTTTAAGGGGCCATTGAAGCGTTCCTTTGGCAAAAAACGGGCACCATTGGTTTCCAAGTCGACAAATTTCCGCAAACCGTCTCGGCTGGCTTGCCCTGGAGCGGTGCCAAAATTTTTAAATGGCCGTTGACGGCAAAATATATAAGCTTCAAGGTTGTTTCGAGGTTTAAAGGACCATTGAAGACAAAATCCATGGTCTCAGAGCCGTTTTTCGATCTTAAAGGACCATTGAAGGCAAAATCCATGAACCTAAAGGCCTTTGAGCATCTTAAAGGGCCATTGAAGTCAAAGTCCAGGCAATAACCTTGGCCTAAGCCTAAGCCTAAGACCCACTAAAGCCAAATCCTAGAGTCCAGGAAGTGGCATTGCCCTCCCTACAGAATGTGAGCTGTTTGTGGGGATGGGGCGTGAAACGTGTGCCGCGTGTGTACCCTCGGATTGAAAATTGGCCAAACTTGCGGCCGAGAGGAGCCGGATGAAGCGCCGGGGATTCTGTAGCGTCAATGTGTACATATAGGGGGGCAGAATCGAGGATATTGCATGCTCTTTTTCTCATGCCTCTCTCGCTCTCTCTCTCTCCCCCTCTCTGACTCTTTCTCTCTCTCGCTCTCTCCCTCACTCTCTCTCTCTCTCGCTTCCAGGAGGCAGGCTAGCAGAGATTCTTTGAGGAATTGAAGGGAAGGGCAGGCTAGCAATTCTTCGAGGAATCGCTGTCAAGAGGTCTCTTCAAAATTCACTGGATACTTGAAGTCCCGTTCTCTCTCGCTCTCGCTCTCTCTCTCTCCCTCTCTCTCTCTCTCTCTCTCTCTCTCTCTCCGCTTCACGAATTCGGGTCCTTTTCGGCCACGAAGAGGGGGAGAAGCTGGGATCGATGTCGCGGGTAGCGAAACGGAATGGCCGGCCCGGCGGAGGATGAGCTTTTGAAGGGGGATGAATACGAAAAGACAGCATAGGCAAAAGGAATCGTCGAGTTCACGGGATTCCTCAAAAATCTCCGCTAGCCTGTCCAGGTCTCAAAAAATCCCTAAGAATCCATGCTAGCCTGCCGGGCCTTTGAAATCCGGATTTTTAGGTTAATTTTGGGTTTGAAGCGCGAGATGCATCGATCAAAGCGGCTGTGGCCTCAAATTTTGCATAAATAGATGAGATTTTTGGGTGTTTGGGGGTCTATTTTAAATTCTGGACCGGAAAAGCGGAAAGAAACGGAATGGGGAGGAGCGGATAGGGGGGAATGGCGTCCAATTAAAAAGGGACAATCTGTCTCTGTCTCACTCTCTCTCTCTCTCTCTCTGTCTCTCGCTCTCTCGCTCCCTCTCTCTCTATCGCCCCCCGGGGAATAATGAATCTCGCTTCGAGGGCTAACTAGCAGAGATTTTTCGGGAAAAACGGGGTGGCCAGGCCCTGAAATCTAGAAATTTGTGACTTTGGGCAGGCTAGCAGAGATTCTTTAGGAAGTCTTGGTAGGCTAGCAGAGACGCTTTGCAGGATTTCCGTAAGGGGCAAATGGGCAGAGATTCTTGTGGAAAACGCCACAGCTGGGCAGCTTGCCGAGATTCTTTGGGAAGCCGAGACTACTGCGAAAGTCTCCGCAACCAGGCAAGCTAGCGGAGACCATTCAGGAACTGGCTCGCTCCGAGCGAACTAGCAGAGATTCTTGGGGAATGCCTTGTGAGGCCATCGAGGAAATCGGCGAAACAGGGCAAGCTGGCAGGGATTATTGGGGAAGAATAGCGTAGCAGTGCAGGCTAGCAGAGTTTATTTCGGATACCTTCAAAAAAGGGCATGCTAGCAGAGATCTTACGGGAATTCCCTGAAATTGAGGGCAGGTTAGCAGGGATTCTTGCGGACGCGGCCCTAATAAATCTATATCCTTACTGAAATTTCGAATCTGGGAGCCGGAGCCGGAGCGGCAGGTGGAATCTGCTCACTCGCGCCGCCGGGGCGAGAGAGTGAGAGCGAGTGAGAGAGAGAGAGTGGGTGGGGGAATAAGTGGTGTGTGGACTGGGCCCTCGGGGGCCCTTTGGCCACTGGGGCCCAGGGCGGGCGCGTTGCGGCCCCCTCAGCCCTGGCCTCTGGGCCCCTGGAGGGCCGCTTTTCAGCACCTGGGCCCCGAGAGAGAGAGAGAGAGAGAGAGAGAGAGAGAGAGAAAGGGAGACGAGCACAATGCCCCCTTTACGGGCCCCCCACGGTGATGCGATTCATAACGAGGGCCCTTGTCGAGCGCGTTTCGCCCTCCGACGTTCAACGAAAAGCCGCTGGAGATCGAGAGGCAGGCTAGCAGAGATTTTTGCGGAAAATCGACGCCTGCCCGATAAAACACATGAGGAAACTGGCAAAACCCTGTAAAGCCGAGGCTTGAAAGTTTCAGAGCAACCTATCAAAAGATTCTAATCACATAAGAATTATTTTGAAGCGTATCCGTGCGTAATTTGACATGGTGATGCCGAAAATCATAAGGAAAAGGCCCGGTTCTGGGATTTTGACCCCGAAAACAGCCCTCTCCCTCTCCCCCTCTGTCTCGCTCTCTCTCGCTCTGTCTCTATCTCTCTCCGGCTCGCTCCCTCTCCCTTTCTCTCTCGCTTGCTCTTTCTCTCACTCCCTCCATCTCTCCCTCTCTCTCTCTCTCTCTGTATTTTTAATGTAGAAGTCGGAAAATCGCAATGGAAAAGCCCTCTGTAGACGACATTCCAAAAATGACCAAAACTTTATCGAAAATTCGGGGGAAACGGGACGTCACGCGACAACACAAAGAGACAGCAATTGGAATACAGTTTCGCATTAATGTTAAGCTTGATCACAAGAGACGGGGGGGGGCGGGGGGCGGATCTTCGCCACGAGGTGGGCGTGGCCTAGCCGCTGCGCTGCGCGTACTTGGCCGGCTTCAGCTTCTCCTGGTCGAGCTGGGAGGCGATTTGGTACTCGGTGCGTTCGACGCGGCCGAAGGTGATGTCTGAAATAAATGGTCGCTGCTAGCCTGCCCCTCCAATTCCTCAAAGAATCTCTGCTAGCCTGCCCCTCCAATTCCTCAAAGAATCTCTGCTAGCCTGCCCCTCCAATTCCTCAAAGAATCTCTGCTAGCCTGCCCCTCCAATTCCTCAAATAATCTCTGCTAGCCTGCCCCTCCAATTCCTCAAAGAATCTCTGCTAGCCTGCCCCTCCAATTCCTCAAAGAATCTCTGCTAGCCTGCCCCTCTAATTCCTCAAAGAATCTCTGCTACCCTGCCCCTCCAATTCCTCAAAGAATCTCTGCTAGCCTGCCCCTCCAATTCCTCAAAGAATCTCTGCTAGCCTGCCCTTCCAATTCCTCAAAGAATCTCTGCTAGCCTGCCCCTCCAATTCCTCAAAGAATCTCTGCTAGCCTGCCCCTCCAATTCCTCAAATAATCTCTGCTAGCCTGCCCCCCAAAACCACCGACGAGCATGTTTTCCCATCTGTGGCGTCGTGGTGCGCAGCGCGGGACGCGCCTTGTCCACCTGGCCGCGCTTCAGGAATTCGAGCTGGAAAAGCAAGAATTCCCCCAACGGTCTCTGCTAGCTGCCCCACATGCTGCACGGCAATATCCACCGCATCGTCGGCCACCAGCGCCTCGTCGTGGATCTCCTGGCCGCCCGCCAGGCACTCGAGGGTCAACTGCAAGGGGCAGGCTAGCAGAGATTCTTTCCGGGGAACTTACCTTGACCGTCTTGGTGGTCACGCAGCTCTTGTTGACGTTGAAGATGAACATGGTGATGGAGGAGACGGGTTGGTCGTTGACTTCCCTGGAATTTGGTGCTCAAGCTCAAGCCTAAGCTAAGGCTAAGCCTAAGCCAAGCCCGAGCCTAAGCCTAAGCTAAGCCAAGCCTAAGCAAGCCTAAGCCTAAACTTAAAGCTAAGTCTAACACTAAGCCAAATAAAAGCCTAAGCAAGCCTAAACCGAAGCCTGTATAAGCCGATGACAAAGGTTAAGTACAAGCCTAAGCCCAATCCTAACCCTAAGCCTAAGCCTAAGCCTAAGCTAAGCCAAGCCTAAGCCAAGCCTAAGCCTAAGCCTAAGCCTAAGCCCAAGCCTAAGCCAAGCCTGAGCCTAAGCCTAAGCCTAAGCCTAAGCCTAAGCCTAAGCCTAAGCCTAAGCCTAAGCCTAAGCCTAAGCCTAAGCTAAGCCAAGCCTAAACCTAAACCTAAACCTAAATCTAAGCCCAAGCCAAGCCTAACCCACTTGATGACATCTCCAGGAGACAGATGAATCGATCCAAGCGACCCGGGCTCGACGTCAGCCACAATCAACCGCTCCCGCGAGTCGTACTGTAATGGGACAAGGGGCAGGCTAGCAGAGACCGTTGCGGAATACCTTGATGGTGAGCCCGAGGCTGTTCGAGTGGTTCTCGGCGTCGGGGAAGCGGAGCCACACCTGGGATTGGGTTTTAAAGGGACTGGGACAGCTGGGGTGGCCTACTGTTCCCTCAAGCGTCACTGCTAGCCTCTCAAATGCTCCCCGCCAGCCTACCGCATATCTGGACACGATCCGGCCGGCCGGCTTGTCCAAGTCGGTGCCCACGTGAACGCGCTCGATCGTCGTCGCCAGCAGCTTCGAGCACGAGAAGCCGCCGTGCTGGCACTCCATTTTGACGCGCTAAAAATGGCGGCAAATGGTCTCTACTCGTTTGCCCAAGCTGTTTTCTTTCTCTAAGAATCTCTGCTAGCCGCCCTGACTTCACCGGCTCTTTAAACGGGTTTAAAGGTGCGGTGACACTACGAAAACCGAGCTTCAGGGGCCCCTGAAGCAAAAATCGTCGCTAATGGTCTTCGCTAGCTTGCCTACTCGATTTTCTCTTCCCCAAAGATCTCTGCCATCATACCTCCGCTTTTTCGCCGAGGATCTGCTCGATCGTCTCGTATTTCTTGATCTTCTTCCCGTTGAGGGCCGACAGGGTGTCGCCGAGGAAGACGAGGCCGCGAAGCGGGGAATTCGGGTCGATGTGGGTCACCTGGAAAAGCGAGAGATAGCAGATAGAAGAGAGAGAGAGAGAGACAACTACCTGAAACGTATTCTTCGTAATCCGCAGGCCCAGCGGTTTCTTCACAATGTACGTCTGGCAGAACTCGGTGAGGGGCGGGACCAGGCTGCAAATGGTCTCTGCTTGCTTGCCCTGGACTTTAGAGGCTTTCTAAGGGTCTCCGCTCGTCAGCCCTAACTTCGCTGGCCCTTTAAAAGATGTTTCCAAGCTCTTAAAGGACAGCTGAGCCCAGAAAATGGTTTTTGAAGGGCCGCTGAAGACAATGCCGTGCTCCAAAGAATCTCTGCTAGCTTGCCGTAAGCTTACGGAGTTGGCGCATCGCGTAGCCCACGTCGCGACGCATCGGGGCACGTCTTCTCAGCCGGGTCGCCCATTCCGGATCAGGGAAGTGTGGTGGAATACAGGATTTTTGAGGATTGGCCACATAAGTGCTAATTTATGCAAATTTCTTTCAAAAACGGGCGTGGCAGGCTAGCAGAGAACGCTTAGGAGTGAGAAGCTCCGCAATTTTGGAAATAGGCTTCGCCTAAACCTAAGCCTAAGCCTAAGCCTAGGCCTAAGCTTAAGCCTAAGCCTAAGCCTAAGCCTAAGCCTAAGCCTAAGCCTAAGCCTAAGCCTAGGCCTAAGCTTAAGCCTAAACCTAAGCCCAAGCCCAACCTCAGCGTAAGCTTATGATCCACATTCCATTTCTTAACGCAATGACGTGAATGTATTTTGTAGTTTGTGGTCCATCATCTCCTCCGACCTTCCTCCTCTGCCACCCGACCTCAGATAAGCATCCCTAAACCCTGTTTTTGCCCCGCCCCCCTCGGTGCTCTCTTTAAAGGAGCACCGAAGTGTGTCCTTTATAGCCGCCGCAATCCGAAAATGGAGTCGCACTCCATTTTTCGCAATTTGCAGGCTATTGTCAACAGTAGTGGCTTGGTAATTTCGTTTGAAGGATTTTTGCTAGCTTTCCCGGTGATTTCTGAAGTCCTAAAGAATATCTGCTAGCTAGAATTTGATGCATAATTCCTCAAATGATCTCTGATAGCCCGCCCAGTCGTGTTGTGTCTAGTTTTGATGATGTTCCACTACGCGATCGTCCAAATGACGTCAGTTTCAGTTGGCTGCGGTGGCTGGAGGCCATTCGGCGAATTGTCACACCTTTCCCCCGGGTGTTTTTGGGTTCTGTCGCTCTCTCTCTCGCTCTCTCTCTCTCTCCTCCTCTCTCTCTCTCGTTCTCCCGCTACCAAAACAGGACCCGAAGCCACCCAGGGTGGTGGGCTGGTTGTCAGTAGATTGGCACGTACATAGGTGTCATTTGGACCGGAAACTGGCGGCTCATGGCTTCGCAAAGAATCGCTGCTAGCTGGCCCCCGTTTCCGCAAAGAATCTCTGCTGGTCTGCCTCTCGCGTAAAATTTTGTTAAAGAATCACCGCCAGCCTGACTTCGGCTTGAAATTCCTCAAAGAAACTCTGCTAGCCCGCCTCTGGCCACGATTCCTCAAAGAATCTCTGCTAGCCTGCGCCTCCAATTCCTCAAAGAATCTCTGCTAGCCTGCGCCTCCAATCCCTCAAAGAATCTCGCTAGCCTGCGCCTCCAATTCCTCAAAGAATCTCTGAGCCTGCGCTCCAATTCCTCAAAGAATCTCTGCTAGCCTGCGCCTCCAATTCCTCAAAGAATCTCTGCTAGCCTGCGCCTCCAATCCCTCAAAGAATCTCTGCTAGCCTGCGCCTCCAATTCCTCAAAGAATCTCTGCTAGCCTGCGCCTCCAATTCCTCAAAGAATCTCTGCTAGCCTGCGCCTCCAATTCCTCAAAGAATCTCTGCTAGCCTGCGCCTCCAATTCCTCAAAGAATCCCTGCTAGCATGCCCCAATCTGGCAAGCTAGCCGAGACCATTTGCCAGCTTCTCCCGCCTATTGTTTGGGCTCTGATTTGTGGAATCACACCCCCGAGAACCCATCCTCCTCCAGACCGGTCCCACCGCGACCCCTTTCCATTCATCACCATCTCCATTTCATTGTTCTCTTTCTCTGCCCCCTCCTCCCATCGATAACCCAGTTTTCGCCCTTTCTCCCCCCTGTCCCCCTCGGGTTGTTCCGCTCCGCTCCGCTTTTCACTCCTTGGATAAACGCCGCGCCTGGATCGGCCATCATAATCTGTCTGACCTCCCAAATTGTCACTGCTAGCATGCCCCTAGTCTTGGCGAGCTAGCAGGGATCTTTGAGGATCATTTTTCCCGATTTCTTGCCCTCTTCAGCTCTTAAAATTGGTTTTAGGTACTGTAGACCATGGTGTGGCGATCGGCGCTTCCGCTGGCGGCAATTTTGGTGAGTTTTTGGCGTCAGTGGTCCTTTAAAATCAGAGAAAACATGCTAGACAGGCTAGCAGAGATTCTTTGAAGAATTGGAGGGGCAGGCTAGCAGAGATTCTTTGAGGAATTGGAGGGGCAGGCTAGCAGAGATCTTTGAGGAATTGGAGGGGCAGGCTAGCAGAGATTCTTTGAGGAATTGGAGGGGCAGGCTAGCAGAGATTCTTTGAGGAATTGGAGGGGCAGGCTAGCAGAGATTCTTTGAGGAATTGGAGGGGCAGGCTAGCAGAGATTCTTTGAGGAATTAGAGGGGCAGGCTAGCAGAGATTCTTTGAGGAATTGGAGGGGCAGGCTAGCAGAGATTCTTTGAGGAATTGGAGGGGCAGGCTAGCAGAGATTCTTTGAGGAATTGGAGGGGCAGGCCAGCAGAGATTCTTTGAGAAATCGGAGGGGCAGGCTAGCAGAGATTCTTTGAGGAATTCTAGGGGGTAGGCTAGCTGAGGTTCTTTGAGGAAAATGCATCGCGTGATAGTCGAGGGCAAGCTAGCATAGATTTCTTAACCCCCATTTCCAGGCCCTGGCAACATGCCAAGACTGCTCATCCCCGCAGGGCACTCGCGCCGTTTTCGGGCAGTACCTGAACTGCATGAAGTCGTCGCTCGACGCGGACTACCGCAGTTTTGAGGAGGAGCTTCAGGAGGACCACAAGCGCTCCGTGCAGGCAGGCTAGCGGAGGAATTTGGGGAATTTCCGGGTTTAGGCCTGTTTCGCCTCGAGCATCGAGGAGGGCAACCAGAAGGACAAGTGCGTGTTGACGCTTGGGGATTTGGAGAAGGTAATTCGAATAAAATGCAGTTTTAAAGGGACAGGAACACCTGGAAAAATAGGAAATCTGTTTAAACGAGACCGTAACACCTCAAAAACTCCAAAAATCGTTTTTAACGGGGCTGGGACACTTATTAAACCCAAAAATTACTTTTAAAGGGACATTGAAGCTTCGAAGCCCTTAGAAATGTGGGCTTAAAGGCACAGTGACACTTCAAAACCCACATTTTTCAGCCAGCTTGGGATCGTTCCGGCCCGCTACGCGACTGTACGATTTGCAGGACGGTAAGTGAGGGTTACGGTAGCATTTCTAGGGTCCTTTCTAGTTCGCCTCCGGTGCCATCAAGGCGATCAAGGCCACCCCGGCCGAGGATCAGCGCTGCATTCGACAGGAGATCTCCAAGGGTGAGCTAGCAGAGATTCTTTGGGGAAATTGGATTTGAAGGGAACGTGACCCTTTTTAGAGGTTTTCCAGAGGTTTCTCTTGACTTGCCGGTCCCTTTAAAACCCAAAATGCATTTTGAAGAGACAGTGACACCTCGAAATCGTCTGTAGAGACACAGCAACCCTTGAAAAACCGATTTTTTGGCTTCTTAATCCCTTTCAGACCCGAAAATTTATCTTAAAGGGTAAGCGACACCTTCAAAAACCTCGCTTTTGGCTTGCCGGCCCCCTTGAAAACTTGAAAATTCATCTTAAAGGGACAGAGACACCTTCAAAAACCTCGCTCTTGACTTGACGACCCCTTTAAAACCCGAAAATTCACCTTAAAGGGATAGTGCCACCTTTAAAACTGCAAAATTTTAGCGATCGCCCGCGAGGCCAACGTCTGCCTCGCCCGCCGGATTCCGAACTTCCCGGGCGTGCCGGACATTCCGGATCTCGAGGAGGGCTCGTTCGACTTCAAGGATGAGGTGTAAGTATTCTTGCTCTCTCTTTCTCCCTCTCTCTCTCTCTCTCTCTCCCTCTCTCCCTCTCTCTCTCTCTCTCTATCTCTCTCTACAGTACTATTTTTCAGTATCCAATCCATCTCGGACCACATCCTCGTCAACTCTCGACTGGCCTTCTGCGGCGAGCGCAAGCCGGCCAGAGCCGCTTCTACCAAGTGAGTCAGACTCCGCAAATGGTCTCTGCTAGCCTGCCCCCGATAAAGTCTATTTTAGGCGTTGCTTGAAGTCGCCGTTCGCCGGATATTTGGAGCAGCACTGCAAGAGTGGGTTTTTGAGAGAGAGGGTAGAGAGAGAGAAAGAGAGAGAGAGAGGGAGAGAGAGAACGTGTGGAATTGCTTTTTTACAGTCGTCTCCCAATGTGACGCTCGTCTGGCCGTCGGCAACTGCGCCCGCGAGATCCAGCAGACTCGAAATGCCGTCTGTGGATGCATCCACGAGACCAGGGAGGAGCTGAAGGACCGCATCTCGTCCATCGCTACCGTATTTGAGGAGGCAAGCTAGCAGAGACATTTTGTGGAATTGGAGGACAGGGGAGAGGGGCAGGCTAGCAGAGGTACTTTGAGGAGCTATTGGAGCTTTTAGGTCGTTTCCGGCGGCTCTCGCACTCTCTCCATCGGGTCGTCGTCAAAGGTCGATCAATGCGTCGCCTCGATCAAGAAGCACATGTAAGCCTAAGCCTAAGCCTAAGCCTAAGCCAAGCCTAAGCCTAAACCAAACTAAGCCGCCGCTTAAGCCTAAGCCCAAGCTAGCAAAGACTATTTAGGATCACCCCTGTCAACGACTGGGTGGCCGTCATCGACTCTGCCCTCTCCACCTGCATCCGGAAGAAGCCGGCCGGCCAGAACCTCGGCATGGAGGCTATGCTGAACGTTGGGTGCCGAAAGGTGGGGATTTTGGCTTCAATGGGCCTTTAAAATCGGAAAATCGAGTCTTTAAAGGATCGTTGAAGGCAAATCCATGAGCTTCAGGTGATCGCTGACACCACCGGAACGGCCTCGGCTCAGTTGAAGGTCGGCTTCGACTTTGTGAACAACCTGATTGACGCGATGGTGGAGAGGTAAGAGAGAGAGAGAGAGAGAGAGAGAGAGAGAGAGAGAGAGAGAGCTAGAGAGTGAGGGAGAGATGGAGAGATAGAGAAAGAGAGAGATAGAAAGATGGGAGCGAGAGAGTGAGAGAGAAAGCGATAGATAAAGAGAGAGAGAGAGAGAGAGAGAGAGAGTTAGAGAGTGAGGGAGAGAGAGATAGAAAGAGAGAGTGGGAGCGAGAGAGTGAGAGCGAGAGAGAAAGCGATAGTAGAGAGAGAGAAAGAGAACGAGCATAGCAAGCTAGCAGAGACCATTTAATAACCCTTTTTCAGGTCCGCCCGTTTCTGCGGTGGTGACCACTGCCTGCAGGGCTAAATTTTCCGTCTCCGGACGCTTCCGGAAACTCGGAAAATGGCAATGATCTTCAGCTTTTCGAATTTAATTTATTTGTGCAGAAATAAACGCGTTTTACTGTATTTTTCTCACGTTATTTCGCATTTTTCCTTTTTTGGTGTAATTTGCATATTTTCAAAAATCGATACCATTTTATCAAGTCGATTTAAGGCACTAATAGGCGTTGACTAGTGGACGGGAAAAGCAATGATATGGCACACGCAAGGCAAAAAAGCAATAACATCAATAAACCACAAAAATGACATTTTAAAGGGGCGGTGAAGGCAAAATCGGGGGTACCGGAATATCCATAAAAACTACAGAAAAATCAATTTTTCACTAATTATTTTGCTAGTTTGCGCCGTAATACTTGTTGAGCACAGCTGGGCGGGTAGCAGAGGAATTTTAGGAAGCGGAAATATTATTAAAATTAGCGTAAAACTTAAAATCGCAATTTTTTGAAAAAATCGAAATTTCGAACTTTTCTCGGCTCAATATTTACAGGGCAACAATAAGCTACAATAGGCAGTGGGCATTGGCAATTTTAAAGGGATGGTGACAGCGCAAAAATCGAAAAAAATAGATTTTTTTCATGGCCGAGTGGCTAAGAGGTTTGGCTACCAGGCGAAGGGTCCGGGTTCGACCCCCCGCCGCGGCAAAGCTTTGCTTTTTGCCCAACTGGGTCCTGCCAACATCCTTTTAAGGGAAAATCACTTAAATCGACCCCAAGGGGCCCCTGATCCTAGAATTTTGGCACTTGGCAGAGTGCCAAAAACGGGATTTTCGATGGAATGTGTCCAAGGCATCGTGGCAGCGATTCTTGGGGAATTTTTGGGGGCTAAAGGAACCTAGAAGTCCATGGGCCCGTGGCAGCAGGCTATGGATTTGGCTTCAATGGCCCTTGACATCCGGGTTTTCGGGGGTTTAAAGGGGCCGGGAAGTGGTGGAAAGGGGCGGGGCTTGAGCTAGAGGGCAAAGAAAGATACGGACTACAAAAACAAGACAAAAAATGGTTTAAAGGGCCGCTGAAGGCTGGCGAAATGCACGTTTTCGGTTGATCACTGTTCGGGGGTACGGTAGCGGCAGGGGTACGGTAGATTTATTTATCTGAAAATTGGCATTTCGGGTGAGCGTTAGAAATGGGAGGGAATTGTTACGGGCATTCCATTTTTTGGGGGCGTTTTTGAGGGATTTTTGTGTGAATTTTTCATGCTGAAAAGTGGGGAAGATTGAGTGGACATGGCAGGCTAGCAGGGATTCTTTGCGGAATTGAAAACAGCGCCAGTAAACAGCAGATTCTTTAGGAACGCGTCAAAGCCCGGGCAAGCTAGCAGAAAAACAATTGAGGAAAACCCTTGGAAAGCTAGCAAATATTCCTAGGAAATTTTTAAGGTCAGGGCAGGCTGGCAGAGGCCATTTAGAAAGATTTTCTTGCTCGTGGCAAGCTAGCAGAGATTCTTAGAGAATTTCAGATCGAGGTAGGCTAGCAAAGGCAACTTAGGAACACTTAAGACGCAGGGCAAACTAGCAGAGGCCATTTAGGAATAACTTCTTGCTCTAAGCAAGCCAGCCAAGATTCTTGAGGAAATTCTACGGCTAGGCAAGCCAGCAGAGACCCTTTGCCGAGTGCCATGTCCAATTTCAATCCATTTTTTAAGGGCTGACAGTCTCGAGAAGTGGGCGGGGCTTAAAGTTTGTAGCTTTCTCTCGCATTCCCATGCATTTTTTGAGACTCGTTCAAGGTATAAAATCGAAAAAATTGACTCAACCCCTAGACTACAGACTACAGACTACACTTTACACCTTTAGACGTCGATAGTACGTTACAATACTATCGCACGCTACCGTATCCAAACGTACTGAGGTTGAGCTGGGCCGTGGACTTGGCCTCGCCCTTCGGGTTCTTCAGCCGGCACTCGTACGTGCCGGCGTTGGCGGCGGAGACGCGGGTCAGCTCGAGCGTCGCGCGGAGCCCGTCCACCGTAATCTGAAAAAATAATTTTGCCTTCAACGGTCCTTTAAAACCAAAATTTCGAAATCCATAGGCTTTGCGGGAATTTTTTGCCTTCGGGCCTTTAAACCATGATTTTCGAGCTTAACAATGTTTTAAAGGGGGCGTGACACCCCACATTTACCTTCAATGTGCCTTTAAACTCGAAAATTGGAATATCTTCTATAGATTCTAGCCTGCAATGGCCCTTTAAAGGGATGGTGACACTTGGAAAACCCCGACAAATTTTTTGTGATGTCGTTCTCCCCTTAAAAAAGCTCAATTTTGAGCTAGAACTCAGGTGTCACGCTCCCTTAAAGCCCGACCACCGTACCTTAACATCACGCCCTCCCATCAGCTGCCGTCCGTTGTGATACCACTGGACGGTGGGCAGGGGGTCGCCTCCGATTTCCACGGAAAACTTGACGGTATGCCCCTGGCGAGCCGAGATGTCGGACAGCTAAAAATTGTGGATTTTGGCTTCAGTGGTCCTTTAAAACGCTGAAAATTCAAAGAATCTCTGCTAGCATGCCTACGCCTAAGTCTAAGCAAGCTAGCAGAGATTCTTTGAGCCTCCAATTCCCCAAATAATCCCTGCTACTCTGCCCTCTAGGACTCCCAGAACCGTACCTTCGACACAAACTGTGGAACCGACGCCTCAGATACCGTAGATCCGCCAGTAAGGGTCCTGGTCGTCACGCGGCCGCTACGCGCTAAAACTGGTTTTTAAAGGGACTATGGCAACAAGGACTCACGTGCGAGCACGAGGTTGGCGACGGAGGAGGCCTTTCCGGCTGGGTTCGACGCTTCGACCTGAAGAAGGTTGTGGATTTTTGGGTTCAATGGTCCTTTAGAGGGGCTAAGGCTGAACTAAGCCTAAGCTAAGCCTTAGCCTAAGCCCAAGTCCAAGCCTAACCTATGCTTGGCCCTAAGCCTAAGCCCAAGCCTAAGCCTAAGCCTAAGCCTAAGCCTAAGCCTAAGCCTAAGCCTACGCACACGCCTAAACTAAGCCTAACCTAAGTCTAAGCTTCAGCGAAGCCTAAGCCTGAGTATAAGCCTAAGCCTAACCTAAACCTAGCCCTAAGCCTAAGCTAAGCCTAAGCCTAAGCCTAACAAAAACTTGTAAGCCCTCAATTCATACCTTATACTCGGCAACGTCCTCTTGCCTTGGCGATTGGATCGTGAGGGTGGCTGTTCCGTCCTTCTGGGACACCGAATAGCCGCTCTTCTTGATCGGCTCGTTGTTGCGGTACCAGCGGATGGTTGGCTCTGAAAAATGGGGTAGTTAGCAGAGATTGTTGAGGAATTTTCTGGAGGGGTAGGCTAGCAGCGATCTTTTGAGGAATTCTAAGGTCGGAAAAGCCATCAAATGCGAGTTGTGAGAACGTTTGATGGGGGGATGGGCCACTTGATAGCCCTTGAGAAACGATCCCACGCTTTTTTTGAGAAAAGTAAACGCAAAGAGAGCGAGAGAGAGAGAGACACAGACAACGAGAGACAGAGAGGGCCGCGAAGTGCCTTCCACACTGCCATCCCATCGACAAAGGGCAAACCGGCAAAGATTCTTGAGAAATCTGACGCTAACAGGGCAGGCTAGCAGAGATCATTTACCTGGGAATCCAGAGAACTTGGCCGTAAAGGAAGCGGCTTGTCCCTCATTCGCCACAATCGGTTGGATTTGGGCGGTGAATCGGGGGGCTTCAAGTCGGGGGCCTTCTTCGGCTCCCTTTCCGGTCTTGGCGAGGTTGATGTTCAGCTTCGCTTTGCATCTGGAAGCGAAAAATCCAGAAAAAGTGGCAAAAAATGCAAAAAAAAACGAAAATCCGAAAAAATTCGAAAATTGGGGTAAGCCCATCGATTTGGCCGATTTCCCGGGGCGACCTCTATTAGCCTAAGCCTAAGCCTAAGCCTAAGCCTAAGCCTAAGCCTAAGCCTAAGCCTAAGCCTAAGCCTAAGCCTAAGCCTAAGCCTAAGTCTAACCTCAGCCTAAGCCTAACCCTAAGCCTAAGCCTAAGCCTAAGCCTAAGCCTAAGCCTAAGCCTAACCTAAGCCTATCGATATGGCCGATTTCCATGGTCGACCTCTACTAGGCAAAAACTTCTGGCCTCCGGAACCTTTTCTAGGAATTCGCTCGCGTAACGGTTTTTACACCATTCGAAAGCGCTTGAAAAGCTCTATCCAATCGCATTCCAAATAAAACTACAAACTACACACCTCGCCTCCCCAGCCGTATTCTTGGCCACGCATTCGTAGACGCCGGCGTCGGGGGCGAGTACGGCATCGCAGACAAGACGATGCGTATTGCCGTCTTCAGAAGCGATGAAGCGACCGTCGAAGGGCAAGGGCTGGCCGTCCTAAAGGGCCATTGAAGACTGGGGATACGGTAGCTTGCCTTGAACCAATTGACAGTCGGGCGGGGCTCTCCGGAGATTTGGCAGGAGAATTCGGCTTGCCCGTTTTGTTGGGTGCGGACGTCGGCCATCTAGAATTGGAGGGTGTAGGCAAGCAGAGAGCATTTGGGAATGTGAAGGCTGCAGACTACAGAATACAGACTACGAAGGTCCAGGCCATAGGCTAGAAACTACAGACCACAAGTTGTCGCGCGGACGGGCCACAAGTTCGGCTAGAAACTACAAAATACAAAGTCCAGACATCGCAGCTGCAGGATACAGACTACAAAACGGCCTGTAGGCTATAGACTACAAAACGGCCTGTAGGCTACAGGCAACAAACTACAAGAACTACAAAAGCTACAAAATCGACGTTTTCTGAGCGTACAAACTACAAAACGGACGATTTATGGATTACAGACTACAAATTCCTATTTCTAAAAGGCTACAAACTACGGACTCTAAACTAAATACCTTGGCCTTGAAATCGGGTGCAGTGCCCTTGGGCGGAGCGGCGCCAACGGAGAGCGAAGCCGACGACTCGACCATGCCGGCGGCGTTCTCGAGCCGTACGGTGTACTCTCCCTGATGGCTCGACTCCAGCCTGCCGATGGCCAGCTGGCTCTGCCCATTTGATGTCGTAATCTGGTGGCGGAACGTCGACTTCAGCTCCTTGCCGTCCTTCAGCCAGGTCACCTAAATGAAAATTTTTTTTAGTTTAGAACGGGCTTTTAAAGGGACCCTGAGGCTAGAGACTAGGCTCCGCCCATTTAAAGGTGTCGTGACACCTAGATTGAGGTAGATTTTAGGCTTCCGGTGCCTTTAGACGTGAAAAATCAAGGCAGGCTAGCAAAGATCCATGAGACATCGCTCTGAGCAACTCAGATTTCCTCAAGAATCCCTGCTAGCCTTCTTAGATCGTCTTAAAGGCGCATCGACACCTAAGTTGGGGCGATTTCAAGACTTGGCAGTCCCTTTAAAACGCGAATTTTTAGGGCAGGCTAGCAGGGATCCTTTGCGGAACGCCTTAAGGCCCCAGGTTCTCTCAAGAATCCCTGCTAGCCTGCTTATCTCATTTTAAAGGGATGCTGACACCAAAGTTCGGGATTTCAAGCCTTGCCGGTCCCATTAAAACGCGAATTTTTAGGGCAGGCTAGCGGGGTTTCTTTGAGGAGCGCCTTAGGGACCCCGGCCTTCCTCAAAAATCATTGCTAGCCTGCCCCCGCCCTTCCTAAAAGCACAGCGACACCCACCTTGACCGGCGCATCCCCTCCGAACGCGATGACAAACTTGGCGCCCTTGCCGACCTCGCCGTTCAGCGGGATCAGCTGCTGCGACAGGGAGGGCGCGGCCTTTTGGCTGGCCGCCAATTTCGTGGGCTGCGGCTGAAAATGCAATTGATAATTAGGGAAAAAGAGGTTCTGAAAAACAGAGAGCCCTAATTTCATGCCGTAATCGCTTAAGCATATAGATTTTCATGCCGTAATCGAATATCTGCACCAGATTTCATGCCGTAAGGCATTAAAACAGTGGTTTTCATGCCGTAACCGGATCTCTGCCTCAAATTTCATGCCGTAATCGCTAAAAAACGTAAAATTTCATGTCGTAATCTATTCTCTGGGTTTGATTTCATGCCGTGATCGATTTTCTATGGTTTTAATGCCGTAATCGATCGATGATTTACGTTGAGTTTCATGCGTAATCTAATCAAAACAGGCTTTTACATGCCGTAAACAATTAAAGTCGTCGATTTTCATGCCGTATTGGATCAGATCGTACTTTTCATGCCGTAATCAATTAACCTAGCCGATTTTCATGCCGTCATCGTTTTCCAATGATAATTTTCATGCCGTAATCGATCCCCCTCCCTCAAACGCCACTCAAAAAACATGCCCTGATCATGTGAAAGGCGACCATGCGATCCCGGGGCCTCGGGCTGAAGTCGTACTGTATCTTGGTTACGGTAGACTCGTCCGTCTCCAGGTGCAGCTCCTCGTCGTAGCTTGTTGTCTGGAGGCTCTCGCTTCTCTCCCTGTAGGTTTGGAGCAGGATACGGTGCTCCGCGCCAAAGTCCTCAGGCTGAAAATTGCGAGCACATGCAAAAAACCAAAAAAAAAATGAATTTTTCAGTGGGTTACGGTAGTTTAAAGGGAGTGTGACACCTAAGTCAGTGGCTTATTAAGGTGCACTGTCAATTAAAGACAACCAGAAACCAGGCCAATCGGTTACGACACTTTAAAGGGACAGAGACAGCTCGATTAGTGCCTTTAAAGGGACAGCGACACCTTGTTTGGTCGATTTCCAGGTATAGCGACATTTAAGGGGCCCATGAAATCAAGCGAAACTGGTACGCTATTTTAAAGGGACTGTGACACCGGTTTAGTCGATTTTAAAGGTCAAGCTAAATTTAAGGGAGCCAGGAAGACATGCCAAACGGTTACGTTAGCTTAAAGGGATCGTGAAACGTCGCTAACCGTGTTAAAGGGCTAGTGGAACCTCGATGAGTCGGTTTAAAAGGACACTGACATCAGTTCGATCTCAAAATGGACGCAAATGGCCTCTGCTAGCATGCCACGAGCTGTAAATTGCTTTTAAAGGGACAGTGACAGCCTGGTTAGTCATTCTCAGCGACAGCGACAGCGACAGCCTCTCCCCCTTCATACTTTGTTCGATATCCTCGCTTCCGGGATCTCGGGCTTCTGGTTGACGGTGGCCCCCTTGAGCTCCTTCTCCTCGAGCACCACGTGCTGAACCTCCTTGGTCGCCTGGGGCTGCTGCTGCTTCATCTTCACCTGGTCCTTGTGCACCACCGGGGCCTCCTGTTAATGCACCGGTTACGGGAGGTAATTAGGAATGTGGGAATGTTGTCAATTTTGTGAATTTGGAATTGCGTCAAGAGGTCAGAACTGCACTAGATACCGTAATGCCTCTAAGAATCTCTGCTAGCCTGCCCCTCGATTTCCTCTAGAATCTCTGCCAGCCTCCATACAATTCCTCCAGAATTCCTGCTAGCTTGCCCTGTTTTCCTCTAGAATCTCTGCTAGCCTGTCCAAAATTCTCAAATGGTTTCTGCTAATCATTTTTGAGGTATTAACGTTTGCTAAATTATTTTCAAGGGCCATTGAAGTGACCCTTAAGTGTCAGTTGCCCCTCCGGTTCCTCAAAGAAAATCTGCTAGCTTTCCCGATTTCCCTCTAGAATCCCTGCTAGCTTGCCCTAAATTCCTTGACGCTCTCTGCTAGTCATTACGGTATGTTAATCCATTTTAAAGGGTCATTAAAGTGAACCTTCGGTGCCAGTGGTCCTTGTTGTGGTTGTCGCATCTTCGCCTTCTCCTCCGCAATCCTCACGTGTTCTCCCTCCTCCACCTTCTCGGCTCGCGTCGGCTTGGCCGTCTAGGGGTGTACGGTGGAATTGTTAGAGGCAAATTTTTCGGGTTACGGTAGGGTTTTGTGGATTTTTGTGGGGATTTCAAGAGTTTTAGCGTGAATTCGTGGCGTAATTCCTCCAAAAATACCTGCAAGTTGACCTGGTCCCTGGCGGGGATGTAGATCTCCTTGGGAGCCGCCTCGACGCGCTTGAACTTGTTCTCGTTGGCGCCGGCGAGTTTTTGGCCGCCGTCCTGGGCCCAGCCCGGCTTGGCGGTGCTCGGTTGTTCTTGCTGAAAAATATGTGGGTTTTCGTGCCTTCAATGGTCCTTTAAAACGAAAAATGCCGTAGCTCAGCTGGCAGCGATTCTTAGGGAAATTTTTCTCACCTTCTTGCCCTGAAACGCCTTCAGATTCACCGTCGGGAGCTTCTCCTTCGTCGGCTCGAACCTGTTGGTCCTGCCCGCCCTCAGCGAGACGTCTTCGAGCTTCATGCCTAAAACACTGGATGTTTTAAGCCTAAGTCAGAGACCAAGCCTGAGCCAAGCTAAGCCAAGCCTAAGCCTAAGCCAATTCCGAAGTCTACATACCCTCGAACGTCTTCTTCTCGCCCTCAACGTTGCCCAACTTCTCGAACATCTCCTCCTTGCTGCGGGCAAACTTCTGGATGAGCTCCTCGGATTCGAGGGGCTCGATCGGGCTTCTCGCTCGCTCGACGTGCATCAGCTTCTGAGCATCAGCCTTGGGCGCTGACTTGAAGGCGACGCCCAGGGAGCCCATGGTTTCCACGTGCCATCTGAAAGCAAAAAATTATTCGCTCTCTCGCGCTCGCGCTCTCGCTCTCTCTCCCTCTCTCTCTCTCTCTCTCTCTCGCTCTCTCTCTCCCGCTCTCTCACCTCTTCTCCCTCTCGTGCAGCTCCTCAGCCGTGGTGTGCTTGGCCGGCTTCAACTTCATATTCCGGAAGTCGTCGCTCGGGAACACGTCCAGTGAGCACGAGGCGAGGACCTCACCCTCAGAATTCCGGGCGATGGCCATCACCTCGCCCGCGTCAGAGACACGCGAATGGGGAATGGTCAGGTAGTAGAGACCGTCGTAGTTGAGCTTGTGGCGGTGGCCGTGGAGGGCCTGGAAAAGTCCAATTCCTCAAAGAAGCCCTCCTAGCCTGCCCGCAATTCCTCAAGCATCTCTGCTAGCTCACCTGATTGCCATTGATGAACCAGGTGACCTTGGGCTTCGGATTTCCGACGACGGCGCACTCGAATCGAGCCGGCATGTTCTCATCAACCTGGAAAAACGTATTTCATGGCGTAATCGGTTTTCTTGATCAAATTACATGCCGTAATCGATCCTGTATATAAATTTCATCGCGTCAAAAATTTGCTGTGCCGAATTTGATGGCGTAATCGGTTTTCTAGGCTAAATTTCATGGCGTAATCGATCTGATGTGTTCAATTTATGGACGTAATCGTTTGGCCGTCTATAATTTCATGCCGTAACCGGTTTTCTGGTTGAAAATTCATGTCGTAATCGACCATACCTGCGTATTCCTCGGCTTAATCGTGAACTGCGGCGCCTGCTTGGTCCTCGCCTGCTGCGGCTGCGTCTCCGACCAGTACAGCTGTTGCTGGTTTTTCTAAAGGGATCATGAAGTCGAAAAGCTTCTTTAAAAGCTTTCTATAACGTTAAGCTCACCTTCAAGCCGGTCACTGACATGCCCTGGGGCATCTGGGATTGCGTGACCACATGCGAAGCCCCTTGGCAAGCCAGCTTCGCCGAGATCATGGCATGACCGTGACGATTCGACGCAACGCACGTGTACTCGCCGGTGTCGTCGGGCAGGGCGTAGAGGAGGTCGAGGGCCGCGAAACCGAAATCGAGGGTCGAGCGGAAGCGGTGGCCCATCACGACCGGGCGCTTGTCCTGAAGTAAAGAAAAGTTCATGAAAATGCGTGCAAATTGCTGTCACCCTTCCTTTAAAATCCATAAAAGCCTCAAAATCCTAATTTTTTGGGTTTTTTTTTGAAGGTTTTTTGCCTTCAATGGCCCTTTAAAAGCAAATTTTCTGTACCTTGAACCACTCCAGGCGCATGTACGGATCGTTGATCGGGGCGACCTGCGTCTCGAACCGGCAGAACTCCCCCTCAGCAACGCCAATGTTCTGGAGCTTGGTCTTGAACTCGGGCGCACGCTGCTGCTGCTCATCGTACGCGTCCTCGACCGTAAGCTGGAAAAAACGTACTGTTTTTGCGAAAAACAAAGTAAGCCAAGCCCAAGCCTCAGCCTATACCTAAGCCTAAGCCTAAGCTTAAGCCTAAGCAAACCCTAAGCCTAAGCCTAAGCCTAAGCCTAAGCCTAAGCCTAAGCCTAAGCCTAAGCCTAAGCCTTAGCTAAGCCAAGCTTAAGCCATGTTCCCTCAAATTCCTCAAAAATCTCTACTCGCCCACCTTCAGTTCCATAATCGAGTGCTGCCGGAAGTGGGACTCCAAATTCTCCTGCAGACTGCCGTGTGCCTGGGGCGAGAACTCGAGGCTGCGCCCCGCGAGCACCGTAACCAGGCATTTTGACGTCACCTGAAAACCCCCGTTCCTCAAGAATCTCTGCTAGGCCGCCCACCTCGCCCTTGTCGCTCTTGGCCTCGATGACGTACTCGCCGGAGTCTTCGGGGTACGCGTAGAGGATGTCGAGGGAGGCGAAGCCGAACTCGAAGGAGGGCTGAAAAGGGGTTGTTGGATGAGGAAGCCTTAACCTAAGCCCAAGCCCAAGCCCAAAACCTACCCTGAATCGAGATGCTTCCGGAAGTGGCTGCCCATCGCGCAACCAGCGGACCTTCAGGTTCGGGTCGTTGGTTGGCAGAATCCTGGCCTCCAGATGCACCGAATCCCCCTCGGCTACATTGTCGATCGATGACACCAGTGGTTGGACCACCTGCAAGACTTCAATGGTCCTTTAAACCCTCCAATTCCTCAAAGAATCTCTGCTCGCCTGCCCCTCCAATTCCTCAAAGAATCTATGGTCGTTTGCTCACCTGAGGGGCGTCAACCGCCTCCGGCGACTCGACCTGTACGCGACCCGTGGTGACGGCTTGACCCTTGGAGTTTGTAGCCACACACCTGGAATCCACCGGAATTTTTGGCTTCACTGGCCCTTTAAAAGGGAATTTCCCAGCGGAATTTCACAGCGTAATCTATTCTTAGAGATCGACTTACTCGTAGTCGCCGGTGTCCTGGGCGATGAGATGCTTGATCAGCAGCGTCGCCACGCCAAACTCGTTCGTCGTCGAGATTCTGGAATTGTGGATTTAGCGAGGCTTCACTGGTCCTTGAAAATCGAAAGTTCTCGAAAAACAGTGATGCGACACCATTTCTAAGATCGGTTTTTGACCAGGAATCCGAAAATGGGCCTAAAAACGCTTAAAAATGGACCAATACACGAGGAAATGCAACTTTTGTCAAAATTCTACTGTCACCACCCCTTTAAAACAAAATTGGCCAAAATTTTTGCTGTGCGACACCATTTATATGATCAGGGTTTGGCGAGGAACCCAAATCCGGGCCTAAAAACGCCTAAAAATAGACGAAAAGACAAATAATGCAAATTTTGTCAAAATACTTCTGTCACCATCCCTTTAAAATGGAAGATTGGCGAAAAATAGCGATGCGAGACCATTTTCCAGTTCAGTTTTTGCCCGGGAATCCGAAACTGAGCTTAAAAATGCTAAAAAAGCAAAGTTGGCGCCAGAAAGGTTGACGGTTCAATCCCGCCCGGCGTCAAATTGTTGCTTTTTGCTCTAGAGAAATTTTAAAGATATCCGTGGCTAGAAATTTGAGATCTGGCTCGGAAAAGAGCAGTAAAAATGAATTTTCGCAGTTTAACTCGTGTTAAACAGCGCCTGAAATGTGTTTGGGCTGTACCTGTTGGAGTAGGGGATGGAATGGCCGTTGTGCTTCCACTCGACGCGCAGGGTCGGATCCCCGATGGGCTCGAGCACGCAAACAAACGCCGTCGCCTCGCCCTCTCCCAGCTGAAAGGCATGGATCTCTCATCCTATGGTTTTCTCAAATTCTCTCTGCTAGCCTGCCCCCCTAGACAGAAGGATATTTCTGTTTGCAAGACAAAAAAGTGCCATGTCCTCTTCGCGTTTACCACTAGTTGGGGCAGCGAAGTGGTAGCGAAAAAAGTGGGGGTGGATCCTCAAAGATCACTGCTAGCCTGCCCGCTAAATTCCTCAATAATCACTGCTAGCCTGCCTTTAGATAAGTCGGACATGGAATCCCAAAGGATTTCTGCTAGTTTGCCCCTTAAATTCCTCAAAGATCACTGCTAGCCTGCTAGCCAGCCTTCTAAATTCCTCACAGAATCTCTGCTAGCCTGCCATCTTAAATTCCTAAAATTACACTGCTAGCCTGCCTTCTAAATTCCTCAAAAATCCTTGCTAGCCTGCCCTTCCTCGATTCGATTACGCTAGGAAATTCCCTTACCGTTCCGAGGTCGGCGAGCTCCTGCGTGAAGTGTGGGGCCTCGAATTCTTGAGATGGCAGCGAAAGCTCTTCCTTTGGCCTGAAATCGGGGGTTTAAAGGTTTCCTCAAGGATATTTGCTATGCTACCCTTCTTTCTCTAGCTCTCTCTCTCTCTCTCTCTCTCTCTCTCTCTCTCTATATGGCTCCATCTCTCTCACCTGTGGATCCATTCCTCAAGCTGATCGATCCGCTGCTTCCTCTCGGCGGGTGATTGCCATTCCGCGAAGACACCGCCGGTGGGAACGACCTAGAAAAACAACTTTGCATTTGCAAGGGGGGGGGGGGAGGGCGTGGCATTCCGAAAATTGACCTTTTCTAGCATCTACGTCGATTTTAACCAATTTCTAAGCTCAGATTCGAAAAATGAGCCTAGACTTGGTGTCAAACCCCATTTTTCGAGTTTAAAGGGACAGTGACACCCCGCCCCGTACCTTGATTTCAGCCTCGCACTCCGCGCTACCGTAGTCGTTCGTTGCCACGCAACGCCACACGCCGCTGTCCTGCGGCTCGGCGGGGCGGATGTCGAGGACGACGAAGCCGAAGTCGGTTACCTGGAAAGTTGAGCGTGAGCTAAACCTTAGCCTAAGCCCAAGCCTAAGCCTAAGCCAAGCCTAAGCCAAAGCCAAGCCCAGTCCATACCTGTCGCATCCTGTTCGAGTCCCGCATCGGCTGTCCCTCGTGGAACCACTCGATCCGAAGTCGTGGATCAGCGACGGGGAAGACCTGCACCTCGAGATGGGCGAGATCACCCTCCTGCAGCTCCGGCGGGGACACCAACTGCGTCGTGAACTTTGGCGGGCCGTGCTCGACGTCAGGGGCATCTTCTGGAGCAGCACGTGGCGCTTCGAGTTCAGCGATGCGCGCTTGGGCTCCTAAAAGGTCTCTGCTAGCTTGCCAAGACTTTTAAAGGGCCATTCCGGGCAAAATTTGACATTGAACGTACCCGACATGCTGTTCGGCAACTGGGAGCCGGAGATGATGCCGTCTTTGGCGGCGCAGGTCAAGGAAGTCGAGGTGACGGCTTCTCCCACGCGGTTGACGGCGCGGAGTGTGTACTCGCCGGCGTCCTCGGCGTAGACGGGGGAGAGCTCGAGGACGCAGTACCCGAAGTCGCGCATCATCTTGACGCGCGAGCCGGTGAGGACGGGGCGGCCATCGTGGTACCATTGGACCTGAAAAATCAGTTTGGATTCCTCAAGAATCTCTGCTAGCCTGCCCCTTTTTCCTCAAAAACCTCTGCTAGCCCACCTGCAGATGATTATCATTAATCGGCTCGTAGCGAGCCGAGAAATGAGCACGATCTCCCTCCTCCACCGTTTGCGGCGCGTTCAGCGGCTCGACGAACACGGGCATTACCTAGAAATTGTAGGTTGTAGCTCGTAATCTGCCGCTCCCCCCACCTCCTTCTCCTCATCAATAACAGCGTCGTCATGACGGTGGAGGCGCTCTTCGAGCTGCTCGACGGCGGCCGCCTTCTGCTCGCTCTGCGGGCCAAGCAGCAGACCGCTCTTACCCTCGACCTGGAAAAGGTCGATTTTCCCAAAGGATCTCTGCTAGATTGCCGGTTCAAACAAAAAGAGGCTCAGGTTCGGAATCAGCACAAAAATCTAGCCCGGAAATTGGTATCGCAAGGTATATTTTTGAATTTTCGTGTTATGGATTTTGACTTGCCGGCCCCTTTAAAATTTTATGATTTCAGAAATATCGACTGTGACACCATTCCTAGGGTCAATTTTTGGCGCTGATTCCGAATCCGGTGCCAGAAATTAAATCTAAAGGATCCCGGAGCTGAAAAATACAATTTTTTCGACAATTTTCAAATTTTCCTACCTTGACAGTGGTGGAAGAGGAAGCCTCGCCGGCTTCATTCGACACCCTGAGCGTGTATTCTCCGGAGTCGTGCGTGGACGCGTTGATGATGTGGAGGACGGCGAAGCCAAAATCGGACAGGATACGGTGGCGATTCGAGTGGGCCACCGGGTGCCCATCCAGAAGCCATTCGACGCGGATACGGGGGTCGTTGGTGGGGGAGAAAGTGGCTTGCAAATGGATGGCTCCGCCCTCTTCCGGTTCCCCAGTCGATGCGAGAGCCGAGGTGATCTCCGGCTTCTCGGCGGCCTGCTCCGGAAGGTCTTCCGGCAGCGGTTTCGGGGCCTCGATCTCCTGGATTCGTTGGAGGGACTGGGGCTGGAGGGCGTCGCCGAGGATTCCGTCCTTGCCGACAACTTGCAGAGAGCATTGGCACTCGGCGGAGCCGGCCTGGTTCGTCGCCACACATTTCCAGTCCCCAGCATCCCTCGTCTCGACATGGTTTATGTCAAGAATTGCCCATCCAAAGTCCTGGATCGTCTTCACACGAGAAGTGGCTCCAACTGGGGCTCCATTCAGGAACCACTCAACCCGCATCTGCGGGTCGTCGATCGGTTCGAGGGTGGCCTCAAAGTGGGCGGGCTGACCCTCGTGAAGTTCTCCGGGCGGCGACTGGATGGAGGTGATGAAGCGGGGGGCGGGCTTCGGCGCGGCGTCCACCTCTTCTGGCACCTCCTTCGGGGCCTCGATCTCCTGAATCCGCTTCCACGATTCTTCGTGTTGGGTGTCGCCCAAAATCGCGTCTTTTCCGCTGCACTTCACCGTACACGAGCTGACGGCTTCGCCCCTCTCGTTCCAGATGCGCAGCTGGTAGACGCCCGCATCTTCTGGGTACGTGTAGCCGATGTCGAGTTGACAGATGCCAAAGTCATGCGAAATCGCGTATTTCGATCCATGGGCCAAGGGAGTCCCATTCCTCAGCCACTGGACTTTGAGGCCAGGATCGTTGACGGGCTGGATCTGGGCTTCAAGGTGCACTCGAGCTCCCTCCTCGCACTCGACGTCTTCGAGCTGGGTGCGGATCTCGGGGGCATCGTACACAGCGGGGGCTTCATCCGGCCCGGCGGCTCGTGGGGCTTCGATTTCCTGGATTCGCTTCCACGACTCCTCGTGGCGAGTGTCGCCCAGGATCGCCGAGGTGCCTTCTACCTTGACCGCAGCAGATGACGCGGCCTCTCCCTGACTGTTCTGAATCTTGAACGTGTAGATGCCCTCATGGTCGGGGTTGACGGACAGAATATCCAGGGTGGCCCAGCCGAGCTCGTGGCGCGTTTGGACGAGTTGAGAGGCGAGCAGGGGATACCCGTTGCGCTCCCAGGAGACGGTCAATTCTGGGTCTCGGGCCGGCTGGAATGTGGCCTCCAGATGAACCGGAGATCCCTCGACAACTCCTTCCACAGACTGAAGCTCCTGGATGAAGTACGGCTTCTCGGTGGTGGTCTCCTCCTCGACCTCCACGACGACCTTGGGGGCCTCGATCTCCTGAATCCTCTGCCAGCTGGCGGGGTGTTGGCTATCGGCCAGAATTCTCTCATATCCGGCCGCTTTGACAGTGGCTGAGGTAGTAGCTTCACCCTGGGCATTCCACACCCGGCAGGTGTACACGCCGGAGTCGTGGGGGAGGAGGTGGACGATGGTGAGGATCACGTTGCCGAATTCGTATTCTAGAATGCGGGGGCTAGAGAGAAGGAGAGAGAGAGAGCGAGCGAGAGAGAGGGAGAGAGAGAGAGAGAGGGACCGAGAGCGAGAAAGTGGAGAGAGATAGACATAGATTTTTAAGGGAGAGTAACAGTAGTAAATCACCTACCTTTCCGGAACCTGTTGCTGTTCATCAACGGCTGCCCGTTCAGCAGCCACTCGACCCTCATCGACGGGTCTCCGGAAGGCTCGACGAGACCGTGAAGTTCAACGACCTGAAAAAATGGTTTCGCTCAAGAATCTTTGCTTCCGCTCTCTCCATTTCTCTCTCTCTCTCTCTCTCTCTCTCTCTCTCTCTCTCTCTCTCTCTCTCTCTCTTCCTTTCTCACCTGTCCCTCCTGCACATCGTCCCAATTCTCGAAGCCCTGGATGAATTGTGGCTTGTCGAACTCCCGCTCCGGGGCCTCGATCCTGGCGAACTTGTCGAAGGCCTCCATCTCCTGGATTTTCCGCAGCGATTCCGGATGTGAGGTGTCGAGCAGCAGGCTCTCCGCTCCGCGCACGGTCACCTGAGCGCTCGTCACGGCCGCTCCTTGCGCATTCGACGCCTTGCACGAGTAGACGCCGCTGTGGCGCTCGTGCGCCGGGCTGATCCGCAGGGTTACGGTGCCAAAGTCTCGGGTAGTCGAGATCCAGTTGGACTCGCCGAGCGGGGCGTCGTTGAGGAACCACTCGAGCTTGAGGGTCGGGTCGTCGACGGGTTGGTAGCGGGCTTCGAGGAGGGCCACGCCTCCTTCTTCTACCTAAAAGGGAGGGTTTTAGGTGTCACTGTTCATTTAAAAGTTGACATGGAGCTTTGACGAATCCTAAGCCTAAGACTAAGCATAAGCCCCAGCCTAAGCCTAATTTTAAGCCTAAGCCTAGGCGAAGCATTAGCTGAAGTCTAAGCCTAAGCCGAAACAGAAGCCGAAGCGAAGCCTAAGCCAAGCCTAAGCCAAGCCTAAGCCAAGTCCGAGCCCAATCTTAAGCCTAAGCCAAGCCCAACATACCCCATCAACCGACTGAAGCCCCTGCGTGAACGTCGGCTTTGCGTACTCCTTCGCCGGGGCTTCCTCAGCCGGGCCGCGTGGCGCCTCAATTTCTTGGATCTTTTGCCACGATTGGGCGTGCTGGGTGTCGCCTAAAAACGTAATTTTATGTCGTAATCGGTTCGCAAATTCCTCAAGTGAATTCCTCAAATTCCACTGCCTCATCATAAAAACCGACCATAAATCGACGGGCGCCCCTCGCAGCTGAGCTCTCCCTGCGTGGTGTCGGTGCCCGACTTGTTCGACACGGTGCACTCGTACTTGCCGGAATCTTCGGCGAGGACGTACTGCAGATCAAGGGTGACCAAGCCGAAGTCGTTGCGAAGCACGCGGCGGTTGGAAGCGCCCAGCGGGGCCCCGTTCAGCTTCCACTCGACGACGGTGTTCGGGTCGGCGAACGGGGCGAACTGGGCCTCGAAGTGGGCCGGTTGGCCCTCGATGACGTTGTTGTTCGAGTTGAGCTGGCGGACCCAACGGGGGGCGGCGTGTTCTGGAATGGATTACGACATGTTTTTCGCGTTTAAAGGGGAGGTGACAAAGCCTAAGCCAAACCTAAGCCGAAGCTTAAGCCCAAGACTAAGCCTAAGCCTAGCCTAAGCCTAAGCCTAAGCTTAAGCCTCGCTTAAGCCTGAGCCCAAGCCTAAGCTTAACCTAAGCCTAAGTCTAAGCTTTGCTTAAACCGGACCTACGCTCAAGCCTAGGCCTATGCCTAAGCCTAAGCCAAGCCAAACACCCACCAGCATCCGGCGCATCGGCTTCCGGTGCCCTCGGCGCCTCAATCTCCTGAATCCGTTGCCACGAAGCCGCGTTCTGCACCGCATCCAGGATTCCGGCATTTCCGGTGACAGCCAGGGTGGCTTCAACCTTGGCTTCACCCTTTTCGTTTGAGGCGACGACGGTGTAGGTTCCGCTGTCTTCCGGAACGGTATGCGCAATATCAAGCGCAACGTATCCAAAGTCCGACGTCAGCTTCATCCTGTTGCTGTTGGCCAGCGGGGCCCCATCCTTCAGCCATTGGAAGCGCATCTTCGGGTCGGCCATCGGGGTGACGCGGGTCTGGAAGTGCGCCGACTGAAACTCGATGCGCTCGAGGCTCTCCATCGGCTCGACAAACTGCGGGGCATCGTGTTCAGCATCGGCCAGCTCCTCGGGGCCAGCCCTCGGCGCCTCGATCTCCTGAATCTTCTTCCAGCTGTCGGGGTGTTGTGTGTCGAGGTAAAGCGTTCCTCGTGGTTGAATCGTGAAGCTGGTCTGGGTGACGGCTTCTCCAAGAGCATTTCTGGCGACGGCGCTCCACTCTCCGCTGTCCTGGGCGAACGCGTAGAGGATGTCGAGCGCGACGTAGCCGAAGTCGTGGCGCGTGCGGAAGCGGTGGCCATTGGCAAGGGGAGCACCATCGTGGTACCACTCGACGATCAGCTGGTTGTCGTTGGTCGGTTCGACCTGGAAAATAGGATTCGATTACGCTAGGAAATTCATTGGAAAAAGGAAAAAATATCGAGAAACCCCTTAAAAATTCCCAAAATCCCAATCGATTACGCGAGGTAATTTGTAGAGCGAAAACTACAAGCTACAGACTCCAAATTTCAACGAAAATCCAGGTAAAAAGCAAACCGCAAGCCCCAATATGAAAAATTTCACTAAAATCTGGGTTTTCCGGCGTCGTAATTCCATGTCGTAATCGTTTAGGCCCACCTGGCACTCCAGATGGATCGGCACGCCCTCCTGCAGTTCGCCCAGGCTTCCGGCGAGCGGAACGACAAATTTCGGCGCCACCTAAAGGGCCATTGAAGTCAGAGTTTCGAATTTTAACGCTTTAAAGGGACAGCAACAGTACCTTGTTGGCCTCCTCTTCAACGGCTTCCGGCACCGGGCGATTTTCGATGTCCTGGACTCGCTGCCAGCTCTGCTCGTTGTTCGGGTCGAGCAGCAGCGAGGCGGTCGGGTCGCAGGTGACGTTACACCGCGTCTCGGCTTCACCAAAAGCGGAAACGGCCTGGAAAACGGGGTTTAAAAGGACTTGGAAAGCAAAAGCATGTAAATCCATATCGAAATTTCGCTTCTAAGTACCTTGAAAACGCTAAAAAAAATCGTTTTAATGGGCCTAGCATTTGTTGGCGATGTCCAAAAATAGGCAAAACCGTTTTAAAGGGACTAGGAAGACACAAAAATCGCTTAAAGGCAGCAGGAAAGCCGTGCCACAGAAATCCATCGAGATTTTTGCCTTCGACGGTTCTCTAAAACGTCGAAATTTGGTTTTTAACGCAGTTGCTATGTAGATTTGCCTACTAGGATCCTTTAAAAGCGTGCAAAATGGGTTTAAAGGCACCCGGAAGGCAAATCTATAAAAATCCATAACGTTTTTTGCCTTCAACGGTCCTTTAAAATTCGTCTAAGCCCAAATTTTTTCGCGAGTTCGATAGGCTGCTAGAGTACAAACTCCAAAACCCACTCGGCACACATATTCCCCAGAATCCCTAGCCGAAATTCCAAGAATATCGAGGTGGATGAGGTCGAGATGGCGTTGAGGCATGAATCGAGACGCGTTCTCGAGCGGCGTCCCATTGAGCGTCCAGAACACCTAAAAATAGCCAAAAAGTTCCTAAATGATCTCTGCTAGCCTGCCTTGAGGGTGGGGTCGTTGACGGGCTGGAGGAGGGCTTCGAGACGGACGGCCGAGCCTTCTGCGGGCTGGTCGACGTCTTGGAGGGGTTGGGTGAAGGTGGGTGGCGGGAAGGTTTGGTCTGAAAATTTGAGGTTTTCCTAAATTGCCACTGCTAGCTTGCCTAAGCCCCGCCCCTCTAAAGGGAGCGTGACACCACGAATCCACAACTTTAAAAGGCCATTGAAGTCAAACCTGGGGACGGCTCCCTAGGCACTTCACGGTTCTCCAGCTCCTGAATCTTTTGCCACGACTCCTCGTGCTGCGACTCGAGGTAGATGTTCTTCTTCGGGCGACATTCAAGTCTGGAATGCACAATTCATCAAAGAATCTCTGCTAGAGTGCCTGGTCTAGTCGGTTACGGCATCAAATCCTTACGTAATCTGCGTCGTCGCCTCGCCAGCGTTGTTGACGGCTCGGCAAGTGTACGTGCCCGAGTCCTCGGGGTGGACGTGCAAGAATTCCAGGCCGACGTAGCCGAAATCGTGGATGGTGCGGATGCGAGAGCCGAATTGGAGGGGCAGACCCTCGTGGTACCTGGAAATTTAAGTTTAAAGGACCCGTGAAGGCTTTGAAAGCGTAAATTCGGCCTTAAAGGACCGCTAAAGCCAAATCCATAAGCCCCACCACTCAATCTTCAGTCTCGGGTCGTTGATCGGCTGCACGACGCAGTCCAAGTGGACGCTCTGGCCCTCCTTGAGGACTTCCTGGGGGCCCTGGAGCTGTTGGGTGAAGCTGGGGGCTTCCGGGGGAGCGTCCTCATCGGTGGGTTTAGCCGGGCGGAGCGCCTCGAGCTCCTGGATTCGCCGGTAGCTCTCCGGGTGTGCCGTTTCGGAGATGATCGAGCCGAGACGGTCAACCTGGAATCGGGGAGGTGTTTTTGATGGCGTGATCGATTATTGGTGACCTAACGAAGGCCTTAAGCAATTCACGAACGATTCTGAGCAAAAAGCAAAAAGTTACGCGCCGCGGACGGGATCGAACCCTTGACCCTCTGAACGTTACTTCACTGTTTCTTTAAAGCGGATTTTCGTGAAGTAATCGATTGTCCGGAAGCTAATAAAGGCCTTAAGCGAGTTTCGAACGTTTCTGAGCAAAAAGCAAAAAGTTAAGCGCCGCGGACGGGATCGAACCCTTGACCCCCTGAATGCCACTTCACTGTGCCTTTAAATGTGATTTTCATGTCGTAATCGATACCTGGATCGACGTGTTCGTCTCGACCTGCCCGGCGGCATTCGACACCCTCAACGTGTAGTCTCCCTCATCCTCCGCGATCACGTAATCGATGTCCAGCGAGATGTACCCGAAATCGTTGGCCATACGGTAGCGCGAGCTCGCCTAAAGGGGCCGTCAAGTGAGGGGAAAGGGGGCGGGGCTTGATAGAAACTCAAAAACTTTTATCATCGATTCATTAGTCTTTAAAAAACTCTACCGTACCTTCAAGGGAAATCCGTTGAAGAACCACTCGTAGCGCATCTGGTTGTCGTCGATGGGAGACACCTAGAATTGGGGGGTTTTAAGGCATAACTTTTTTGTTTTACGATTATTCTTGCTAAAAATTACCTAACAAATAGCCTAGTGTGTTTTGCATAATTTCTAAAAATTTAACCTTAATTTAATGACATACAAAAAAGTTATGATTTTTTGAAGTTCCGCCCTGAAAAGCCTAGTTTTTTTGGCCATAAATTTGCTAATTTGCAGTATTTTTGTTGAAAATTTTTTGGATATATAGTTTATGGTATTTTAAATGTACTGTAAAAATTTCAAAACCATCCAAGGCGCAATGAACAAGCTATGATTTTTTAAAGTGGCTGAATTTTTATTTTTTGATTTTTCTCAAAAAATTTTTTTCTGTAGCTCCAATTTTTTTTACCTGAGCCTCCAAATGCAACGTCTGGCTCTCGTGGACGTTTTGAGCGCCACTTGGAAGTCCCTGGACGATCCTGGGGGCCTCTTTGGGGGCGTCGGGGGCGGGTTCCGCGCGCTGCTGCGGCGTCTCCAGCTCCGTGATGCGGGCCAGGGAGGAGGGGTGCAGGGAGTCGATTAGCTGAAAGGAGGATTGAGCATGAGAGTCTAAGCCTAAGCCAAGCCTAAGCCAAGCCTAAGCCCCAGCCTAAGCCCAAGCCTAAGCCCAAGCCTAAGCCCAAGCCTAAGCCCAAGCCTAAGCCCAAGCCCGGGCCTAAGCCTAAAACCCATGCCTAAGCCTACTTACCATTCCATTCCGCGCCGAGCACCGGATGTACATCGAGCATTTGGCTTCTCCAGTAGCGTTCCGGGCTACGAGGGTGTACTCTCCCTCATCTTCCGGGTAGCAATAGAGGATGTTCAGGGCCGCGTAGCCAAAATCTTGGCTGAGGGCGTAGCGATGGGCTTTCATCAGCGGGTGGCCATTGAGGAACCATTCGTACTAAAAAATTGGAGTTAAAATTTCTCAAAGAATCCCTGATGACCTGCCCTCCAATTCCTCAAAGAATCTCTGCTAGCCTGCCCCTCCAATTCCTCAAAGAATCTCTGCTAGCCTGCCCCCTAAAGGGACAATGACACCTACCGTCATGGTGTTATCATCAGCCGGTGAGACCTGGGCCTCGATATAAATCGATTGGCCTTCCTCAAGATCCGCATCCGGTCCAATCGGCTTCAAGAAGCTGGGAGCAGCATGTGGCTGCTCCTCCTCCTCAGCTTCAGCCTCCTTCGGGGCCTCGAGCTCCTGGATTCTCTGGTAGGAGGCCGGGTGCTGCGTTTGGCCGAGGATGCCCTCCTTTGCTGAAAAAATGTGGCTTAAAGGGCCGTTGAAGGCAAAAAAAACTTCTAGAACCGATTTAGCCATGAACATCGCCTAGCTAATTATTTTAAAGGGTCAGGGAAAGCAATAAAGCCCTCCTAAAATCGATTATGCCATCAAAATAACTTTAAAATTATTTTAAAGGGCTATGTAAGGCAATCAAATGCTTTTAGAATCGCTTACGCCATGATATCCGCCTAGGAAATCGTTTTAAAGGAACGTTGAAGCCAAAATTTCACCCGAAAACTGACCAATCGGCACATTCCGAACGACGGGTGTTAGATGCAAATACGGGTTCGGAGTCTCCGGCTTTTCCTCCCTCGGCCTCGGGCTGATTTCGCCTTTTTTGGGGAGCTTGTTGACCCCTGCCAGAGCCAGGTACTGAGGTACGGTATTCAGCCTTTGAGCGATTAATCTCGGGGATATTAGCGAGGTGGCTGGTTTTGGAGTTTGTATTTTGTAGTCTACGTCCGGAGCTATTTTTGTAGCTGGTAGCCCGCTTTTTACAGTGTCATTAGGTTGTCTGGCGTAGTTTGGAGTCTGTAGCTTGTAGTCTACGTCAGGAGCCGTTTTTGTAGTCTGTAGTCCGCATTTTACAGCGTCAATAGGTTGTTTGTCGTAGTTTGCCGCGTTTGTAGTTTGGAGTTTAGAGTCTAGATTCCGACTGGAGTTTGTAGTTTGCCCAGCGACCGGTCTTGTAGCCTGAAGCTTGTAGTCTGGCCCTCCGGTCGGTTTTGTAGTTTGTAGTCCAGAGCTCTGGCCGGAATTTTGGCCATTAGTGGAATTTGGAGCCTGTAGTTTATCGTCCGGCCTGTCGGTGGGTTTTGTAGTTTCTGGCCCATTCCCAAGCATGTCAATTGGAACGTTCCGTACCGATCCCCAGTCGTACGGTACCCGGTTCGTACTGTAGAACTCGGCTTTTTCAGTGGATCCCCGCCTGCCAGCAGGTGTACTGTAGCCATCCTCATTTTTCAGGATTTTCACGGGTATCGATTTTTCGGTATTTTTCGGTTTTTGGGCGACCGTAACCCCGGGGGAGAAGTATGGTACCGGGGACCGGAAATAGGGATCGGAATACGATTCTTGACGCGGAGACGGTGTAGATGGAATTATCGTAATAGGTACCGTATGCTCGATAGGCTGATTTTGTCCATGGTATCCTTGCGTACTGAGGTGTAGCTCGGAATCGGGGGTAGTGTAGGGTACGCTAGGCCTGTTTTCAGTTTTTTCAGCCGGTTTTCGAGGAGCCTGACCTCCGGTCTGACCGTAAACCAGGGCAAAAGGGGCGGGGTCTGGGTTTAAAGGGCCCGGCAAGGCAGGCGAAGCTGTAGATTTTGGATTCGGCATTCTGTAGTTACAGAATTGGAAGTAGCTGGGGCTAAGGCTTGGCTTGGGCTTAGGCTTCGGCTTGGGCTTAGGCCCGTCGAATTTTAGAGATTTTTAGACGTCGTAATTGGTTGCAAAACGTAGCGAATCGGGAATTGGAATTGGGGGGAGGGGGAAAAGCTTGAAGTGTGCGTGTGTCAGCTTCTTCTTCTTGGGGAGGGGGCAGGAGGAGCCTAAGCTTCAAGGAAAACAGAAGCGCGGCGAGCGCCCTACTGCAACCCCCACCCCCCACCCACTCGATTTGTGGCCATTCCGGGGCTTAACGCCGAGAGGGGGTCATCAAATTATTACCTGGCGTAATCGATTACGCTACAATCAGCCCAGCACTCGATTTTGCATAATTTTTGATGTTTGAGGGTTAAAATTGATCATCTACAGGGGACTTTAACGATTTTTGTCGGCTTTTCAGGAAAAAAATAGATGAACTCAGCGTTAATAAAAATATCTAGCTTCTCAAAGGCAAAAAAACATTCACTTCCGGTCAATTTTTCGATTTTCATAGCGTAATCGAATTTTTCGCGATTTTTTAGACGTTCTCGTCCCTTTAAAACAGAGAAACTTGACGAACCATTGCAAGTGAAGCTCGTCGTCGTAACGGCTTGGCCAAGCGAGTTCTCCGCGACGCATGAGTACTCGCCGGCGTCGGCGGCGTGTACACCCAGGATGTCGAGCGACACGTAGCCGAAATCGTAGAACGTGCGGAAGCGGTGGCCTGAAAAATGATTTTTTTGCTTTATCGTGGCAAAACGGCAGTAAAGCAGGCTAGCAGGATTTTTGGAGCAGTTTTGAGCTGTTCTTAGACTTTTATGACTTCACTGGCCCTTTAAAACGATGAGGCAGGCTAGCAAAGAGGATTTGAGGCCCCTAATTTGCATAATTCGACTATTTACCGGCCAGTTTTCGGCCCATTTTTTCTGCTGCGCTACCATGTTTACCCGGGGAATGTTTACCTGTTCAGAGGAAGCGCGCGTAGCCCCCAGCGCGCGCTCGCTAATCCGCCTAGTTTTTGCCCACTAGGAAGCTGCGTGTGCTTTCCTTTGAAATTGTGTGTTTGACAAGGTGCCAGAGGGAGAGAGACAGCGAGAGAGAGAGAGAGAGAGAAAAGTGAGACAGACAAACAGAGAGAGGGAGCTAGAGTTTTAAAGGAATATTCAAGTCAGCTCTACCTGTCGGAAGCGGTCGCCCATCCCTCAGCCAGTACACCTTCAAGCTGTTGTCGTTGTAGGGCCGGACCTGGCACTCAAGATGAAGCGGTTCGGACTCTTCGACCTGGAAAATTAAATTCCTCAAAGATCTGTGCTAGCCCGGCCCAATTCCTCAAAGATTTCTGCTAGCCATTTCCGCAAAGAATCTCTGCTAGCTTCCCGCACCTCTCCAAGATCTCCAGGAAGTTGTAGAATGAATTGTGGGGGTCCATCCGGTTGCGCGTCTTCCTCTTCGGTCCTGCCGTACTTGTTGAGGCCCTCGAGGTGGGTGATCTTGTCGAGAGACTCCTCGTGCTGGGTCCCGTCAAGAATCGTGCCGGCGGCTGAAAATTTGCATTTTAAAGACACTCGCAAGGCAGAAAAAGCTACGGATAATTTTTTAAAGGAAGTAGAAACTAAAAAAATCCAGAAAACATCCAATATTTGGATTTTAAAGGCAGCGAACACCTGGCTGATCGCCAAAATTGGTTGAAAAATCCATTTTAAGAGACTTGGAAGACAAGAATCCATAAAAACTCACGAGCCACGACTACGATACACTCCTTTGTCGCCTCTCCGAGCGCGTTCTTGGCCCGGACGGTGTACGTGCCGGAGTCCTCGCTGATGGCTCCCTGAAGGGACGTTGAATTCAGGAAGCCTAACACTAAGCCTAAGCCAAACCTAAGCCCAAGCCGAAGCCTAAGCCTAAAGGAACGGACAGTACCTTGACATCAAGCGCGATGAAGCCAAACTCGTACATGGCCTTGACGCGAGAGCCGGTCAGCAGCGGGTGGCCGTTGACGAACCACTCGACCGTCATGGTCGGGTCGTTCACAGGGGTCACCTGGAAATGGGCGTTTAAAGGGACATTGAAGCCAAGTCTTCATCAAAAATCTCTGCTAGCTGACCTTAATGTCTAGATGGATATCTTGGTGCTCGTCGAGCTGCAGGTCCTGAAGATCTCCCAGGAAATGCGGAGCATTATCGCATCCCCGATCCTCGTCCTCCTCAATCGGGCCGACACGCGAGTTCTCGAGCTGTTCGATGCGCTGTAGTCCTTCAGGATGCTGGGCGTCGAGGTAGAGGCTCTTCTCGGAGAGCACGGTCAGCTCCAGGTCACACTTGCACTCGCCGAGCTCGTTGCGGGCGACCTGGAAGAGATTTTAGAGGGTTTCAAGGACCATTGAAGGCAAAAATCCATAAGCTGCCGCTCACCAGGGTGTACGTCCCGGAGTCTTCCGGATACGCGTACAAAATGTCGAGCGCCACGTAGCCAAAGTCGAACATGGGCCGGAAACGGTGAGCAGCCGGGAGGGGATGGCCGTTGTGGTACCACTCGGCCCTCATCTTCACGTCGCTGGCCGGTTGGATTCGGGCCTCGAAGTGGACGGGTTCGTTCTCCGTCACCTGAAATTGGCAAATGGTCTCTGCTAGCTTGCCCTTTGCTTCCAATTCCTCAAAAAAACCTCTGCCAGTCTGCCCACCTCGATCTTGTCCTGGAGGGTGCGCGCGAAGCGCGGCGCTTCCAGGCTGCCGTCCTCCTCCGGCCTGTCGACGGGCATCGGGCCGATGTGGACCTGGTGGCTGTCGAGGTAGCCGATGATCGGGAGGCTCTGCTCGTGCTGGGTTTCAAGGCGGAGCGATTCGGACTAAAGTTGTAGTTTCTAGCCTAAGCCAAGCCTAAGCCTAAGCCAAGCCTAAGCCTAAACCAAGCCTAAGCCTACCTGATAAGTGGACAACTCCGCGTTGGCCTGTGCCGTGCCCATGACGTTGTGCAGGACGGCGGTGTACACGCCGGCGTCCTCGGGGAACGTCGGGTGGATGGAGAGCTGGATGACGCCAAAGTTGACGGACGTCTGGATGCGGTTGGCGTTGGGGAGGGGCTGGCCGTCCTTGAGCCAGGAGACCTGAAAAGGTGCATTTTAAGTGCCTTCAATGGTCCTTTAAAGCCTAAGCCTAAGCTACAAACCACAACACCCACCCTGAGACTCGGATCGTTGATCGGCTGAATCCGTGCCTCAAACATCGACCTCCCGAGCTCTTGCTCACAGTGGAAGTTGCGTGGCTAAAAGAACACGAGCAGGTTTTAAAGGGAGAATGACACTACCGGATCGAGGAATTTTGGTGGCTCTCCGCGATCGGCGCCTCGGTGCTGGATCTCCCTGACGTCATCAACGTCCAGGTTGCTCTGGTATTGTAGCAGCTCGGATTTCGCTGAAAATGGGCAGGCTAGCAGAGATTCTTTGAGGAATTGGAGGGGCAGGCTAGCAGAGATTCTTTGAGGAATTAAAGGAGGTAGGCTAGCAGAGATTCTTTGCAAAACTCACGATGGATTAGGATATCAGCGTGGCATTCGGCTTCTCCGAGGTTGTTCGACGCCCTCAAGGTGTACAGCCCCGAATCCCTGGCCTCAGCGTCGGCGATGTCGAGGCAGATGAAGCCGTAGGCGGCCGACTGGCGGTGACGACCACTTTGAGCAAGAGGTTGACCGTTCAACAACCATTCCACACGCAGGGACGGGTCGTTGATGGGTGTCAACTGGAATGAAGCGGTATTTTCCACGAATTTTAGCTCTAAAACCAAAAAGAAAAAGTTGCCGCGGCCGGGGGTCGAACCCACGACCCCAAATCCATAGAATCCAGGCTTCCATGGCCCTTTAAAACGTCGAAACCTTACTTTGCACTCCAAATGAATCGGGTGGCCCTCGAAGACTTCTTGAGATCTCAGCTCCGAGTGGAAGTTGACGACTTCCGGCAGGGCCCCCGACACCGAGGAGTACATCTGGCCCATCTCCTGGGGGCGGGGCGAGGCGGAGACTTGGGCGTGGCCCAGGACCTGAAATTTGATGAGTCCATGGCCGTATTTGGCTTCACTGGCCCTTTAAAGGGACGGGGATATCAGGACGGTCCAACTTTTGGTGTCACCATCCCTTTAATATCGTTTTTCGATGATTTCTAGATGTCACTGTCCCTTTAAAATGAATTTTGGCGGATTTCTAGCTGTTGCCATCCCTCTAAAATCATTTTTCGACGGTTTGTAGATGTCACTGTCTCTTTAAAATGAATTTTCGGCTAATTCTAGCTGTTGCCATCCCTTTAAAAGATTTTTTCGATGATTTATAGCCGTCACTGCCCCTTTAAAGAGACTAGCTAGCTAGCTAGACTGCCCCCACTTTTCAAGATTTTTCAGCGGTTTTAGCTGTCATCCTCCATTTAAACGCCCCAAAAATTTCCCCAATGATACCTGCAAGTTGGTCGTGACTTTTGCCTCTCCGGCCGTGTTGACAGCGACTACCGTATACTCGCCCTGGTCGAACACGTTGATCGGGTGGATCTCCAGGATGGCCTGTCCGAATTCGGCCTGCGTGGCCACCCGAGAAGAAGCCAGCAACGCTTTTCCGTCCTTCAGCCAGGCTACCTGGAAAATTTGGGTCCTAAATGGTCTCTGCTAGCTTGCCAGGGCTCGTGAGCACGAGGTACTACTTTTCCTCAAAGAATCTCTGCCAGCATACCCTGAGGTTCGGATCCTCGGCCGGCGAGTAGGCGATCTCGAGCCGGGCGGCTTGCCCTTCTACCAGACTGAGGGGCTGGAGCTTCCCGGAGAATTGTGGGGGCTGGCTGGAGGCCTGCTCGAGCTGGTTGACTGGGGTCCGGGCTCGCTTGTGGTCGACCTGGAAAACGGCGTCTTCGAGGAGTTCAGCGGATCCCTGTCCTCTTTCAATGCAAAATTACGGTTTCTAGAGTTTTCTAGCGCTTAAATGCGAATTTTTGAGCTGTGGTGTATTGGTAAATCGCTACTTATCAAGTTAGCTACCCGGGTTCGATCCCCGGGACCTCCAAATTTTTGCTTTTTGGCCAGAACTTTTCCAGAAGCCTTTTAAGCTCCTTCACCACCATTTGGAGCTATAGCGCAATGGTAAAAGCCTATTCCTATCAATCTAGACACCCGGGTTTGACACCCGGAACCTACAATTTTTTGTTTTTTGCTAAAACCCGTTTTGATCTATTTTTCCTACCTTTCTGAGCGTGATCAGCTCCCGCTGATGAGGGGCCAGCCGTTTCCTGGACTGGACGACGATCCGGCCCTTCAGCGGCGTCGAGCCGTACTGGTTGGACGCTACGCACGTGTACCATCCGCCCTCCTCCAACGTCGCGCCCTCGATGATCAGCGTCGTCTCGTTGGCCGAGGTGGACACTCTGGAAGCAAGAATATAGCTAGATTTCAAAAAGCAAAAAGTTAGCCGCGGCCGGGGGTCGAACCCGGGTCTTCAGACTGATAGCCAAGTGACTAACCGACTGAGCTCAAAATTCCAAGAACCGATTTCCATGCAAAAAACACGTATTTTGTATTTTGTACGCACTTATACTTCCCGCCGCTGCCAATCGGGTAGTTGTCCTTGTTCCACTCGAATTTCAGCCCATCTCCGGTGGCTTTACAGTACAATTTGATCGTATCCCCCTCATTAATCGTCGTCGATTGGAAAGTGCCGGTGAATTTTGGCGCATCAGGGGATCGGGTTTCTAAAAACAATTCCTCAATGGCTTCTGCTAGCTGGCCACTCACGCAACACGTTCAGCTGGAATCTGGACTGCGCGCTGCCACCCGCATTCCGGACCACGCACAGGTAGGTGCCGCCCAGCTCCGCTTCCACCTAGACGCGTCGTTTCTAGTTTTCGTTTGCTTAAGAAAAAGCCCCGGAGAAGCGCTTCAAAATGAGCTAAAAATCATTGAAATCTGACGTTCCTAGACCGAGATATGACGGATTGTAGTTGGTAGCCTAGGGGGCGCAAAAAGTTTAAATGGTTATAACTTGGCGGGGGATACGGTAGAATAATGATTTAGATATCATTCGAAAGCCCTCGAAACACTCTACAAAATCTAATATTAACATTATAAAAATATAGAAATGCTCAAAAAATAAAATTTTTTAAAAATTAAAAAGTTTCGTTAGCCTATCGATATGGCCGATTTCCATGGTCGACCTCTCATTGAGCACCAACTTTGAACCCGCCTAACTTTGCGTAGGAATTATCTATGGTAGCGGTTCAACCATCAATCAAAAGCCCTTGGAAAGCTTTATCAGATCTCTGTTTCAGATTAGTCCCAAGCCACGCCCCCTTTCCCCAAATTTCTCGGCTAGCCTACCCTCTAAGGCGCGAACATTAAAGCGCCATAACCTTGCCTAGGAATTAGCTACCGTAATCGTAGATTTACCATTCGAAAGCCCTGAAAAAGCTCTATCTGTCCCCGATTAGTCACTCACCTTATCAATGGTGAGCCTGCCGCTGCCATCGGCAAAGCCCTCCGCCCTCACTGCTCCCTTCTGAGGTACCGTACTGCCATCGGCCCTCAACCACTCCATCTGGGGGAGCGGGTCCCCGGCCGCCTTGGCCGAGAAGACGACCTCATCCCCGATTTTGGCTGCCACCGATTGGGGATGGACGACGAACACTGGGGGCTTGGATGATCTGGAAGAATTGTGGATTTTGGCTTTATTGGCCCTTTAAAACCCTGGTTTTAATTTTTAAATCAATTCTTAGGCTGTTCGAAAGCCGGGCAGATAAAAATCCGGTGGATTTCTGTCTTCATTGGTCCTTTAAGGCGATTCTAAAGCGTTTGGAAACCCTTGGAAAAGTCGCAAAGAGAAAAGCTATGGAGTTTGCCTTCAATGCCCCTTAAAAAGTAATTGAAAGGATTTGTGAACTTTTTAAGGGCTAGGCAAGCCAAAAATCCATGGACCAATGGCTTCAATGGTCCTTTAAAAGCAGCTTTAAGGGACCGGAGACCCCACCTGCCAATCATCTGCCCCGGCGACGGCGCCGAGTAGCCATCGGTGAAGGCTGCCTCCTTCACCGTGCCGTTCTGCGCCTGTTGCTGTTGCTGCTGTACTTGCTGCTGACGAGCTGCCATCTCGTAGTTTGTAGCGTGCTGTTGTTGCTGGTTGTAGTGGTGGCCGAGTTGCTGCCGCTCGTGCCACTGCTGCTGCTCCTGCTCAACGTTGCCCTGGCGTTGAGCGGGAGCGTAGTTCTGGAATTACAGGGCGTTATCGATTACGCTCGTGAATTAAAGGGACTCACAAGTCTGAGCTGTCGCTGCGCGGGGTGACCCTGCTGCTGACGCTGGCGGATGTGGTCCTCGTAGGCAGACTGCTGACTGCTCACCTGAATTGGAAAAATTGCCAAAGAATCTCTGCTATCTGGCCTCCATTCATCAAAAAATCCCTGCTAGCCTGCCCTCCAATTCCTCAAATAATCTCTGCTAGCCTGCCCTCCAATTCCTCAAAGAAACTCTGCTAGCTGACCTTCTGAACCGGCTCCTGATATAGATGATGGTGATGGGGTTGAGCGTATGCTCCTTGTTGCTGCTGCTGTTGTCCCCAGAGGTGTCTCTCGTCTACCGTATGCGCGGGTTGTTGGTAGAACTGTTGCGTTGGTTGTTGTTGTTGTACTTGTTGCTGTTGTTGTACAAGGAATGCGCCCCTTGGCCACCCGGTCGAGGAGTACGGTGTGGCCTCCGGTGCGTAGTGCGGCTGTTGAGGCTGCTGCTGGTGTTGCTGTTGGTAGGAGAAGGCCTGGAAAATCGCAAATTACGAGCGATAACGAAATTTTAAAGGAGCATTGAAGGCTGGAATCCATAGCGGATATTAAGGATCGGCTATTCCAAACGCAAAAATCGATAAATTAACCGATTACTACAGGTAATTCAGCGGAAAATCCTGAATTTTCGGGCATGTGATTACGACTTGAAAATTACGAAATTTTTTCCTAGTGGAATGAGAGCTACGGCGAAAGAGAGACAGAGAGAGCGAGAGAGAGAAAGAGAGAGAGCGAGAGACAGAGAGAGAGAGAGAGAGAGAGAGAGAGAGAGAGAGAAAGCGTGAGACAGAGAAAGCTAGCGTAATCAGTCATACCCGTAGTAATAAAGGTGTGGAAAGCCCCGGGGAATCTGGGGGCCTAGTGGATGGATTGGTCACCTCAGGGCCCTCAGGGTTTCTCTCTCTCTCTCGCTCTCTCTCTCTCTCTCTTTCTCCCACTTTTTGACTTTTTGCTTGAAGCGTTCGAGGGGGGTGGCCCCCTCTCAAGCAGGTACCCCTCCCTCCCCCGCGTCCACTTTTTTGACCGTCTCTCTCGGGCGAGAGAGAGAGAGAGAGAGAGAGAGAGAGGGAGAGAGCGACAGAATAAGACAGCTGTTTGCTTTTGTTTTTCGACCGGCCAACCGAGTGTGGGGGGCTCATGATTTCTTTCGAACTTCCCCCCAATGAGCTGCTCCGAACGCCTCTTCGAATTACGTGCTAAACCATTGGGTTCAATGGCTCTTTAAAACCGATGAAATGGAAACATTTGATCAACAAGGTTTAAGAAATGAAGAAATGTGGGAAACTGATTCAATGGCCCTTTAAAGCCTCGAAAAATGCCGAAAACCCATTTCAACACCTGTAAATCCGAAAATATTAATTTCTGGAGAGTAATTAGCAGGAAAATTGTAGAACCGTTTACGGAATGAATATCAGCTGTCACACTACCTTTAAAAAATAAAAATGATCAAAATCTATCGGAAATTGGCTTCATTGTTCCTTTAAAAAGTTGCTTCTAAGGGCAAGCTAGCAGAAAAACTTGTGGAAACCATTACGGTATGAAAAACCAGCTGCCAAAACCTTGCTGTCACTCCACCTTTAAAACTAGAGCAGAAACTGTCAAAACAATGCTTAAAAACGCCCTAAATTGGCTTTTACGATATCAAAAAATTGAGGAGATGGTTACGGTAAATTACGGTCAAACAAAAACCTTGCTGTCACTCCACCTTTAAAAACCCGAGCCGAAAGTGTCAAAAACCACCTAAAAATGCCCTCAAGCGGTTTAGGCTAGCAAAAACATTAGGCAAACGATTACGGCATGAAAAAAACGGCTTCCAAGACCCTGCTGTCACTCCCCCTTTAAACCCCGCAACCGGAAGTGCGACAAAAATAGGTGGGTGTCAGTGAGTTAGGAGGCCAAAACCCAGGGGGTTCCTATTTGCCGCGTCTGCCTGCCAGTGCAGGTAATGGATTTATGGGGCGGCCGATCGCGAAAAGATCCGGGCAAACGAGAAGAAGCCGAGGCTTTACCCAGCCAGCCAGCCACTGTGTAATCCACTGTGGTCCCACACCTAACGGATAGGCGGAGAAGAAAAGAGCCTGTCATGCAACTGGGCCCCCAGGAGGAGATTGGGCCCCTTCATTGGCCCCTAATTGGTGATTAAAGGGACCGGGAAGCCAAAAAATCTTGTGAATTTCATCAAAAAATAGGGAAGCGAGTCTAAGCCTCGGTCAATGCCTAACCTAGGCCTAAGTCAAGCCTAAGCCTAAGCCTAAGCATCAGCAAAAATTCAGCACAGTCCACCTGAATCCACAGATTTTTAGCCCTTTACGTACATTTAAACCCCGAAAAACACGTTTAGAACGTCAGAAACTACTTAGAATCCAAAAAGCAAAAAATTGGCGCGGGCGGGGATCGAACTCGGACCGTCGGATTGATAAACTAGATGCTAACCGACTGCACTATCAGCTCAAAACTCTGAAAACCAAAGTCAAAAATCTTCTGTATTCTAGAGCTCACCTGTCTCCTCCTCTGCTCCTCTTCCTGTCGCCAGCGTTCCTCGGCTTCTCGTTGTTGCTGAAACGCGAAAAATTCTATTTTAAAGGACCGTTGTAGTCATCGAAAACCGCGAAATCCCTTAAAATCACTCCAAAATCCCTAAGAATCCCTGCTAGCTACCTGCTCTTGCTGCCGCCGCTTCTGCGCTTCCACGGCCCTTTCGTACTCCTCTCTTTCTCTGTGTCTCTCCTCCTCTCGGCGCCTCTCGTCACGCTCCCTCTCTCGGCGTCTGGCCTCCTCGAGCTGCCGCTGCTCAACCTCTAGCTGACGGCGGCGCTCTTCTTGGAGCCGGGATTCCTCAAATAGGCTTAATTTGAACAGGAAAACAAAAAGCAAAAATTCGCCGCGCTCGGGGTTCGAACCCGGGTCGCTCGCCTGATAGCCTATTTCACTAGCCACTTGACTAAGGGCTTAAAAAGGCGTAAAAAGCAGCTAAAAAGCGTTCTGACTGCTTATTTAGCAAAAAGCAAAAATCCCCCGCGCTCGGGATTCGAACCCGGGTCACTTGCCTGATATCCTAGCTCGCTAGCCACTTGACTAAACACCCAAAAACTTTAAAAAGGCAACAATACAGTAAAAACGCTAGAACCACAAACCTGCTCCCTCCTCAGCTCCGCCTGCTCCTCTTCGTGTCGCCGGCGTTGTTCGGCTTCCTTAAGGAACGATTTAGACCATTTAGGGCTTTTAAAGGGCCGTTGAAGGCTCTAGCCGACCTCTGTCCTCCTCGCGGTCGCTTGTCGTTCGCGTTCGTAAGCTACGGCAGCCGCGGTGAGGAGCTGGGGCTGTTGCTGGGCAGCTGGGCGTGGGGAAGCTGCCTGGAATGGATTTTTGGAGGTGTCACTGTCCCTTTAAAACGGAAAACTATAGACTACAGACTACAGCCCACAGACTACAAACCTGTAGCACCGGGGTAGTCGGTTGTGTGTTCGGGGTGAGCAGCGGTCGTTCGTCTGGGACGTTGAGGGGGTAGACCTCGATACGGGCGGAGGAGTCGACCTGAATTCATCGGTTTTTGGCTTCTAAAGACCTTTAAAACCCGAAAAATACGTTTAGAACGTCAGAAACAACTTCAAATCCAAAAAGCAAAAAATTGACGCCGGCGGGGATCGAACCCGGGTCGTCAGATTCATAACGTAGACGCTAACTGACTGCGCTAGCAGCTCAAACCCCCAAAAATCGTATAAAATGACGTATTTTGACCGCAGATCCGGGTGTGGATTTCCAACGAGGAGGCTAGGGGAACAGTACTTTCAGTAGACGAATAGAGCGGTGTGTGTGAGAAACCCCACTCGAGATCCTCTCTCTTCACCCCCAAATATTTGGATTAGCGGGGGGCAACAAATAAAAAACCGTTCTTCCCGATTCTCGCAACCCACAGCTACACGCGGAAATCGATCCTAAATGGTCGCTGCTAGCTCGCCTGGGGTAGCGCAATCGGTTAGCGTCTTGGCTCTCAAGTTGAAGGCCCGGGTTCGAGTCCTTGGGGCGTAAAGGTTTTGCTTTTTGGTTTTTTATGACTATTTCCCGTTTTCTATCAGGTAAATGGCCATTATTTTGACAGTCCGCCCCAGGCTGACTTTCCTGAGCCGCTGATTTGATTTATTGGCAGGGTTGGCATCCATCATGCATTTTTCTGGGGGCCACGCGTCGCGTCTTCCGGTTGACGGGGTTGTTTTTGATGTGCCCTGAGGCGGGAAAAGCCTGGTGCCCATTTGCACAGCCCCGGCGATTTGATCCATTACAACTCTCAAGCGACCCTCCCAAAGCTTTGTTTTTGCCGGCCGGATCTGCCAGGGATTGGGGGGTTGGCTTTTAAAGGGACAGGTAAGTTGCACCAAGCTTAAGCTCAAGCCCAAGCCTAAGCCAAGCCTAAGCAACTTCCTCACCTTCCCGTATCGATTCTCGGCCAAAATCGTGTACTCGCCGCTGTCCTCCGGCACCACCATCGACACCTTCAGCACGGCCAGGGAGTTCTGAAATTAAGCTATAGCCTACAGGCTTCAAAATTTGCCTTCTAGGTCCCTTTAAACCCCAAACTACAAAATACAACCGGCTACAGACTGCAAAAACAGCCCTTACCTTGTAGGTGACCTGCATCCGCGGCCCGGAGATGACCAGCGCTTGGCCGTTCTTGTACCAGGCGATCTGAAAAAAAAAATACGGTAGACTACAGGCTACAAATTACAACTACAAACGGAGGCTACAAACTACAACATCGATCACCTTTGGCTTCGGATTTCCGACGATGCTGGCCTGGAGAATGGCGTCCGTTCCTTCGGTCAGCCTGAAAAATTTGGCTTTAAAGGGAGCGTGACAGGAAGGGCTGCAGCTTTTAAAGGGGCAGTGAGGGTGGAGAGCTTAGTTGTTAAAGGGAGGGAGCATGACAGTTTTTAAACCTACCGTAACCCTCTCAGCGGTGTCCTCAGGAGTGGTCGTGTCCCTGGTGCTCCTCGCGGGTCCAGGGCGGCTAGCTCGGGCTCCGTTTCCGACTCTGAGACTCCCCAGGTCTAAAATAAAACCGTAGTCGTGCAGCGAATTCCATAGCGTAATCGATTAGGCCATGAAGAGACACTCACCAGGCTCTCGGTATCTGAAAAGCCGTGCTGCCCGTACTTGGCCATCTGGCGTAGGGCGGCCGAGGCTGGACGGCCGGTTCCGGAGCCGGATTGGGCGAGCATGTGCTGAAAATGGGGGTAAGTCAAGCCTAAGCCTAGCCTAAGCTTTAGCTTAAGCCGAAGCCAAGCACCCACCTGCTTCCGGTCCCTGGTCAGCTTGTGCTGCTCGTCGGTGAACCAGCGGTCGTACTGCTCGCGCGGAAGGAGCTGAAAAGTTCATTTTTCCTCAAGAATCTCTGCAAGCTGTCCAATTCCCCAAAGAATCCCACCTGAGCCTGCGTCTGTGCGGTTCCATGTTGATTCGATGCCTTCAGGGTGTACTCCCCGACGTCGTCGGTGAACATCTGCGGAATCGTCAGGGACACGATGCCGCTCTTCACATCATGCTCGAGTCGGGCTCTGGAGTTTGTAGTCTATAGTACGCTTGTAGTCTATAGTTTACCTATAGTTCTGGAAGGGTTTCTGCCCTTTGAGCCATTCTACAGTCGGCTGGGGCTGACCAGCGACGCGCGCCTCGAAGACGACAGCTCCACCAGGCTTCAGGGGTTGATGACGGAGTTCCTGAAGAATCACGGCTAGTTTGCCCTCGAATTCCGCAAAGAATATCTGCTAGCCTGCCCTACCTTTAGGAAAATCGGGGCGCTCGGCCCGACGGGAGTCTGAGGTGGCGCTGGGCTGTTCCTGAAAAAAATTTAACGGCTTTTAGGTGCTTAAAGGCAGCGTGACAGCTAGGGTCGTGCTCAAAAGCGAACAAAACGGGTTTAAAGGGACTGGCAAGGCTAATCGTACATCGGTTTGGCTCCAGGAACCGGCGTGGGAGCCGGGGCGACGATTAGAATACAGGTGCTCTGCTTATTGCCGGCCGTGTTGAGGGCCTGGGCGGTGAAGCGGCCCGAATCGGCGCCTAGAAATCAGCCTTCAACGGCCCTTTAAAGGGGTACCTTGGACGTTTTCGATGACGAGACGGTGCTTCATTCCGTCGCTTTCGATCTGGAAATGGTACGTAAGTCTAAGCCAAGCCGAAGCCTAGACCTAAGCCCAACCCTAAGCCCAGCCCAAGCCTAAGCCTCAGCCTAAGCTTAAGCCCAAGTCTAAGCCTAAGCCTAATTCATGCTCCTCAAAAATCTCTGCTAGCCCGCCCTCACCAGATAATCCGGGCACGTCGACACGTTGTGTCCATCCTTCAGCCATTTGACGAGCGGATCCGGATGGCCCTCCGTCTGGCACTCGAGCACGACACGCTCTCCCACCACGGCTCGCTTGTCGTTTAGGGGCTGAAAAATGGGGGCTTTGAGACTTGCATGGTCGTTTAAAATGTAGCCCGGGTCTGTGAAGACTACAAACTACAAAATACGAAATTTGGGAACTGATTACGCTATGAAAATAGCGCAGAGGCTCCAGGCTGCAAACTACACCTCATAACGAATCGATTACGTTCGTAAAATCGGACTACAGACTTTAGACTACAAACTACACCACCCAACGCATCGATTCCGCTAGGAAAATATACAGAACACAACGGCAAACTACAAATTACGCCCGAAACCGGTTACGCTGGGAAAATATACAGAAATACAACGACAAACTAAAAAATACGCCTCGAAACCGGTTGCGCTGGGAAAATCGCGAACCGAAACTGATTACGCCATCAAAACACGCACCCGAACAAAAGTGGGCGGGGCCTGCTGCTTGGCCTCGCGCTCGCCGAGCGGCCGGTGGAACGGCATTTTCTGAAAAAGATGACGATTATTACTAGAATATTTCCGCAAAGAATCCCTGCTAGCCTGCCCTCCCCCTGCCCACCTCGACTGCCCGTCGCTTCGCTCGTTCTCTTGGGTTTTTTCTGTTTCTGGTTCTTCTACGGTGGGGCGTACGTTCTGAACGGAAAATTTGCAAAAAAAATCGGTATATCTATTCGGTTACGCCATGAAAGGGGAAACGGTTACGCGATGAAAAGGGTAATACCGTAAAAATGGAAAATAGAACTTTGAAGGCGAGAGGGCTAGCAGAGAACATTTAGGAACGGCAAAAACTGTGGGCATGCTAGCAAAGACCATTTAAAGGTGCGGAAAGTAGGAATAATCGTTTACGCCAGGAAATTCGAGACGACTATTCGATTACGACATGAAAAATGGGACGACAAGGCTGATAGGCTAGCATAAAGAATTTTAGGAAAATTCTAGACGTGGAGGCACGCTAGCAGAGGTTATTTAAGCGCTCAGATACGAAGTTCAATCAATTACGCAAGGAAATTCGAGCCGGCTATTCGATTACGACATCAAATATAGCAGGTATATTTGATTAAGCCGTTTTCAGGGCTTACAACTAGCATAGACCATTTAGGAATGCCTACAGTCGATCGGATCTTCTCAGAAATCGATGGCCCAGCCACTTCCGAAAGTTTCCGAAGCGCTCCCGAGGGCGCTGCGCGCGCGGGCGGTCCGAGATAATGAGTGTTCGAGACGAGGGGGGGCATCGTTTAGAAAAGAGAGAGAGAGAGAGAGAGAGAGAGAGTAGAGAGAGAGAGAGAGAGAGAGAGAGGGAGAGAGAAACAAGGGCCCTCCAGCCATCCGGGGGAGGATCTCGGGCGGTCCGAAGAAGACAAACAGGGAGGAGACCATTGGCTAGCCGGCCAGTCCCCAGATCCCCTGAAATCCAAATAGCATCGCTTGGCTTCAGAAAAAGCCAAGAACCGGAAGCGATCTGGGAGGATTCCTCAAGGGTCTCTGCTAGATTGCCATTAAAAAAGTACGGGTGAATTTTTAGCGCGGAAATCGATTCGTAAATGGTCTCGGCTAGAATCCCCTGCAAAATTTCCCCATCTAAATGTTTCTCTGGCTTTGAGGGGCCTCAGAATCTGTTCCTAAATGGTCTCTGCTAGCTTGCCAGCCGAATAAAAGTTATGAAAAGCAAAAAATCTCGGAATCGCTTCCCAAATAATCTCTGCTAGCCTGCGAGCCTAGAAATATGTATCCAGAACCCGAATTCCGCAAAGAATCTCTGCTAGCCTGCCCCCCGATCCTCTGCAAATCCTGCAAAATAGTACAAGTAAAGGTGGTGGGGCCCCGTATGAGTGCTTCTGGGGGGAAGGGGGTTGCGTGTGCTTCTGTGTTTGTGGATCTCGAGACATTGTTTGGTGTTGTTCGGAACATTGGGGGGGAAACAGAAGAACTTTACTGGGCTAACTAGCAGAGATTCTTTGAGGAATGGGAGGGCAGGCTAGCAGCGGGTTTTTCAGGAAAGTAGACCCAAATTTTAAAGGGATGGTGCCAGCTGGCTGCCACTTTCCCAAAAAGTAAATAAGCCGCAGGGGTCAATTGTGGGTGTGGGGCCCAAGTGATTGGATCGATTTGTGGCCCTCCTTCCCTGTGCCGTTTCCTCAGTCTTTTCTGCTGTAATGCCACACCACATACCCCCCAGGGCACATCAAAGAAGCGGGGCTGAGGGTGGTGGGAACACCCACCACCCGGACCCCGCGCGGGTGTCAATTGGAGTGTGGCGGAATGGTTTTAGGTGGCTAAGCGGCGGATAAAACCACAAGTAGCCAATTTCATAGCGTAATCGGATCGTTTGAGTCCTGAAAAGTACGGAACAACATACCAAAAGCTAATTTTCATGGCGTAATCGGATCCGCTACGCAAAAGTTGATACATTGCGCTAGGAAAACTTGAAATTTGGAAAAATGAGGTGATTTTTAAGGGGTAATCGGATAGCTCAACTTGCAGGTGACCAATTACGCTATGAAAATTTGGATTACACGAATGGTTTTGATGGCGTAATCGGATAAAGGGGATTTTGAGGTAACGAACTACCCCGGGGTAACTCGCCAAAAATTTGTCTACAGACGTGATTTAAGTGGTGTAATTGGATTATTTTGTAAACCACATACTATAGCGATGATTTTCTGGGCGTAATCGATTAGCTAGTTACCACATTTTAAATTTTAATGGCGTATTCGGTTATTTTTCCAGATTTTCGAGCTTTTATGACGAAATTTGGGCACTCCTTGGGCCCTAAGCGGCCCATCCGGTTACGCCATGCAAATTCTAGTGACGGTTTTGGTTGCGTAATCAGATCAGCCATTTTTTTGCTGGCCTAATCGGTTATCCCTTCCCATTTCCCAGCTTTCTGCTATGGAATCTGGGCCCTGCAATCCCCGTTTGGCCCTCGTTGGGGAGCCCTTAAGCGGTTTGTCCTCCCCTATCGGCGGCGGTGTCGATAGCCCTGTTGGCCCCAAGGCCTTAGGGCCCAATCAGGGGCCCTCATCGGTCCCCCAATCCTGCCGGTGTGGGCCCCCAAAATATAATCGAATTGCCCTCCTTCGATTCTCCTCTTCCGCCTCCCAACTCCAAACACAATCCGCTTCAGTCTTCTTCGGGGGTCCCGTAACGAGCCCTCTCAATTCTGGAGACCGCCTACCGTATGCCGCTGGTGCTCAATCTGGGCTATTTGGGGCTTCAGGAGGCCCAGATGCACGCCCCCCCCCCCAATTTCCGGAGGAGCACTGGGATTCCGACACTTTACCATGGACATCCGGAAGGGTGCCCTGGAGCGATTTGGATTCGCTACCGTAACCCGGATAGCTACCTTCGAGTTTTAGCTTACTCTTGGCACTTCAGTCTTAGGTTTAGGCCTCGGCTTGGCTTAGGCTGAAGCTTGGCTTAGGATTAAGCCTAGGCTTAGGCTTCCGCTTAGGCCTAATCTTAGGCTTGGAGACCATCCAACCCTGTCACCACCCCTTTAAACCCTCAAGTGCCCTCGATTTCAGCCCTCACAACAATAGGCGCTGATCAAGGAGCCGCAGGGCACATCCACTCGAGACTAAAGGGCCCAACAAGGGCCCTTCTCTGATGTGTGTGGCACTCTGGCCATCCACACCACTACTGCTTACACTTTTGGATACTAAGCCTAAGCGTAATCCAAAGCCCAAGCCTAAACTTAAGTAGTTCTAAGCCTAAGCTAAACCTAAGCCCAAGCATAAGCCTAAGCCAAGTCGATGCCGAAACCTAAGCCTAGCCTAAGCCAAGCCTAAGCCAAGCCTAAGCCAAGCCTAAGCCAAGCCTAAGCCAAGCCTAAGCCAAGCCTAAGCCAAGCCTAAGCCTAGGTCTAAACCGAAGTCCAGACCTAAGCCTAAGCCTAACCCCAAGCCAAACCCTGAGTCCAGAATTTATCATGAAAATCCATCGTAGCCCACTCCTAGCTTCTTCAGAATATCCCCAGGAGACGTCCCCTCCTCTCAATTTCTTTGCCTCGACGACATCTAACTGGATTCGTTTTTCAAGAGCCACTGAGCCGCGTCGAGGACATCATTTTCACAGATTCCGTTGCACTCCATTTCGACGCGCTTGGGCTACGGTAGCCAAAGAATTTTTGTTTCCTCAATGATCTCTGCTAGCTTGCCTTGACCATTACAGATTTGCGAGCATAAATGTATTCCCTAGGGAATTCTTCCAGCCTGCCTGGGCTTAAATTCCTCAAGAATCTTTGCTGGTCTCCTTACCGCACTCAAATTTGTTGAACTCCCGTCAGAAATTCCTAAAGAATCTCTGCTAGCTGGCCCCGAATTTTTAGACCGGTTCTGATCAGTCTGACGTGAAATTCCTCAAAACTCATTGCTTGTTACTCTGAAAACTATTATCATTTCCTCAATGACTGCTAGCCTGCCCGATTTCTCAAAGAATCTCTGCTAGCCTGCTCGGGTCGATGGCTAGCCGTGGGGGACACAATAGCCCCTCCAGGACCCATCCTAGGCCACGCCCCCCTTCAAGGGCCATTGGTTCCGGTGAGGGGGCAAAAAAAAGAAATGCGTAGAAGGAATCCAGGGCAAGCTAGCAGCGATTCTTTGAGGAAAATGAGGGGCGGGAGATATGGTAGAGGCAGGCTAGCAGAGATTCTTTGCAAAAAATTCTTATCTAGGCAAGCTAGCAGATAACATTTGCGTGGGCAGCTCGCCGGAGCATTTCGAAGCGTTGTCTAGGGTCGGCAAGCTAGCAAAGACCATTTAGGATCCTCTTACCCTAGAGCAAGCTAGCAGAAACCATTCGAAAAAGTTACAAGCCTTCTAACCCCCTTTAGTCCCATCTTTAGCCTCCAATTGTTGCCAGCCGGAAGGGGGTCTCCCGCCCTCCTTCTCAAGTGCCAACCCACCCTCTACTGGGGGTGTCAAGGGCCCATATGGCGCTTGGGTGACATTATCTGAGGGTTTGGGAATGTAAGAGGAGCTTAGAATTCGAAAAGCAAAAAGCAAAAAGTTTTGACCTCGGAAAGAATCGAACCCTCGACCCCTGGGATGAAACCTAGCGGCTTAGCCACTTAACTATAAACTCTTAAGGCGAATAGCATATGGAATTCGTTTCTCCATGCCTAAAAACCCTTAAAATCCAAAAAGCAAAAGGTTGACCTTGGAAAGAATCGAACCCTCGACCCCTGGCTCGATACCTAGCGACTTAGCCACTTAGCCATGCAATTTCTAGATGAATGAAACCCAGAAATTGATTCTCCATACCTAAAAACCCATAAGCTCCAAAAGGCAAAAAAGTTTGACTTCGGAAGGAATCGTACCCTCGACCCTTATTTCAAAACCTAGCGACTTAACCACTTAACCATCTATTCTTCCTCTGTTAAACTTGACATGAAAGTGTTTGTATCCTGCATTTTCCAGAAATGAGGGAAGACGACGACGACGCTTCGTCCTGCGCCTCGAATGAAGTCGTGGTGGATGAGGAGGATGAGGAGGACGAGATGGAGCACGAGGTTTGGAGCTTTCTCTCTCCCTAACAATCTCTTGTTTCAGGACGGAATTCCGGAGCGGAACGGACTCAAGAAGAGCCCATTTTCGGTTGAGCAGCTACTAGCCAGCCCGCTGGTCCGGCTAGGTGAGATTTCCGGCCGTCACACTCCCTTTAAAATCGAGCTCAACCTCAGGGCAACTAGCAGAGATTCTTTGAGGAATTCGAGGGGCAAGCTAGCAGAGATTCTTTGAGGAACGGAAAAACCCCTAAACAACCCCATACGGTCTCCAGAAGCGGCTTCAGCCCCCCCATCCCCCCGGTTGATGAGCGTGTGTGAAGGGCCCACCTAGGGCCCACAACGAGGCCCCTCAAGGAGGCACTTCTGAATTCTGAAAAGAGGGATGAGGGGCGACGATTCTCCCACCAAACCACTCACCTCACAACGCATCCGGGACGGGCCAGCAAGCCCTTCCTGACATCAATACAGTAATTTTCCGGAATTCCTCAAAAATCCATACTAGTTGCCCTCCGTTTTCTCAAAGAATCTCTGCCAGCCTGCCCCTCCAATTTCTCAAAGAATCTCTGCTAGCCTGCCCCTCCAATTCCTCAAAGAATCTCTGCTAGCCTGTCCCTGCATTTCCTCAAAGAATCTCTGTCAGACTGCCCCTCCAATTCCTCAAGAATCCATGCTAGTTACCCACGATTTCAGCTCGTGCTCACCGGCAGCTCCTCCAGATGACGACGTCTCCAGAGCAGGCGATCGGCTTTGCTGGTACGGTAGCTTACAGTAACCTTTGATCCAAATTTTCAGTCTCTGGCTATCGAGCTTCATCCTCAGCCAATGGCCCCAGCGGCTCGGCCGCTTATTTTCCGGGATTTCCTGCGTCATATGGCGCCGATTTTACGGCGTATATGGCTGCGCAGACGGCGCACAGTACGGCGTGGTACGGTGGAGGTAAGCTGGAAAGCAAAAAAAAAGCCAAGTCTAAGCCTAAGCCTACGCACAAGCTCAACGGAATTTAATCGCGTAATCGAATTTCCATTTTTCCGAAAGTTTCCAAAGTACAGTCAAATTACAGTAGGACTGCAATGCGGAATTGACCCATCTCGAGCAGCAGCCCACGGTATCCACCTACCCATCGGGCAACGCCGGAAGCGACGGGTCCTTTTTTCACAAGCACAGGCGAGGCTTTTTTGAATGTCACTGTCCCTTTAAAATGAAAATTGATAGATTCCGTGGATTCATTTAGGTGTCACTCTCCCTTTAAAAGCTAACTTCTAGTTTTTTTGCATTTTTTCGGGGTGTTCCTGCCCCTTTAAACTCGCCCATTTAGGTCTACGAGCTCGAGCGCCAATTTAAACAAAAGAAATACCTCACAGCGCCTGAACGAGAACAGCTAGCCCACACCATCCATCTCACCCCCACCCAGGCAGGCTAGCCGGGATTCTTTGAGGATTTTTTGATTTTTTTCAGGTAAAGATTTGGTTCCAGAACCATCGATACAAGTGCAAGCGGCAGGAGAAGGAGAAGGTAAGCCCAAGCCTAAGCCTAAGCCAAGCCTGGCCTAAGCCTAAGCCTAAGCCTAAGCCTAAGCCTAAGCCCAAGCCCAAGCTCAAGCCGATGCTTAAGTGCAAGCCTAAGCCTAAGCCTAAGCCTAAGCCTAAGCGGAGGTCTAAGCCAAGCCAAGCCCAGCCTAAGCCTAAGCTAAGCTCACCGTGCTTTCAGGCGATGACCGAGGGCCGTCCACCCCGTGAAGACACCGCAACACCGCAGAGTCCACCACCGCCAGGGCATGAGTGAGATTTCGGCTTCAGCAGGCCTTTAAAATAGATCTTGCCGATTCACACGCTATGGATTTGCCTTCAATGGGCCTTTAATGTTGATCCTATAGATACCAGGGACTTTCTAGTACCTTTAGAGACTTTTCTCCAATTTTCTGGCTTCACAAAGCCTTTAAATCTTGTGGATTTAAATATTTAATGACCTTATGGATTGGCCTTGCCGGTCCCTTTAAAATCAATTTTTGTAGCAAATCACCAATGCCCTCCTCGAATAAGGTGAAAGAAGACGTGCTGCCCGAACTCAAGGCCCCGCCGCTGTATTCGGTAAGATTTACGCAATTTCCGAAACTGTACGCCCCGTACTGATGCGTACTGACGTGTACTGACGCGTACTGTTGCGTACTGATGCGTAGTAATGCGTATGACGCGTACTGAGGTGTACCGTTTCGTACTGGCGCGTCCTGATCCGTGCTGATGTGCGCTGCTGCGTACTGTTGCGTACTAATGCGTACAGTATCGGAAAATTAGCGAAAATACTGCAATTACCTTATTTTCAGTGTTAACAAGTTCTCAAGTAAGTAAGCCTCATCGTCAAATTGTCGTAAATCACTCAAAAATGCAAAAATGCGTTTTTCATGGCGTAATCGATTTTTTGGTTTGCATCCGTGCTAAATTCGTAATTTTCAGAATACCGTACCCCCAGCCGTGTACGGCCAGCCGTTCGCCTTCACGTTCCCGTCGTATCCGGGGCCGTACTACGGCCATGTGCGTCCGGGATGGTGATTTAACAATTTTTTTAAGTTGTTGCAATTTTTTAAACACTGTATTTTCTATTTTTAAATTTCTGGATTTCCACGCTTCTCTTTGGCTGTGATACCCATCGATTCGAAATGCTTTGACGATTCCACGAATAAATCTGAATTATTTACACCTAAATCACCAGGGAAAATTCGAAACTGGAGCCTCTAATATCGATGATTTCGTATTTTACTAACGTAATCGGTTCCTAGATGGCCTCGGCTAGGTTGCCAGCTCTTTTGGACAGCCAGGGGACGCAATTCCGACTTTTCGGCTTACCCTTGCGACTGAAACGAACGCTTTGGCAGACTTAGAGCTACACACAGCTCCTCTGGACGATTTTCGGCTCAAAAACGATGCCTAGGGTTTCTTTCAAGGGTTACGGACAGGCAGGCTAGCAGAGATTTCTAGGGAAATGCGGCTCCACGCCGTCAAAAAGTTTGAGAAGTTTATCTAGGTAGCTGGCAGCGAACATTGTGAAATTTTGAAATCAATCCAATTACGATATGTTATTCAGATCAAACATTTGGCTTCCGTGTCCCTTTAAAACCCAAAAATAACGAGCCGACTAGCTGAGATGATTTTGGAATTCTACAGCCTACTGTATTACGCTGTGTTAATCAGCTGGCCTTTAACCCTGAAAAATGAGGGCAAGCTGGCAGAGGTTTTTTGCGGAATTCCGAGAGGAACCCCCAAAAACCAAGCGTTCAGTTGCGTAGCCCTGGGCAGAAACTCGCTTGCTCCTGCTCCCCAATTCGGGCGGGGCTCCCCCCATGAAAACCAATTAAAGCTAATGAGAATTCGTGCCCCCAGGCTACGAAGGGCTCAAAATGGGCAGCCAAACGGGCCGGCTATAGGATCGTCGCGGAATGGGCGCGTTAAATGGCTGCTAAAGCTTCTGCAAAACGAATGTGGCTACCGCTTACGATAGGTTTTCATGGGGCAGGACCATTTGACCATTTTTTTACTAATTTTACCCTGCTCGTGCTCGTTCCGCAAATCGTCTCTGCCAGGTTTTTTCGGCAAGCCAACGTACTAGCAGAAACCATTTCGGACGCTAAACCAAACGGGGCAAGCTAGCAAAGAATATTTAGGAGGAAAAACTACTCAGGCAAGCTAGCCGAGACCCTTGAGGATGCAAAACAACTTGTGGCAAGCTAGCAGAGGTCATTTGAGATGAAAAGCCGCTTAGGGCAGGGTAGCAGAGACCCCTTGGGAACCATCTAACCTTCCGTTACTGGTTGTTGGTGTGCGACGAGTGACCTGAGGGCCTTTTCAAGGGGGTGTCACCCACATTCATCATACTCTCCCCCCACCAACACATCCATTGTATAGCCGCAGGGCACATTACCGGTCCGCCTCCCTCGCGGGAGAGCCAAATACACACTCATCCTCCCCCTCTCCCCCCACCCTCGCACCTTTTGAAGGGCCACCCTTTCACACATCACCTAGCAGAGGCGCTTTGCGGAATTGGTGCGCAGTTTCTGGCCCTACTTTTCGCTGCTCTGCTTCTGCTAGGTTGCCCTAGCCTTGTAATTTCTTGAATCGCCCCTGCCAGCCTGCCGGACCTGAATATTTTCCTAAGAATCTCTGCTAGCTGCCTGTCATCAGGAATCTCCGCTAGAATTTCTGGGCCTGCAATTTTCCCAAAAAATCTCTGCTAGCTTGCCAGATCCAGCCTTCTCAAATTTCCTCAAACATCTCTGCTAGCCCGCCCTCGGCACCCTGAAATTTGTAGCCTCGCGGAACTAGCTGAATTCGGGTCACCCGCTCCCCAATTTCACAAGCACCAAGCATCCATTTATTCCGCTGTTTCTCTCTCTCGCTCTCTCTCTCTCTCTCTCTCGCCTTTTTATGCCCTTCGGCTATCCAGTCCTGTCCTCTTAACCCCTCCAGGGGGCTCATCCAATTCCCCCACCCGTCCCCATTTTTGATAGCCCCAGGCCATTTCACCCTCTCGAATTGAGCGCAAAATTCCTCAAAGAATCCCCGCTAGCCTCTCCTCACCAAATTCCTCAAAAATCCCTGCTAGCTTGCCACCTTGGACCTAAAATTCAGGATTATTCCGTGCCGCGCCGTTCCAAGCTCTGTGTCACTCTTCTCGATTTCCCAATTTGATGGCCCCAGGCCCATCGCTCTTCCCTCTCTCCCTTCCAGGTCCCTTTAAATGGCCCCCGGCGGCCCTCATTTAGTCCCGCCATCAATTATTCACTAATCTCGGAGGGCCATCGGAAGGGGAGGACCCCCTCGGATGGGCACTCGAGGCTATGGAAAACATTGGAAGCGAGTGGGCTACCGAATTTCAAAAAATCTCTGCTAACCTGCTCTCCATTCCCTCAAAGAATCTCTGCTAGCTGGCCCCTCCATTTCCTCAAAGAATCTCTGCTAGGTGGCCCCTCCTTTTGAGAGCCAGCAGATATTCTTAAGGAATTCTCCAGGCAGCCTAGCAGCGTTCCTTGAGGAAAACATCGCCCTCCTGGGCCCATTTTTTGCCTGGGGGCCCTCTGCCCCCAGGGCTAAATGGATTCGGGTAGGGCCCTCCTGCTCGAGTCGAAGTTTTTCCGCCCCCTGACTGGCCAACTGAGGATGGGCCCCAGTGGGCTTAGGGCCCACGGGGGCCAAGGGCCCTCCAGGGCCCTCTCCACATGGCCCTCGAGGGCCCCCGGGCCCTCGGCCGGCCAATTTTTGGCTTATTTGTCGTGGCGATTCGATTGTTCTGGGGTCACGGGGAGAGGCTCGGGGTGCTAGCAGAGAGAATTTGAGGCAATGCCAGACCGAATTTCCTCAAGAATCTCTGCTAGCCTTCCAGGGACCATAAATCGAGGTTTATTTCCGGGCCGGTCCTCGATCTTCCCGCCTTTTTTAGGGCTTTTTTGATCCCCGGGATCGCCGGGTGTGGGGGTTCTCGGCAGGCCAGCTGTCTGTTTCTCTCTCGCTCTCTCTCTCTCACTCTCTCTCTCTCTCTCTCTCTCTCTCTTTCTTCCATTAGAGATGGATAGATGTTGCCCCCCAAATCGACAACTGTCCCTCTAACCCCAACAACTCACCCTCCCACTCCCACGCTTATAACCTTCTAAAGCGGCAGTAAACTTCCGGTGCGGGGGGCAGGCTAGCAGAGATTCTTGAGGAATTTCTTTAATTTTGTCTTCTATCTTTTTTAAGCGATTTTTGTCGCCTATATTCCTACTTTCAGAAGCCGGCAAAACGATGAGGCTGCTCGTGATTTTGGTAGTTGCCTGGTATGCCGTTGAGGCTTCGGTACGTTTTTTGTGACTTGCCAATGCCTTTAAAACCGACCAAAATTCTAAAACTACGATTTTTCTTGCTTTTAAAGGGATGGTGTCACTTGAAAAATCGCGTTGTCGGTGTTTCTGGACTCTCTGGTGCCTTTTAAAGGGATTGGAAACCTTCGGAAAGCTAGAAAAACATGATTATGATATTTTAAAGGGGCAGCGACACCCAAAACCTCGATTTTCTAGAACCCCGCCTGCGAGCAGTACGTCGAATGTATGGCCGCCGTGCGCACGAAGCAGCAGGGATGCGCAGCACAGGAAGAATTAGCGCTGAGGAACGCGGTAAGCGAGAGAGAGAGAGAGAGAGAGAGAGAGAGAGAGAGAGAGAGCTGGATCTGGATTTTACTGAATCCTTCTGTTTCTAGAAGCTCCCCGAATGCGACGCGGCCAAGGAGGAACACCTGAAGATGACCGAACTGCTCCAAAAGGTCGGGAAAATCGAAAAAATAGCTAAAGAATTTTTTAGAAAGCCGAAACCCAAGATAAATGCGTTTCTGAGAAAGCCGCTGATGCTGTGGAGCTGACGGGGGCTAGAAAAAATAAGTGCGACAAGGTGGGAGCTAGCAGAGCTCATTGGGGAATTTTTCATTGCCTTCAATGGTCCTTTAAACCCAACTCCGGCTTCTAGATCCTCGCCAAAATCGATGCGACCACCCCGGCTGCGCCCTCTGCTACCACGGAGTCGGAGAAGATCAAGCGGGCCATTAATAGAGGGCAAAAGGTGAGTGAGCCTAGGCTTAAGCCAAGATTAAGCCCAAGCCTAAGCCTAAGCACAACCTAAGCCCCCCTTTCCAGAACAAAGTCGCCAAGCTGCAGCACCGTGCCTGCTTGCGGGAGACGCGCCAGCAGCGGACGAAGTGCATCCAGTTGAGCAAGTGCTGCCCGGCTGTGAAGCAGTGAGTTTAAGGGGGCTTAGGGGGTTTCAAGGGCCATTGAAGGCAAAAACGAGCTGCCAAATGGTCTCTGCTAGCTTGCCCAGTCGCTTACGACGTTTTAAAGGGATGGGGACACCTCGCAAAGCTCTAAAAATCAACATAAACTCTTTTTCAGATGCGAAAAAGACGGCGGCTTCAAGGCGGATATCGTCTCCCTCCGGAAGAGCATCAAGGAGAAGAACAAGAGCTGCAGGCAGGCCGCCCACAAGAATGCCCTCGCCCAGAAGAGCCAGCAGCGGAAACAGAAGAAGGGCAAGAAGGAGCAGGACAAGAAGAGCAAGAAGAAGAGCAACACCACCGCCAAGGTAGTTGCGATTCACTTTTTAAAGGGTTATTGAAGGCAAAGGAGCTATGGATTTGACTTCAATGGTCCTTTAAAACGCGCTTTCAGCCGAGAAGCGCTAAATTTTCCGCTTTAAAGGGCCTTTGAAAGCAAAGAAGCTATGGATTTGACTTAAACGGGCCTTTAAAACGCGATTTTAGCTGAAAAACTTTTTATTTTCCACTTTAAAGGACCATTGAAGCCAAAATCGAGCTCAAAACCTTGGTTTTTGCCCCTTAAAGGCCGACTCAAGCCAAATTCCTGTGGATTTTGCCTTCAACAGTCCTTTAAACCAACACAATCTTTTTTTTCAGCCCACCTCCGCCGAGACGACCACCGCCAAGTCGTTGGAAATCTAAGGAATCCCCCTAAAAAATTTTCTGATTTTTGGATCTCGAACATTCCGCATTTGTATGTGATACTGTATTGCCCCCGTAATTCCGCAGATTTAAATAAATTTTTGGGGTTTAGCAGGGCTAGGCATACCAGCAGAGATCTTTGAGGAACCAAAGGAGGTTTTTTAGGGACCATTGAAGGCAAAAAGCCCAATTTTCGGCCGGAATAACATAGCGTAATCGATTGCTGGCTTGCTGGTCCCTTTAAAAGACGCGCCATACGGATCTCGGAAGAGAATAACATTGCGTAAACGATTACGCGCTTAAAAGAGCGAAAAAAATCGAGTTTAAAGGCCCATTGAAGGCAAAACTACAGGCAGAAGAACATTGCGTAATCGATTACGCGCTTAAAAAACGATAAAATTGAGTTTAAAAGGTTCATTGAATGCCAAACCACATGCAGAATAACCCAGCGTAATCGATTACGCAATAAAAACCACCCCCAGGCAGGCTAGCAGAGATTCTTTGTGGAACACAACGAGCAGAGACCATTTATCCGTGATACACCGCCGTAATCAGCGTCTTCCGCTGCTGGCTTCTCGTCCGAATCGGGGTGACGAGGGCCGTCACCCAAGGGGAGATCGATCGATCCAGAGAATTGTCGCGTTGGGGGATGATATCCCCTCGAGGTTCGCTGTCCATACTCATTGTCGTCGATTGGAGGTATCTGGAAATCACGGCGCCTTTAAAAATGCAAAAACGCGTTTTGAAGGGACAAGGACACTCCGTCCTCAGCCTCTGGCACGCCCCTTTTCGAGGTGTCATCGTCCCTTTAGGACCCAAAACCACGTTTAAAGGGACAGTGACACCTAGCCTTTGCCTCCTACCTGTCTCTCCTCATCGAGTGCATATCGCCAAGACGATCACGACCCTCGCTCTCCTCGGAAGCCTAAAAAACCTAAGGGTTTGTGCTAGCTAGCCCTTGCTGACTATCTCTCTCTCTCTCTCTGTCTCTCTCCTTCTCTCTCTCTCTCACCTGTCTCTCTCCCCTCTCTCTCTCACCTGTCTCTCTATCGACATTTCCCCCAACGACCCCTCCTCCTCTGGTATCGTATCGTAACGCAGCTGCTCCTCCGCCGCCGTATCCTCGTTCTTAGGCTCGAAGCGCACTCTACCGTTCTTCACGAGCTCGACGTCTTCGAGGCGTCTGAAACGAACAAATGGCCTCTGCTATCTACCCTCCAATTCCGCAAAGAATCCCTGCTAGCCTGCCCCTCCACTTACCTCCCCATCGTCCGTTCCACCTTCGACCAGCTCAACTCGGGGTTTCCGCTCGGCTTCTCGCGCTGCGTCTGGCGATGCCGGATGGCCCATTTTCGGTGGTCGACCTGGAATTTTGTGTTCCGAAATGGTCTCTGCTAGCTGGCCAGACATCCCAAAAGCTTTCTGCTAGCTTGCCTAGGTCTAAAATGATCTCTGCTAGCTCGCCTGGGTCCTAAAGGGAAGCTGCTGGCTTGCCTGGACCTTTAAAGGTGGGGGACAGCTGGAAATTGACAAAAAATGGTCTCTGCTAGCCCGTCAGTAGTATAGTGTACTACTCCCGTCAGCTTTGAATTTTTGCGATTAGCATCCCGGAAATGGCCAAAATTTGCATCCAAGTCTGAAGCATAAGAAATTTCTGCTAGCCCCGCCTATTTTGATTTTTCATGTCCACCCGGAGGGGTCTACAGAAAGCAGCCGTGGATCAACATCTTCTCGTGGGTTTTTCTCAAGCCTAAGCCTAAGCCTAAGCAGAAGCCTAAGCCTAAACCTAAGCCCAAGCCCAGGCCTAGCCTCCCATTCCAGTCCCTACCGTACTACCATGGGTTCCTGCCGCGCGAGGAGCTACCGTACCTGCTCAAGAAGCGCGGCGACTTTCTGGTCCGGATGAGCGAGGTATACTACGAAAACACGCCCCCTTTTAGTTGTCACTGCGCCTTAAAAAGAGTCTAGCCGGCTTTAACGGGACCGGGAAGCCATTTTCTAAGCCCCGCCCACTTTTTCTGGACCTCCGCGTCCCTGTAAAATCGCAAAATCTATTTTAAAGGGATGGTGACAGGTCCTTTCCAGGTGGAGAACAAGAAGACCGGCAAGGAGGACGAGCGGAACGTCATCGTCAGCGTGTGCACCGGGGAGGAGAAGAAGAACAAGGCCACCGGACAGTTCTTTGATGCCAGCAATATGGTGGGGAAAGAGAGAGAGAGAGAGAGAGAGAGAGAGAGAGAGAGATAGGGAGAGAGAGATAGGGAGAGAGAGATAGAGAGAGAGAGTGAGAACGCGAGAGAGAGAGAGAGAGAGCGAGAGAGAGAGCGAGAAAACGCTGTACTCCTAGGTGACGCGCAACCTGGTGATGTACCAGGGCGAGCGGGGCCAATGGTGGCTGTACTCGGAACAGAAGATGAACTCGCTGAAGGACTGCATCGATCACTACCGCACCAACAGTTTGCAAGCGCAAAAGGTATACGGCAGCGGAGGAATTCCATGGCTTAATCGGTTGTAATTACATGGCGCAATCGGCGGAACAGTTGGAATTACATGGCGTAATCCGTTATTTGTCGTGATCCAGTTTTTTTCTTGGATTTTCATGGCGTAATCGATTCCGGTTGCAGGGCGACCAGGACAAGGACCTGAAGCTGTCCGGCCCGGTACCCAGGGCCACCTGGGAGCTGCACTACGACAACATCAAGCTCGAGAAGCAGCTGGGCCACGGCGAATTTGGAGAGGCAAGCTAGCAGAGGCAATTTGGGATGGAAAACTAGCCTTCTGTGTTCCTTTAAATTTGATCTCGTGGTGTCATGATCCCCTTAAGGCGTTTTAAAGGATCATTGAAGGCAGGGCAGGCTAGCAGAGACCATTTGGGTCGAATATCTGACCCCGGGCAAGCTAGCAAACACCATTTGCCTCCTTCCAGGTGCGCGCGGGCAAGCTGAAATTCCGCGGCAAGGAGGTCGAAGTGGCGATCAAGATGACGAAGGGCGTGTCGGACTTGTCGAAGGCGAAGCGCGTGCAGATGATGAACGAGGCGCGGCTGATGCGATATTTGGGGTACGGAGCGGAGATTCTTGCGGAATTTCTTGACTTTTTTAGCCATCCAAACGTCATCCGCATGTACGGCATCGGCGTCCTCCGGCAGCCCCTCCTCATCGTCCTCGAGCTGGCCTCCTCCGGCGGGTTGGACAGCTACATGCGAAAGAACGATGGCCGCACCCCTGTCGAGCTGAAGGCCCAATTCGCCCTCGACGCCGCCGCCGGCATCGAATTTCTCCACCTGAAGCACATTTTGCATCGGTAGGGGAGGGGCAGGCTAGCAGGGATGCTTGAGGAAAGCATGGGGATGCTGGCAGAGGCCATTTGCGATTTTTAGCGACCTCGCCTCCCGGAATTGCCTCGTCCACAAGGAGCCCGGGCAGCGGCCCGTCGCCAAGATCTCTGATTTTGGGCTGTCCCGCCACGGGGATCTGTACGCCCTGAAAGTGACGTCGAAGGTGAGTGAGGCTTGAGTCTAAGTCTAAGCCTAATTTTCCGCCTTAAGATGCCGATCAAATGGCTCGCCCCGGAAGTGCTGAAGACGCTGACCTTCTCCCACAAGACGGACATTTGGTCGTACGGCATCGTCGTCTACGAGGTCGTTTTCAGGGCGTAATCGGTTATACCTGGGCAAAGGCAGGCTAGCAGCGTTTTTTTGAGGAATTTTACCAGGGCGAGCTAGCAGAGACTATTTGCCCTCTCTCCAGATCTTCTCCGACGGCAAGGAACCGTGGCCGGGGATGAAGAACGGCGAGGTGCGCAAACAGCTGCTCGACGGCAAGACGTTCGACTTTGACTGCGCGCCGCCGAATTTGCGCCTGTTCATCCGCGAGCACCTGTGGCACCAGAATCCGGACAAGCGCCCGTCGATGGCCGAGGTAATGGGTGACGGCGCGAAATTCTAGCTTCTGCGGTCCTTGAAAGCGATTACGCCCTCAAAAGTAGCCTTCAACGTTCCTTTAAAACGATTACGATATGTAATTCTGCCCTCCGAAAGCGGTTAAATCGATTAGACCATCAAATTCTAGGTGACCGGCTGGATGGAGAAGTTTGCGCAGACGAAGAAGTTCGAGCCGCGCGCCGAGGATGCCCTCCACCAGGGCGAGGAGATCGAGCCCGGGAGCAAGAGCGCCTACGCCCCGCCCCCCGAGCCGGAGGGTATGTGGCGGAGAGAGAGCGTTTGGGAATTGGGGCGGCTAGCAGGGATTCCTAGGGAAAACTGCGGTTTAAGGGAACGTGACACTAGCACGCAAGCTAGCAGAGATCATTTGAGAGCCTGGAAGCCCCAGGGTAGCTACTAGGCAGGCTAGCAGAGACGCTTTGCGAAACCCCAGATTTCCTCGAAAAATTCCCTTTAAAGTTGTCGAGCTGTTCACCCGGCTGCGCTCCTCTGGGAAGACGTTTTTGTGCAATGCTTAAGCAGGTAGGCTAGCTGGGGGTTTTTGGGGGGTTTTAGATGGCGTAATCGGTTAGGAAAGAGGGGGTTGTTCGTGATGTCACACTCCCTTGAAAACAGAAACCCAAGCCTAAGCCAAGCCTAACCCAAGTCTAAGCCAAAGCTAAGCTAAGCCCAAGCCTAAGTCGAAGGCCAAGCCTATACCTAAGCCTAAGCCTAAGCCTAGCCCAAGCCTTAGCCTAAGCCTAGCCTAAGTCTGCGGCAGGCTAGCAGAGATTCTTTGCGGAAAGAGGAGCAAGGGCAAGTTAGCAACCCCCATTTTCAGCTCGTACTCCCCGCACAGCCACCTCGAAGGGCCCTCCAAGTGGCCGTACCTCATCGGCGTGCTCATCCGCTTCCATCTCGAACACGTCGGCCTACGTCCAAATGCCCCACGTTCATCACCATAAGAAATGACCTGGCCCCGTCACTCCTCTTTTCCCATTTAAAATCGAATATATCCGTTTTCGCGCGTGCTAATTCAAATGCTGTATCTCACTCCCTCTCGCTCCCCTCGATGCTCACTCTCCAATTCTTGTGCTCACTCTCTCACTCTCACTCGACGCCTAGTTTTGTGATACTTCGTGTTGTTGATTGCCGATCTGTTAATAACGAATAAATGAACGGCATGCTGGCGGAGATTTTTGGAGAAGCTGGGGGTAACGAGCAGGGATTTTTGAGGAATTTGGGTAGCTAGCGGAAAAACTTGAGGAAAATCGATTGGGCATGCTAGCAGAGATTCTTGAGGAAATTGGGGAACGAGCAGAGGCTCTTGAGGCATCTATGGCTTGCGGCCCCAAGGCCAGCTAGCAAACACCATTTCCCGCTACCGTAACCCACCGGGGGCGTCTCCCAGTCCCGGGCCAGCTGATCAAAATGGATCCTGATCTCGTCGCCCGTGTTGAACATCATCCGATGCCCGTCGACGGAGAGGATCTGAAGAATTTTGATTCCGAAGTGGTCTCTGCTAGCTTGCCCAAGCCGTTTTTGCCTTCAATGGGCCTTTAAAGTGCGTTTTCGAGGTGTCACTGTCCCTTTAGAATTTTTAAAGGCCCACTGAAGCCGAGCAAGCTAGCAGAGACTCTTTGGGAAGCTCCCACCTCTCTTTTTGGCTGTTTCCCATCCGGGAGTGGCAGCCTGAAGCCGAGCTCGTCTATTAGTGTCTCGCGGAGCGAGTCGTGAAGCAGACAAGTCAACACCATAAAGAGGAAGCACTGAAATGTTGTGGATTTGCCTTCACTGGTCCTTTAAAGGCGATTTCTAGGTGTCACCGTCCTTTTAAAAGGGTAGGCTAGCTGGCAAAGAGAATTTAGGATCCAGGAAAGCTAGCAGAGACCATTTAGGACCCTGGCAAGCCAGCAGAGACCGTTTAGGGACTTGGCAAGCTAGCAGAGATTATTTAGGACATAGAGCGAGCTAGCAGAGACTCCTTAAGAATTCCGCACCTGCCCGACACTGTAGTAATAGTATAATTCGACGAAAAGTGGGCGAAGCCTCGGCTCGGTCTGCTGGAAGACGGCAATGTAAAGGCAGAGGGAGAACAGGTTCGTCACGCATTTGTAAGGTGATAGATACATTAATAGACGAGCCGCCTGCAGATTTCTGGCCGCCCGGAATCTGAAAAGTGATGGATTTTGACTTCGATGGGCCTTTAAAAGTGATTTTCTCGGTGTTACCGTCCCTTTAAAGCTTGGCAAGACCTTAGCCTAAGCATGACTGCCACTTCAATGGCCCTTGAAAACAAATTTTTCAGCTTTCCTATCTGTCCCAGCCCCTTTAAATCGATTTAAAGGGCCGTTGAAGTCTAAAAACGCTTCGCCTCATCTGATTACGCAATCTAAAGCCTCCTACTCACCTCTGGGCAAGCGTGACGCGTCGCGCCTGCGTCACGGTCTTGTGGGCGCGGCGGCAGATCGACGGCAGCACGGCGAACAGCTGGAATTTGCTTTTAAAGGCATTGTGAAGGCAAAAAACCTGAAAATCTCAGTATTCCAGGAAGTTCGGCTTAAAGGGGTTGTGAAGGCAAACTAGGCTGAAAAACTCACAATACACGCCAAAAACATGATAATGTAGGAGATGAGGAAGACGAGGGTCGCGTCGATCACTTCCAGATACCATAAAACGACCAGGGTGATCGCGTAGGCCACCTGAACGGGAGTTTTCATGGCGTGATCGGATAGAGGGTAAAAAACTACATCGAATGATGTGTTGAACAGATTTTTAGAAAGCGAGAGAGTGGAGAGACAGCGAGAGAAAGACGCGACTCACCAGACCCAGATACAAACACAGCGAAAACGCAGCCGATCGGCTGTCTTCATAGGTGACGGCCGTCCACATTGACCACGAGCGCTCGATGGCCATGATGAACATGGCTTGGGTGGAGACGACGATCGCTGCAAAACAGATCAAAAACCTCTGTTAGATGGCCACAGAAAAATGCTTTAAAATGAGCTAGAAATCATCGACCTCCGAGATTTCTGGACCGAGATATGGCCGTTTCAAATTTTTAGCCCCATAGCCTATCGATATGGCCGATTTCCATGGACGACCTCTAAGCCTAAGCCTAAGCCTAAGCCTAAGCCTAAGCCTAAGCCTAAGCCTAAGCCTAAGCCTAAGCCTAAGCCTAAGCCTAAGCCTATGCCTAAGCCTAAGCCTAAGCCTAAGCCTAAGCCTAAGCCTAAGCCTGAGCCTAAGCCTAAGCCTGAGCCCGCCTAAGCCCAAGCCTGCCCAAGCCTGCCTATGCCTAAGCCCAAGCCCTAAGCCTGCCAAGCCTAAGCCTAAGCCTAAGCCTAAGCCTAGGCCTAAGCCTAAGCCTAGCCTAAGCCTGCCTGCCTAAGCCTAAGCCTAAGCCTAAGCCTAAGCCCAAGCCTAAGCCTAAGCCTAAGCCTAGCCTAAGCCTAAGCCTAAGCCTAAGCCTAAGCCTAAGCCTAAGCCTAAGCCTAAGCCTAAGCCTAAGCCTAAGCCTAAGTCTAAGCCTAAGCCTAAGCCTAAGCCTAAGCCTAAGCCTAAGCCTAAGCCTAAGCCTAAGCCTAAGCCTAAGCCTAAGCCTAAGCCTAAGCCTAAGCCTAGGCCTAAGCCCGAGCCTATAAACCTAAGCCAACCTACCCGTGTCCGCGATGAGGTCCATGATAAATAGCGCCTTTCCGGCCTCAATCCTGACCCCAGCGATGACGTGCACGATTACCTGAAGGTGTCTCTGTCCCTTTAAAGCTTCTAGGACTTCATACCCGAATCATTAGAGGTAGTATCTGCGTTGATGGCTGGGCGATGAGCAGGAAGCGGAGGTTTGGGTGGCAAAACTGGAATTTTGCGGGTGTCACTGTCCCTTTAGAACGGTTTTAAAGAGCCAACGAAGGCAAATCCACAGCCCCCGAAAACTGACCTGCTTGGCGAAGAGGACTTTGCGGTAGATGTACGCTGAGATGCAGACGGCGAAGATGAGTAGGGATTCGAGGAGCTGGAATTTGTCAAATGACCTTTGCTAGCCTGCCCTCAAATTCCTCAATGAATCGCTGCTAGCCTGCCTGCGGAATTTACCTTCAGGACCGGAAGTAGCTCAGCGTACTCGTCGTGGGGGTCGATCGAAGTCAGGCCGGCTGTGGAGAGCATCTGAAGTCGACAGACTACAGAGAGCGAGAGATCGAGAGAGAGTGACAGAGATAGACCTAGAAAGAGAGAGAGAGAGAGAGAGAGAGAGAGAGAAACAGACAGCGAAACAGACAGACAAAGAGGCAAGTCAGCTAGCAGAGAAATTCAGCGGTCCTAGGCAATCTAGCAGTGATCTTTGAGGACCCATAAATCCGGAAACCGCCCTCAAAATCTGGCCGTAAACTGGGTGGCCTTTCCGGCGACCCTCTCGCCCTCCGGCTGGTTCCGACGCAATTAGGCGGCGACAAAACTCATTTTCCCAGGAATCGGAAAGACAAGGAGGGAAAAGCGGAGAATGCGTCGGTCTGTAGAAGAAATGGAGTCTGTTCACGGGCCATTAATTACATTTCCGGTATTGTAAACGACAAATATAAGGCGATTTTTGGTTTCTGGGTTCCTTTAAAAGAGTATTTTCAAGCTGGGCAGGCTAGCAGAGATCATTTAAAGAAGAAAATCGCGAAAAATTTTGTTTTTGTCTTTTTTTCTCGGAAACTAGCGATAGATTTGCCTTGACAGTCCATTGAAAGTTGTTTTCTGGCCCTGGCAAGCTAGCAGAGACCATTTAGGACGCAAAATCCTAAGCGGAACCCAAGAAAAGGTGAAATTTCAGACTGAATTTGGCTGGCTACAAATCTGGGCTCACACAAACTGCGGGTGTGGCTGGCAGGTGAAAATGGCGGCTTTTTGTCAGGGTTTCCCTCCATTTCACGTTTTTATTGAGCTGATTAATCTTTACAAGTGGCGTGGAAAGAATTCCGCAATGATCTCTGCTAGTTTGCCCTTCTCTAAATCACTGGCTTGCCTTCAATGGTCCTTTAAAATGGGTTTTCTAGGTGTCGCCATCCCTTTAAAATGGTTTAAAGGACCTTAGAAGACTGGGCAAGCTAGCAGGGGCCATTTGGGAAGTTTCTCCCCCTTCAATGGTCCTTTAAAATCGATTTTTGGGGTGTCACCGTCCCTTTAAAATGCTTTATTCGCCCAAAATTCAACGTTAAATTTTTTTTGTTTGTTGTCTTAGTCGTAGACCGTCTCGAGATGGCCGAAATCCAGCGAGCTAAAAATGCCATTTTTCCAGATCCACAAATTTTTCTAAAAGCAATATTTATTCAAATTTCCGATCAGCGCAGCAGCAACCCAGCACTACAAACTACACAAAAAAAACGAAAAAATTTGATTTAGGGGTATGGTAATTTCCGGGGTGAACAAAAATCAGAAAAAACCACAATCGATTACGCCAGGTAATTAGCACTGGGGGACACGGGGCAATCGATTACGCGATGAAATATGGGGGGAGGGACAGGCAAGGCAGGGCAGGGTGAATGATAGGAAATGACATGGAAATTAACGGATTGTGATTACTTGGCGGCCATGGGTTGGCGGACGACTTGTGTTGTCGTGACGACAGTCTCGGAAATCTGGAATTGGTGTGTCACTCTCCCTTTAAAAGGGATTTTCTCTTTTTCACTCTCTCCCTCTCTCGCTCTCGCTCTCTCGCTCTCTCTCGCTCTCTCCCGCTCTCTCTCACCTCCTGCGGTCCGTGCTGGGTGTCGACGACCGGGGAGCGCTGCGGGACCACTGAAAATTCGGGGCTACGGTAGGATTTTCAGGGTGTCACTGTCCCTTTAGAATCGTAAAAAAAATCTTGAAAATGCTAGAAATCAATTTTAGGGGATAGAGATAGAGAGGATAGAGATTGAGAGTCATGCGGGTACGGTATCGATGCTCTTAAGACGAATTTGGGAGGCAAAGGGGCAGGCTAGCAGGGATTCTTTAGGAAAATTGGTAAGGTTTTACTTCACTGGTCCTTTACAGCTAATTGCAAGCCCCGGGCAGGCTAGCAGGGATTTTTAGAGAAGCCCAACTTGGGCAAGCTAGCAGAGGCCATTTGAGAAGGAAAAAGCACGATTCAGGCAGGCTAGCAAAGATTCTTAGAGAATTCGAACCAGGGCAGGCTAGCAGAGACCCTTTGCCTCCCAGAATCCTATTCTAAAGGCACCGCGACACCTACTGGTGTATTCCGGAGCCGCCGGCGGCCACTGGCGATCGATATGGCCGACGGGAAGCGTGTTGTGAAGTGAGTCGACGGCCTCCTTCTCCTTTTCCTCAAACTCGGGCGGGGGCCAGACGACGGGGCCCAAGTGGGAGGTGTGCACTGAAAGAGGGGCAGGCTAGCAGTGATCATTGGGCGACAGTGTGCAGTTTTTCGTTGGCTTTGCCTTCAACGGTCCTTTAAAGTCGATTTTCTACGTGTCACTGTTCCTTTAAACCGTTTAAAGGTCTATTGAAGGCAGGGCTGGCTAGCAGAAACCATTTGGGAAAACCTCTGTTGCCTTGAATGGCCCTTTAAAATGTTTAAAGGGACGGTGGCACCTAGAAAATCGGCTTTAAAGGCCCATTAAAGGCAGGGCAGGCTTGCAGAAATCCTTGAGAAAATTTAGATGCGGTTAGTTTGGTGCGGCGAGCAGGGAAAATTGGGGGGAAAATTGGTTTCGACGCAAGAATGGTTGAGGAAAAGGGACGGGCTAGCAGAGATTCTTAAGGAATTTCTATATCCTTGGGCAGGCTAGCAGAGATCCTTTGAGGAATCGAAACTCACCATCCTGGGTCTGGACCTCGTGCTCGGGCGGCGGCCAGGCGCGGTTGATCCGGGAGGTGCGGGAGGGGAAGCGGGGGACCTCGTGTTGTTCCTGCAAAAGGAGAAGTAGGCTAGCAGAGATCATTAAGGAACACATAAGCTTAGCTTTGCCTTCGATGGTCCTTTAAAATCGATTTCCTAGGTGTGGATTTGCCTTCAATCGCCCTTTAAACCGATTTCCTAGGTGTCACCGCCCCTTTAAAATGGCTTAAAGGACCATTGAAGTCAAATTAGCTTTCCTATGGATCCGATTACGCTAGTAACATTGCTAAAAATTATAGTTTTGCCTTCAATGGTCCTTTAAACTTTATTTTTTGTATTTAAAGGACCATTGAAGCCTAGAAAAGCTAGCCGAGATTCCTTAGGAAATCTCCAAAGCCCTACCTGCTGGATCCATCCCAAATCGTCTCCAACGCGGACGCGCGTCACGGCTCCACTAAAAATTCAGTTTTTTGGATTTTTTTCAGGCAGGCTAGCAGAGATTTTTTGCGTAATTTCAGGAAACTGACTTGTCCTTGACGATCTCTTCTTGGGGTGGGGGCCAGACGGCGCTCACACGCCCCGGGTTGTAGTTGGTGCGCAGCACCTCCATTTCTTCCTAAAATCGGGTTTTTGGAGTTTAAAGGGCCATTGAAGGCAAGAATTTGAGTCCTCAAAGGATCTTCGCTAGCCTGCCCTCAGTTTTGACGTTTTGAAGGGCCATTGAAGGCATAAAATTGGCTCTAAGGGGTCCCCGGGAGGCTTCCAGAGTCAAGGCAGGCTAGCAGGGATTCTTTGAGGAATTCGGGAAGGGCCGGCTAGGAGAGATTCTTTGAGGAAACGGCCTTGGGCCAGACAGGGGCCTTGAAAACGCTAATCAAATTAGCATTTTGTGGCTAGCGAAAGGTCAAGACGGGGCTTCAAATCCTCGTGGGACCCGTTCCGGGGGCCAGAACTTTCGGCGAGAGAGAGAGAGAAAGAGAGAGAAAGAGAGAAAGAGAGAGAGAGAGAGAGAGAGAGGGAGTAGGGGAGAGCATGAGTTCCTGGTAGGGCAGGCTAGCAGAGATCATTTGTAAAAATAGGTTTTAAAGGTAAGAGGCCAACGAGCAGAGATCTTTGAGGAAATGGACACCCTGAGCCGGGCTGAAGCGTCAATTTATGCAGGCACGCCGGCTACGAAATTCTAAATTCAGCCTGCCGGCCCACGCCAAGGACCCGCGTCATAAAAAATGGCGGAAAAACAAGCCCGGAAATCGTTTGTAGCCTAAGGTTGAGCCTAAGCCTAGGGCCAAGCCTAAGCCAAAGCCTATGCCTAAGCCTAAGCCTAAAGCTAAGCCTAAGCCAAGCTTAAGCCTAAGCCTAAGCCAAACCCACCTGGTTTACCGGCTTCCACTCCTGGGCCTTGACGCGCGGCGCCTGGATGCGCTCGACCTAGAAACTTTTTTGTAATTTGAGTCTGTAGTTTGTAGTCTATGATCTCTCTAGTCTGTAGCCTATAGTTTGTAGCCAAAAATACCTGCTTCTCCTCGGGGAATTCGTTCCAGGCGACCTTCTGGAAGCCGGCCGGCTGGGCGACGATCGTTCGCTGGAAAAATGTGGAATTTCGAACCGATTACGCCATGATTTTCGTCTTAAAGGGACCGTGACACCCACCATGACCTCGTGGTCATCGCTGAACTCGGGGATCGTCACCTTTCCGACGGCTGGGACGTCGATCTCGGGCGCGACGCGCTTCTGCGTTTGCCAGCAGGTGTCGTCCTGAAAAGAGCTATGAATTTTGCCTTCAATGGTCCTTTAAAACGGCAATTACCGTACCTGGAGCCGGATTCCGGCGGGCCCACGTTCGAGGGTCATCTGGGCGACTTCTTCCCTGAAAAATGGGCAGGCTAGCAGAGATTCTTTGAGGAATTAGAGGGGCAGGCTAGCAGAGATTTTTGGAGGAATTAGAGGCAGGCTACCAGAGATTCTTTGCGGAAATGGAAGGGCAGGCTAGCAAATTTTCTTTGCGGAAGTTTTGGGAAATCCGATAACGCGCCGAGTGGGAAATTGGCGGTCAATCTCCCCCCACCCGCCTGCGGCTGGAGCAACAAAGTGTAAGATTTCTCGGTTCCCTCCCTCTTTCCGCAAAGTGTCTCTGCTCGCCTGCCCCCTCCCGCTCCCTCTCCAGCACCTGGTTCTCATTTTCTTCCTCCCTAACCTCGCTATAAACACCAGGTAACTGGGTGGGTCTGGAAAATAGAGGACTAGTGCTACGGGGAACCCCGCTGATTACGGTGAGAGAATTTGGGCACTTTTCCAGGTTTTGGCTGGTTGGATTAGGCTAATCGGAGCACGAGCGGAAGTCTAGGCCTGATCCTAAGCAGAAGCCTAAGCCTTAGCCTTAGACTAAGCGAAGCCTAAGCCTAAACCTAAGCCTAAACCTAAGCCTAAACCTAAGCCTAAACGACAACTTCAAAACGTCATAACTTTCCCTGGGAATTAGCTATCGTAATGAAACAGCCACCATTCGAAAGCTCTTTAAGAATTCTGTAAGGCCCAGTGCCTCAAAGAATCTCTGCTAGTCTGCCCCTTCCAAAATACAGTACCTCTGCGCCGAATCCTGCTCCCATTTCTGCGCCCCGTTCAGCAGCCCTTGGCGTTGCACTCGCTGGGTTTCCGGTTGCTGCTCGACCCTGAAAAAAATAATTTTTCCACCACAAAAAAAATCCCCCTTTTTTTTCCCCCCCCAATTAATCCCCCCCCCCCCCCCCCCCCCCCCCCCCCCCCCCCCCATATTTTTTCTCCCTCCTGCCCCACCCAAAACAAAAAAAGAAAAAAAACACAAACCCCCCCCCCCCCCCCCTTAAAAACCAAAAATGCAGCCATAAACACGTTTAAGGGTGTAGGGATTTTGACTTCCTAATTCCCTTAGAATTGTAAATTCGATGACACCAGGTAATTCCGGGCTCACAAATCGATTTTGCTAGCTTGGCCGACCCCAATTTTGCCTTCCCAGTCCCTTTAAACACCCAGAAATCGAGCCAAATGCCTGATCGATTGGCTGTCAAATATCCGCGGAGGCACGCTTCTCGCTTTTTTACCAATTTTTTGGTGGTGACTGCTGTTGTTTTGGGAGGTGGCCCATGTGTCCGTGCCCTCGGGCTACAAAATTGGGGAAATTTTCGCGAAAGAAAAGTGACTAATTTTCCGGGGGGAAAACCGCGAGAAATCGGCCAGAAACTGCGGTTTTTTATGGAGAAAGTGCACACTATGGACTACAAACTAAAGACTACAGGCTACAAACTACAGAAATTGCCAGAATCCAAGCTAGAAACTACAAAAATTCTTCCAAATTATAATCAAAATGCGAAATTCGTCTTGAGAGACTACAAACTACAAATTCTAAGCATATAGCCCGCACTAAAGTATAAACTACAAACTCCAGGCTACAGGGGCTAAAACTACAGACTACAAACTACACAAATTGTTTTTTTTGCTTGAGGTTTGTAGAAAACAGCTTCAAAATGAGAACAAACTACAAATTCTAAGGCTGTAGGCCGCTTTGGCGTACAAACTACAAACTATAGGGAGTTGAAAACTACAGGCTACAAAATAGGAACAACTGAACAAAGCAACAGATTCTTCTCAATACTAACTGAGAATCAAAACTACGAATTCCAACGCCTACAGAGCCCCAAACTACAGTACTAGACGACAAATTACAACGTCTAGGGCCAGACTACAAAACCCGAACTACAAGCACCCACTTTTCCGCGAATCGCTCCTCCACGCCGGCCTGCTTCACCTGCGGCTTCTGTGCGTTGACGCCTAAAAATGAAGCTGAAGGCCGGCTAGCAGAGATTTTTGAAAAACTCCGGAAAAAAATGCAGCTTTTGTATTGTAGTCTAAAGTTTTAACCATTCACCTGCAAGTGCGGCCGTGTGGACGGGATGGAGCGGGGCGTCGGACATTGAGGATTCTTGGGCCTAAAAAGGGAAGATCATGGAAAATTACAGACGACAAAGCCAGGGCTACAAACTACAGATCTAGCTTTGAGAGTACAAGCTACAAACTACACCTTGGCGGTTTGCCGAAGGGCCGTATTGCCGGGCAGTTGGGCGGCCTCCTTCGGGGCGTCGGGCTTGGCGGGGACCGGGGCGGCGAGCTTGCCTACAAACTACAAACTACAAAGGCCGACAGGCTACATGCTACAGAATACAGACTACAAACTCTACTCAATTCTACGGCAAAAGTTCAAACTTTTCGTTTCAAACTGCAAGCGCAAGAGTGAATTTTAAGACTACAAACTCTAAATCCTGCAGCCTAGCTTTTGTAGTCTGTAGTTTGTAGTCTACGTACCTGGCTCCTTGAGCGGCTGCTTGACGGCGTGGCTTGTAGCCTGGGAGCCGAGGTTCAGTTCCTGGGTCTTGACGGCTGGCGCCTTGCCAAGTTGCTGCTGTTGTTGTTGTTGCTGGGGCTGGGCCTGGAATTTTTAGCTTGTAGTTTGTAGCCTGCTAAGTTTTTTGTAGTTTAGCGTAGTTTGTAGTCTGCCATTTCATGTATCAGGTGTTTTATTCAATGTTTTGTAGTCTGTAGTCGGCCACGTTCTGTATTTTGTACCCTAGTTTGTAGTCTGTAGTTTGTAGTCTGTATTCTGTAGTACCGTACCTGCTGCTGGGAAGCCGCCTTCTGCTGCTGTGCAGCGGCCTTCTGCTGCTGGGCGGCTTGCCTCTGGGCGGCCAGCGCGTCGGCCTGAGCCTAGAATGGGGTTTGTAGTCTGTAGTCTGTAGTCTAGCCTAACTACAAATTCTAATTGTCACTGCCCCTTTAAAATTGAAAAACGAAGCCCTTACCTTGGCCTGGGCGGCGCGGGCTTGCGCGTCGGCTTGGGCCTGAAAAATGGCTTTCAAAGCTGGGCTACAAACTCTAGACTACGGATTGTTCCAGACTACAAACTACAAGCCACAAAAATCGGGTTACAAGTTATAACCTTGGCCTGGGCTTCTTGGGCTTGTTTCTGGGCGGCTTCCTGGCGAGCCTTGGCGTCGGCTTGAGCCTGAAACCGAACCTTAGACTACAGAATACAAACTACAAGCTACAAACTCTAGACTACAAATTCTAGCGCTCACCTTGGCTTGGGCTTCTTGGGCTTGTTTCTGAGCGGCTTCTTGACGGGCTTTGGCTTCAGACTGGGCCTGAAACACATAGCTATGCCTAGAAACTACAGACTACAAAATAGACTAAAAAATACAAACCTTGGCCTGGGCTTCCTGGGCTTGCTTCAGGGCAGCTTCTTGTCGTGCCTTGGCCTCGGCTTGGGCCTACAAATTAAAGATGCGATCCGACCTAAGCCAAGCCTAAGCCTAAGCCTAAGCCGAGCCGAAGCCTAAGCCTAGGCCTAGGCCTAAGCTTAAGCTTAAGCCTAACCTAAGCCTGAGCCTGAGCTTAAGCCCAAGCCCAAGCCTAAGCCCAAGCCCAAGCCTAAACCGAAGCCTAAGCCTAAGCCTACGCCAAAATGCAAACCTTGGCCTGTGCTTCCCGCGCCTGATTGAGAGCGGCTTCTTGTCGGGCTTTCGCTTCAGCTTGAGCCTAAAACAAGTTTTAAAGGGCCATTGAAGGCAAAATCCACCTACCTTCTGCTGTGCTTCTTGCGCCTTTTTCAGCGCCTCTTCCTGTTGTCGTTTCGCGGCCTGGGCACGTTCGTCATCGCCGGCTTGCTGGGCCTCACGCGAGAAAATTTTTGGAAGACATAGAGAGAGCGAGAGCGAGAGAGAGAGAGAGAGAGAGAGAGAGAGAGAGAGAGAGGAGAGTGAGAGAGAGAAAACGGAGAGGGAGAGGAGAGAGAAAGAGAGAGAGAGAGAGAGAGAGGAGAGAGAGAGAGAGAGACAGAGATAGAGATAGCGAGAGAAAGCAAAAAGCTCAATTCACCTGTCGAGAAGCCGCCGCTTGCTGCATAGCCGCAGCCTGGGCGGCTTGGGCGGATTTTTGTGCTTCTAGAAGTCGTTGTCGCTCCTCGAGGGCCCGTTTCTCTTGCTCGGATTTTTCGGCGGATTGAGCCGGGGCGGCCACGGCTTCGGCTGAAAAATTTTATGCTTCAATAACCCTTTAAAACCCGTAAACCTAGTGGGAACCCGAAAATCGATAAAGAAGCTATTTTTATACACTTTAAAGGGACTGCGACAGCAAGAAATTGTTCAGAAAAACTAACACTGATGGGTGACCTGCTTGATCTCCTGCAGCACCTGGGACTTGGCCTCCTGGGTGGTGGCTGCCGGGGCTCCGGACTGGAAATTTTGCGGGTTTAGAGGAATTGGGAAGCGAAAAAAGAGGGGGCAGGCTAGCAGAGATTCTTGAGGAATCGAGGGCTTAAAGGGACTGGCAAGGCAACAAAAGGAGAAACAAGCTAGCAGAGGGTCTTGAGGAAGCAAGCGAGCAGGGATTCTTGAGGAAAATTAGCTATGAAAGATGTTTTAGGAGGGAAAGCTAGCAGAGGTTCTTTGAGCTCCAAAAAACTTCTTACCTGCCCGGCAATTCGGAACATGGCGCGTCGAGGTGGTGGGGCTGGCTGAAAATTGGAAAGTTAGTTAAATACCAAACACTGGATTCAATTTAAATTATATAAAATCAATCAATTAAAATCAGGAACCAAATTAAGACGCCAAAATCGACGCGGAACACATCGAAAATCCCCTGGGCCGGGCGAACTTTTTGCTGTCCTTTATTTGCGCGATCCACCTTTTTTCGGTGCTGCGCGCCAAGCGAGAGGGGCATTTGGAGTGCGGCGGAACAGTTTGGGGGATATCCACTTTCCAAGCACTTTAGAATCGAGAAAACACTATTTTTAGTGCTAAGCCGAAGCCTATCCTAAGCCTCAACCTAAGCCAAAGCTTAAGCCCAAACTTAGCCAAATCTTACCTCATCATCGGATTCCTCTTCTTCCTCCGAAGAGGTGCCGTCGGCCTTGGCCCAAACTGAAAACAAATCATGAATCGACGTCCCAGCCCCGTTAAATCCGCAGAGAATCCTTGCTAGCTTGCCCGAAAATCGATTACGCCATGTTTTTCCGTCAGCGGCTTGGCAAACGGTCTTTGCTAGGTAGCCTCCGTCCAAAATTGACTCCCAAAGAACCGATTACGCTACGAAAATCCCGGATTCCTTAAGCAACTCTGCTAGCCGGCCCAGAGTCTTCCTTTCCCAAAATGGTCTCTGCTAGATTGCCTGTTTTAGGCCTCGTTTCGGCAAGGAATCCCTGCCAGCCTGCCCCCTCCGGCCTTCCTCAAAAATCCCTGCTAGCTCGCCCAGTACTCATAGCATCGATTACGCTATGAAAATCTCAGATTCCTAAAGAACCTCTGCTAGCCTCCCCGATTCCTAAATGATCTCTGCTAGATTGCCTTACCCTTAATTGATTATTCTATGAAACTCGATGCGCAGTTTCCGCAAAGAATCCCCGCTAGCCTGCCTCTGATTCCTGAAGAACCTCCGCTAGCTTGCCTCTCGATCCCCAGATCGTTTTATAGGCGGGTGATGTGGGGAGCATTTGTCGAGGGGGGAGGTGGAGATCTTCTTGTTGGGCAAGGGGGTCAGCTGTTAGCGGGGAGGGAGGGAGAAGCCCCCCTCCCAATCGCGACAAGAAATAAGGGATATGGGGGGCTTTTCTCGGCTTTTCCCTCCTCGAGAGGACCGAAAAAACTATCGGGAGGGCCCGGGCGAGAGAGAGAGAGAGAGAGAGAGAGAGAGAGGCCGGACCCCCAAAACGCCGGTAAACAATGCGGGGGCGAGCGAACGTGTATTTTCACTGCGGTGGCAGGCTAGCAAAGACCATTTGCGGAAACGCGCATTCCTAATTTGATAGCGTAATCGATTGCAGGAGGCAGGCTAGCAGAGATCTTTGAGGAATCGAATTTCAAATTTCATAGAGTAATCGATTCCAAGAGGCAAGCTAGCAGAGATTCTTGGGAAATGAGACCCGGCCAGCTGGCTAGCTAACAAAGATCATTTGCCGAAGGCGCGACCCTGGTTTCATGGCATAATTGGTTCCCCGAGCGACGGCAAGCTAGCAGAGATTCTTGAGGAAACCGGAAACAACAAGCCGCGACCATTTGGAACCCGGGCAACCTAGCATTCCTGCGAAGGCGCCTCGAATTTTTTGGCGTAATTGGATCCCGAACCTCAGGCAGGCTAGCAGAGATCCTTTAGGAACCACCAGCGGACAGGTAGGCCAGCAGAGATCATTTTGGAATGAGAAACAGGTCCAAAGCAGGCTAGCAGATTTCTTTTGCGTCAATTTTTGCCTTGCCAATCCCTTGAAACCTTAAAATCCCGGATTTTTCGTTCCTAAATGGTTACCACCAGCATGCCCCGGGTGCGTCGCCTTCCCAAATGGTCTCTGCTAGCTGTCCAATGCCAAATATCGCCCAAAATACGGCCGATAAATTCCCCAAAGAATCCCTGCTAGCAACCCCATCCCCCTCGAGGTGTCCCACTCCCTTTAAGGCCCTTAAAAACCCAATAAACACTCACCGTCGGTCGGCATTTTCAGGCGGGGAGACGAGCGGCAGGGGCACGTTTTTGATCGAAAGCCTGAGGGAAGGAGCAGCAGCAGGGGAGTGTCGTTTTGAGCCCCACCTCAGGCTCTTGATCACTAGAGAGGGGGAGGGGGCAGACTGGCAGAGATTTTTGGGGAAAAACACGAGAGGGGAGATCAACGATCGTGAGCCCGCAGAAAAATTGCTTCCGGTCCGGAAATAGGCAGGCAGCCTAGCAGAGATTATTCGGGAAGTTGGGCAGGATCGGAAACCCTTTGAAGCCTGTTTTAAGGTTAATATCTCCCAAGAGAACCATTCTGACTATGGTTTTCGGAATCTACGCGCAAAACTACGTCGGAATACGCTTCAAAATAATTTTTAGGAAGCGAGAGAGTGGAGAGACAGCGAGAGAAAGGTGTTGCCGCATCAGCTGGCGTTGGAGACACTTGGAGGGCTGTTTTCGGAGGAAAAATCGTAGATGAAGTCAGTCTCACCGGGATTTTCGGAATCTACGCAGAAAACTACATGGAATACGCTTCAAAGAAATTTTCAGAAAGCGAGAGAGTGGAGAGACAGCGAGAGAAAAAATTTTCAGGTGCCGTTTCTGCGTTTTTGGGCGATATTTCACTTTTATTGCATAGCATCGTGTTATTTGCACACAGAAATTGTAGCATAGATATTTTGCATAAATTTTCGCATAGAATACAACGATAAATAAAACATAAAATAATGATATAGTTAAGCGTGGATTTTGGAATGTGTGGAAAAGAGCAAGCAAGTGGGCAAGTGGGGGAGACAAAATATAGAAGAAAAGCACCCTAATTTCGTGTAAACGATTTATTTGTGTTTTTTAAAGTTAGTTAGCCTTTGAAAATCGAAAATATCTATATTTAAAAAATTCGAGGCTACAAACATCGATAAAACCAAAAAAATCGCAATTTTCGTGGAAAAATGGGGATTTTGGGGGTTAAAGGGATCAGATCATGGTTTTTGAAGCGGATTCAGGATGGATTTGTAGTCTATAGTCTGTAGGCTGTAGTTTGGAGCCTAAGCCTAAGCAGACTACAAACTACAACACGCCCAGCTGGCGGAGCTCGGCAATCTGCCGCTCCAGCTGCTCCTCATTCTGCGTCAGACGGCGTCGATGGTCGCCGCGGAGGGTGCCGTAGCTGGAAATGGGAGGGGCAGCCTAGCAGAGATTCTTTGAGGAATTGGAGGGGCAGGCCAGCAGAAATTCTTTAGAAAAAGACGACACTCCATTTAATCGATTACGACATGTTACTTTCCATCAAACTCACGCCATGCTCGTCAAAATACAGATATCTGATGCCCTTTTTCTCGGTAATGCCGAGGTAGTTGCTTTAAAAATTTTGTTAATGGGTTTTTATGCAAATTAGAGCACCCAGAAACTTACCGGATTTTTTGCGGGCTAATAATTGTACACGTAGCGTCTGGAAATTTAATTTTCTAGGTGTCACCACCCCTTTAAAAGCCGCAGAAGGCCCAAAAACTGATTTTTGTCGATTTTTCTAGGTGTCACCATCCCTTTAAAAAACAAAAAATTTAAAAATTTACATGGCATCTTCGGATTTCGCTCTTCCCTCCTTTTCGCGCGTCTTCTTAAGCTGGCCCTTCTTCTCCTGGTAGAGGCGGCTCCAGATGGTGGCGTCTTGCTGAAAACGAGGGTTCTTCAACTCTCAAAAAATCTCTGCTAGTTTGCCCGGACGCCTGGCCCCCTCCTAAATGGTCTCTGCTAGCTTGCCTATCCGAAAATTTCTTAAAAATCCCTGAAATCCGTTTTAAAGGGTCATTGAAGCCAGAATTCTGCACACAAATGATCTCTGCTAGCCTCCCAGTCATCTAGCTGTTCCTAAGTGTTCTCTGCTAGCTTGCCCGGACGCCTGGTGCTTCCTAAAAGGTCTTTGCTAGCTCGCCTGTCCCAAAAAGTCTCTGCTAGCCTGCCCACCCCTCAAACTGACCTCCATTGTGTTGCTCCTGTTTAACGAGCCAGAAGGCACTCGGGGGAGTTTTCGTTCTGAAAAAGCGAGGTTTTATGGATTCTCCAACTTGCCAATCCCTTTAACGGGGCTGGAAATCGGGAGAATCGACCCCTAGCGTTCACTAGGACTCGACGATCACATTTCACCCGAAAATTGACTCTTTGGAACTTTTTTGGGCTGATTTCTGGCTGTCGAGACCCAGTCAAGGTTAGGGGTCGATTTTCGCACTTGCATGTCCCTTAGAACCTCTCAAAGCCATACCGATAATGATGGAATTCTCGCTGTCCCTCCTCGGTATCCGGGAGACGCGCGCTTCCGTGAAATCGGGCGCCTTGGCTTGGGGAGGGGGCTGAAAATGCATGACGTAATCGGTTAAACTGAGCCTGAGCCTAGGCCTAAAAACCTAAGCCTAAGCCTATGCTTAAGTCAAGCTTAAGTCAACCGTAAGCCTAAGCCTAGATGAGGCCTAAGCCAAGCCGAAGCCAAGCTTAAGTCAAGCCTAAGCCTAGGCCCAAATAAGCCTACTGTCCCTTTAAAAGCCGAATTACCTGACGTAATCGATTACGCCATAAAAACCTACGATTCGGCTAGGCCGCCCGGATAGCGGCGGCTTCTTCGCTGACGTTTTCCGCGTCGTCGGGGGCGAGGAGTGACTTCGCGGTTTTTGGAACTGAAAACCCCAATTTTTTGGGCAGGCTAGCAGAGTTCATTGAGGAAATGGCCACTAACCTGATCGCAAAGCCTCGAGATTTTACTCGGCACTGGCGCACAGATCTCGGCCACCGGAGGCGTTGGGCTGACGGACAGCTCGACGGGGGGCTGGGGGACTGCCTGGAAAATTCTGGGTGTTGCTGTCCCTTTAAAAATGAATTAGGGGCAGGCTAGCAGAGATTCTTTGAGGAATTCACCTCCAAATGGTCCGAGATTTGCATCTTTTCGTCGTCGGTGGTCGTGCTGGAGATGAGGGATTCTCCTAGGGATCGTTGGTCTTCTTTTTGCTCCTGAAAAATGGGAAAGTCTCTCTCGCTTGCTCTTTTCTCTCTCCCTCTCTGTCTCTCTCGCCCTTTTTCTCTCTCTCTCTCTCTCGCTCTCTCTCACTCTCTCTCCCTACCTCCTTGCTCATCGACGATACATCAGAAGTCGACGAGTAGTCGCTGGACGACATTTTTGAGTGCTGCTTCGAGGAGACTAAAAGTGAGGGCAGACTAGCAGCGATTCTTTGCGGAAACATACCGTCTTTCTCCTCGTCGATCTGCTGGGGCTCAGGTTCGGGCTCGGGGGTTGGATCCCTGGAAAATGAGTTTAGCAAAGCCTAATCCAATCCGAAGCATAGACCAAGCCTAAACCTAAGCCCAAGCCTGAGCCTAAAACTAAGCCCAAGCCTAAGCCTAAGCCTAAGCCAAGCCTAAGCCAATCCTAAGCCCCAGCCGAAGCCTCAACCTAAGCCTAGGTCAAGCCTAAGCCTAAGCCAAGTCCAAGCCCCACCTCGGCGTCGGGATCGACTCGTAGCTCTTCTCGCGCTGTAGCTCCGGCTTCTCCTCCTTTCTCGGGGAGGGGAGGGCGAATTTCTGGGTGGTCGACTCAGACTCCACTCGAATTGGTGGGGAGCATGAGGTCGGGTTGAACTGGACGCGCTGCCGGAGGGAGTTGCTGCGGAAGAGGGGGTGGTGGAGGAGGGTTGCGGGGGCTGGAAAATTGGGGTTAGGTTCCGCAAGTGGTCTCTGCTAGCTTGCCTAGGACTCAAAAATCCTGAATTTCCTCAAAAATCACTGCTGGTTGCCCTCGGTTTCCCCAAGAATCCCTGCTAGCCTGCCTCGCGCTACCTTGGGTGTCGATTTCCAGCGTCGGCGTCTCGGCCACCTTGCGCTCCAGCTCGAGCTTCACCTAAAAATTGGTTTTAAAGGACCATTGAAGTCAGTTTTCCCGGGCCACGCCCATTTTCGAGCGCCAGTGAAGTCACGAACCTTATACGGAGAAGCATACGACAATATCGTCACCGCGTCGCTGAACACCATCTCGTCGAAGCTGATCCAGAGGCCGCGGATGCGGTCGCCTGCAAAGAGGGGCGTGGCTTAGTGGGAATTCTTCAAGGATCTCTGCTAGCCTGCCCTGCCACTGTCCCTTGAAACCGATTAAGCGATGAAATCGGGTTTCTTTAGCAAGGTATTTCCTCAATAATCCCTGCTAGCCTGCCTTTTCCCCCGAACCGATTACGCCAAAAAATTCGGTTTAAAGGGAGCGTGCCAGGAAATCCCACTTTTCCCCAAGATCCCGGCTAGCCTGCCCTAACACTAACCTGGGAAAACATTCTTCGACGCATCGGCCGGCCCATCCTCGACCACCTCGCGGATGAAGATCCCTTCACCCATGGAGCCTCGAACGGAGAAGCCAAGGCCCTGCAGGGATTTTGAGGACAAGTCGACGGCTGCCACGGCTTCTACCTGGAAAAGAGGGGTTGAAAATGGTGTCTTCTAGCCTCCCCTGCCTTCAATGGTCCTTTAGAAACTTTGAAAAGGTGGGTAACACCTCGAAAATCCGCTTTAAAGGCCCCGAGAAGCCAAAAATCGGTCCCAAATGGTCTCTGCTAGCTCGCCTAAGGTCCTGAATGGTTTTTGCTAGCCTGCCCCGCCCTCAAAAACTTTTTAACTTGATGTAAAGGGACGGTGACATCCCAAAAAAATCGCTTTAAAGGAACATTGTTTTCCCAAAGAATCCCAGCTAGCCGACCTCATTGACATCCTCGCTCGAGAAGCTCTTCTGCTGCGCAAAATCGGACTTTCGCCTCAATTTGTACGAGTCGATGAGGGTGAACTAAAAAATCCAGTAAATTCGGGATTACTGTAGCTCTACGGTATACCTTGTCGGAATGGGGTACATTTTCCGGGTCGCACCCACGCTCCGTTGTTTTTGTCGCGGTCGGGGGTAGGTGGTTCGTTTTGGCGTGGGCGATTTTTGCTGAAAAACGATAAAAATAAGCTTAAGCTTAAACCCAAGTGCTAAGTTTAACTAGCTATAACTACTTATTAGCTACAGTAATGATTTAGGTATGGCTAAAAAGCCAATTAAAAACGTTATCAGAAAACCTATAAAAATTTAAACCTTAATCAAGAAATCCAAACCCCCCTCTTTTTCCCTTCCCTTTTTTAAATTTTTATATTTTTTTTAACCCCCCCTCCCCCCTTTTTTTTTAATTTTTTCCAAAAAAAAAAAAAAAAAAAACACTTTTTTTTAAATAAAAAAATTCGGCCCTTCAAAAAATCCAGAAATTTGGCGAAGCCTATCGATATGGCCGATTTCCATGGTCAACCTCTAGGCCCAAGCCTAAGCCTAAGCCTAAGCCTAAGCCTAAGCCTAAGCCTAAGCCTAAGCCTAAGCCTAAGCCTAAGCCTAAGCCTAAGCCTAAGCCTAAGCCTAAGCCCAAGCCTAAGCCTAAGCCTAAGCCTAAGCCTAAGCCTAAGCCTAAGCCTAAGCCTAAGCCTAAGCCTAAGCCTAAGGGTCAACTTTAAGTAGCTATAACTTTCCCCAGGAATTACCAACCGTAATGCTTTATACACCATTCGAAAGGGCTTGAAAAGGGCTACAAAGCCCATTTTTGAAAATGACAAAACTACGGTAGTCTCAAAAATAGAAAATTCCGGTAAGCCTATCGATATGGTCGATTTCCCGGGGTGACCTCCCCTGGGCGGCAACTTCAAGCCGTTATAACTTTCGCTCAGAATTAGCAACCGTAATGATTTATACACCGTTCGAAAGCCCTTGAAAAACTCTACAAAATGAGTATCGATCTGTAGCCTACAGCCAACGATTGTACTTTGTAGTCTAGACTCAGCTTGAACCCCTCGTAACTTTCGACAGGAACTAGCTATCGTAATGATTTTTTCACGATTCGAAAGCCCTTTTAAGGCTCTACGAAGCCAAGTTTATAACCAAGCTATAACTACAGTAACCCACATTTTGGCTGTCGCCACAGGAAGCAGTACAGCGCGGCTCCGATGCACGCGCAAATGACGAGCGTGCCGAAGACGGAGCCGAACACGACTCCGGCGAGTTCGCCCTGACTAAAACAATGCTTTTAAAGGGAGTGTGACACTCGGAAATCTAACTTTTTAGAGCTCGAAAACCTTTTAAAGGCACCGGCAAATCAGGAAACGCAAAATCCACAAGAAATTCTGACTTCCCGGTTTCTTTAAAAAGGTAAAAATTGCCAATATGAGGGCACGCTAGCAGAGAACCTTGCGGAAATCGAAAAGCTCACCTGAGGCAGGTGTCAGCGGCTGCCAATCCGTATAGAAGCGGAAAAACGAGGGCCCTGGCGAGTCGTGAATTTTGTCGCATTCTGAAAAAATTGGCACAGTAGGTGGCAAGCTAGCAGAGAGAACTTGAGGAAGGGCAGCTAGCACAGGTTTTTGAGGAAATGGAAGGGCTAGCTAGCAGAGATTCTTGAAAAATTGGAGGAGCAGGCTAGGAGAGATTCTTGAGGAATTGGACGGGCAGGCTAGCAGTGATTCTTTGTGGAAATGGGGTCAGCTGGCAGAGATTCTTTGAGGAATTGGCAATCGAGCAGAAACCCTTTGATGACTAATACAAAGCAAAATGTGGGTTGAGGTGTCCGTTGTGTGTTAGTGAGGGATAGATGGGATCTCCAACCTTTTACAAGGCTAGCCGGTGGTTTGTGCCCCCAAGGTCGGAGAGAGAGAGAGGGAAAGAGAGAGAGCGAGAGACAGAGAGAGAGAGAGAGAGGGCACCAGCTGGTAGGGTGCAAACTGGCCATTCCTACTGTTAGACTTGCCAATGGCTAGGGGTGGGGGAAATTAGCCGGAAGATCAGGTGGGAACCGAGGTCGAAATTCCCAAAGAATCTCTGCTAGCCTGCCCCTCCAATTCCACAAAGAATCTCTGCTAGCTGGCGCCCTCAAAAATTGTCTAAATCCAGAAAAATAAGCCAAAAAAAATGGTTCCAAGGTCCCGGAGCGAAAATCCGGGAGGCTAGCGGGAATTCTCAAGGCGGTGGGTGGGGAATTAACCCGCTAAAATCCGACTTAAACCCTGCCCAGGGAGAAAATAAATCCGCCAAAATCTGGGGGCTCACCTGGCGAGGGAGAGAGCGAGAGAGAGAGAGAGAGAGAGAGCGGGAGAGAGAGAGCGGTCTGATCTGGGCTTCCAGCTGCGCTAGGTGCCCTCCTTTTGAGACTCCGATGGCTTTGTGGGGGTGGAAGTGATAGGCAGGCTAGCAAAGATCATTGAGGAATGGAAAAAATAGGGCAAGCCAGCAGGAATTCGTTAAAAACTGTCCTTTTTCAAGGGCAAGCTAGCAGTGATTTTTGAGGAATCGGAATAAGAGAATTTCATCGCGTAACCGGATTGCAGAAAACCTTGAGGAGACGCAGGCTAGCAGAGTTTCCTTGAGGAATTTTGGCGCTCAAACGATCTCTGCTAGCCTGCCCCGCCAAAATAAGGGTTGTAAATCCGATTTGTCCACTCGCTCCGAGCCCGGGGGCACATTTTCGGGGTGTGGGCAGGGCAGAACCTGTAGATTATCTCTCTCTCTCTCTCTCTCTCTCTCTCTCTCTCTCTCTCTCTCTTCTATTATTCCCGAAACTGGCTTCGACTTGTTGCCCCACAGCTGAGGGGGCTATTCAACACCCAACCGACACACACAGGCAGAGAGATACCAGTTGACAGGTCCCTAACTCCGCAAAATGGTGGGGGGGCAGGCTAGCAGAGATCATTTGGGAAGGACTGGAGGGCAAGGTAAGCCAGCAGAGATCCTTTGAGAAGCCATTCAAACGCTAGCAAGCTAGCAGAGATCATTTGAGAACCAGGAAATCATTTTAAAGGACCATCGAAGCGAGGAAAATACTGCAAACAGCCCAATCCGAGATTATTATCAGCTCGCGGTCGGGGGAAATTAGCATCTAGCGCCGTTCAAGGCCCGAGAATGATCGGCTATCATTCCGAAATTCGGCTCTCGAAATGGGGGAAATAGGGCAAATGGAAAGCGAGAGAGAGTGAGAGAGAGCGAAAGAGAGAGAGATACGGGAGAAATCTGAATTTGGGTCTGACTTCGAGGATCAACGGAAGGGAATGGGGAAAGGAGAAATCAGCGGAGGTGGTCTCGGGGGGAGAACGGTGCCACATTAGCATATCAGAAGCGAGAGAGAGAGAGAGAGAGAGAGAGAGAGAGAGAGAAAGAGAGAAAGAGAGAGAGAGAAAGATAGAAAGAGAGAGAGAGAAAGAGAGAGAGAGGGAAGCGGAACTCGGTCATGCCCGGAGGCTACAGGCGGCTGTCTAGAGGCGCCCGTAAACAAATCAGCTAGCCTGAATGGGATCAGGAGAAAGGGACAGGGGTAAATGGCCTCTGCTAGCCTGCCCCAGGCAGTATTGTGTCGTGACAATACGACAGTTAGTTGGCTCATAAAATCGAGAGAGAGAGAGAGAGAGAGAGGGAGAGAGAGAGAGAGTAACCAGTTCCTACCCCACGGCATCATCGAGTTTTGCCTGTTGACAGTCTGGCTAAGGGGCAGGCTAGCAGAGATTTTTAGGAAAGGTTTAGGGGCGCGGCAAGCTAGCACAGAGCATTTAGGAGCAGCTCACGCCCAAGGCTCACGACAAGTGCTGGACAAGCTAGCAGCGATCCCTTAAGCGTCCCAGAAAAGTGGGGCCAGCTAGCAGAGATTATTTAGGAACATCTCGAGCCAAAGGGAAGCTAGCAGGAGTAATTTGGGAACGATTGAAGCATTGGGTAGGCTAGCAGGGATTCGTAAGAGATTCAGAAACATAGGGCAAGCCAGCAAAGACCCCCCGAAGAATCGCCAGACATTCGTTGATCCAACTTGACAGTACGAAACGGTGATAATGACGGGGGAAAGGGAACGGCCGTTCGCCCCGAGGGGGTAGCGCCTCGGAAATCGCAAGTTTCGTGGGGGGGGTGTTCCCTTTCACTTATGAGGGGAGGATGAGGAGGAGGATGAGGATAGGAATATGAAGAGCTAATTGGGGGCAAATGAGACAATCGAGGATGGGGAGGGGGGAGGAAGAGCTGGAACCGGGACGAGCTACTAATTTATTGCTCCCCCGGATCCGAAGAACGGAAAAAACGTATCGAGAGCGGGCAGGCTAGCAGAGGAAATTTCGGGAAAAATGAAACTGAAAGTGAAGGATGTAGCCGAGATAATTGGGGATTCGATTACGCGATCTAATTTAGCCTTGAGGAAGGCAAGCTAGCAAAGATCCTTTGCGAAATCACCGCGCGTGCTCGTTCGTAGTTTGGAAAGGCGCGGAAAAGTGTTGTCGAGTGGAGGAGGGGGGAGGGGGACAAGCGGAAACGGAATGGCACGGAGGGGGCAGGGGCGAGAGGACGGACGCGTTGATGGGCCATTTCTTGAGTGGCGGACAGGCAAGGGCCATGACCAATGGGACATACAAATGGAGGACGGGGAGGCTAGCAGGGATTCTGTGAGGAAATTCGTGAGCTGGCCCGCGATCTAGCTGAGATTTTTGAGGAAAATACGTTACGGCTAGCGGAGATTCTTGAGGAAAATAGCAGCTGAGCCTAGGCAAGCTAGCAGAGACCATTTGCAATGCGAGTTCTGCTATTAAAGAGACGATGACATCTAAAAAACCGGAAAAAATGCGACTAACGAGCAGAGGTTATTTAGGATGCTAGTCAAAAACGGCAAGGTCAGCTAGCAGAGATACTTTAGGAAAATTCTAGTTTACCCAGCGGGCTAGCAGAGATCATTTGAGAAAAACCAAGGGGCGAACTAGGCTATTTGTTGGCGCTATGACTCAAATGGCCCTTGAGAGCTAAAAAAACCAGAGAAAAACCACACCCAGATCTCTTCTCATCTCTTTATCGCTCCGGGGGCAGGATAGCAGAGAATCTTGAGGAAACTTCACGGCGCGACGGTGATGTAGAACCTGAAAAAAAATCGAATTATGGGTTTTTAAGTAAAAAAATCGGATTTCCGAATTTTCCTGAAGGAAATCTGCTAGCCTGCCCTTTTTCGTGATTCTGAATTCCTCAAAGAATCCCTGCTAGCCGGCCCCCCGGCTGCCATTGATGGGCAATAGTAACTGGCGCTGCCTCTGCTGGCTGCTGTGTAAACATCATCTTCTCTTCTACCCGCTCCCTCCGCTTAATATTTACTCACCAGTTTTCAGGCATCCACCACCACACCTAGCCCTAGTCATCGATTCTAGCACGAAATTACGAAATTCCGCAAAAAATCGCTGCTAGCCTGCCCCTCCAATTCCTCAAAGAATCTCTGCTAGCTTGCCCCTCCAATTCCTCAAAGAATCTCTGCTAGCCAGCCCCTCCAATTCCTCAAAGAATCTCTGCTAGCTTGCCCCTCCAATTCCTCAAAGAATCTCTGCTAGCTTGCCCCTCCAATTCCTCAAAGAATCTCTGCTAGCCTGTCCCTCCAATTCCTCAAAGAATCTCTGCTAGCCTGCCCCTCCAATTCCTCAAAGAATCTCTGCTAGCCTGCCTCATGTCACCGTCCCTTTAAAGCCAGATTTTCAGGAAAATGTCCGTCCCACGCTACCGAATTTCTGCTCATTCTTCCGGTGACTCGTTCAGCTCCTCGGCGGCTTCATCCCCAAATACGAGCACATCGTCGCTATCCCAGGAAATGACAGGTAAATTTTTATTCTGTTTTTGTTTTTAAATTGCCTATTCGCCGCCTGGTTTTAATAGTGACCCCAAAAAAAACCTCGTATGTCCATCAAAAGCTCGTCAAAATCCAATTTTGGCGGTTATTGAAAGGGGAGATAAACCCCGGGGGAATTTTGCCATTCCAGATTTCCGGGGTTCGGAATGCTGAAAGGTCTGTTTTTATCATTATTTTATACTAGCAACCCAGCGCCGAAAAACCGAAAAATTCGATTCTCAGCTTGCGGAGCCTGTAAAAACTTAACCGGACAGGCTAGCAGAGTTTTTTTGCGATAAGGCTAGCTAGCAGAGATTCTTTGCGGAATTTCCATAAATTCTGATTTCAGAAATGTCTCGAAACGAGGTGGTGGACGTCACCAGACCAGACCATCCAGGTGGTGAGCCTCTGCTCCACCCCCTCCACCTCGACACCAACTTTTTGACGCCGATCCCGTTAAATGTCTACGCGGTAGGTCAATAATCGAATACGCAACGTAATTCGCCGATTCCAATAGCTTAAGAAATGAGACTGTACTTCAAATTACTTCTGCTAGCTGCCTATCAGATTTTGAATCGATTAGGCAACGTAATTTGCGTTTGCTATTCGCTTACGGTATGGTAATCTTCCTCAATTTCCTCTGCTAGCTTGCCCTAATTTTACAATCAGTTTTTTAACGATTACA